TAAATCTGACCGGTTCTCGGAGAATCCGGCAGCCAGATTTCAGAAGAAAACAAGGAAAAGCATCGGAATTCGCCAGAAATTAACCGACCGAATCCGGTCACCATGTGACATCGGAATTATAACCCGCTTGACAAGAACCGACGGATCGATAATGACCTGGGTAATACATATTCTATCAATAGCCTATACAATAAGGAGAAAGTAATCTTTGTCAATTGAGACAAAAACAAAACAATGATAAAATTTATGTGACAGGAAAACAACATTTGATGAGAAGAACAGTAGTAAATAAAAGCTTTCGGTATTTTATATTTTACTATCGGTTAATAACATTGTACTGCTTCGGCATATGTCGCTTTGCCTTGAATTCAAAAACAGAATAAAATTAATAACAGTTTTCAAAAGTTCCTGTTCTATACTATCACTCATAATAAATTGAATTAGAAAATAATGACGAGAAAATCTGTAATATACCTCTTTCAATGGTTACTTTCATGTGCTATTAAATAATGGCGTCAGTTGCAAAAAGTTCTGAATGTTATTTATTTCTCTAATGACACTACACGATTATTTAACAAGTGACTTCTTTAATTTTATAAAAAAGTAATCATTCTTTTGAAAAATAGTAAGATGAAGATTTCAATGAATATTGCTCACATTAGAATCGTTTTGTAATAGTATATTGACTAAATATATTTAGGATATAAAATTTCTTTTTACTGATCCATAATATTTCAAATGACATACGCACACATGAAAAGCTTTCAGTTTTTTTTCTCCTTTTCTTTTCTTAAGTATGTAGTCTTAACTATTAGTAATTGACAACATTGACAAGGAATCGGATACTTGTTTTCATATATAGATACCCTAATTCATGGTCACAACTACCATTTATTATCACACATTTCAAAGACATGTATATTCTTTTGATTCTACTTATTAGTTTTCCATTGAATCATGGTGAATGCAATTACACAACAGAATGGTTTAACGAAAATCATCCGTGGGAAACTCATTCGAATGGACATGATATCGAACGTTATTCCATTATTCGAGCAAAATATCCATTGACATTTGATATTACCCAATGGACAGGTTCCTTTGAAATACGCAAGGCTGATGATCATCGGAGAGTGGATCCAGAAATATTAATTGAAAATTATACAAAAATCCATGATGGCTTCATTTGTCATGCAATCAATGGAAAACTATGTGCTGATTTTGAAGTAAAGCTCTCTTTTTAAATTTCTATTTAGTGTGTAAAAATTAATTTATTCGTTCATTAGATTCGCTTTTGTTTAGAATATAAGCCATGCAGTGTATCAACATATCCTCTTGATGAAAGTCCACTTGCCAGTGGTACAGAAGTTCGTCCACATTCATTACCCTGGCATGTTTCAATACAATATAAAGAACAACATTTATGTTCTGGGACTTTAATCGATGATCAACATGTCCTAACAGCAGCAAGTTGTTTTCAAAGTAATCTTATACATATACCATATTCGGTTGCTCTTGATGCACATTATCTATCGAATTCTACTTATCGTATTCCAATTGATCGTTTTATATTTCATTCTGATTTTAACCAAGCAACATTAATCAATGATATTGCCGTAATAAAACTCAGTCAGCACATTCAATCCTTTTCTGATCGTATTCGGCCAGCCTGCTTGGCACGATCGATTCGACAACCGGACGTATCTAGTCTGCTAATTGTAGCTGGTTGGCGTACGGTAAAAAATAATACTTGGTCTGTTTCGAATACTAATGAACTCCGACAAGCAAGATTAACAGCTATGGATGAATGTTCCGAAGTGTATCCTAAAAGATATGATTTTGAAAAGCAAATATGCGCTGGTACACAAGGTTCAAAACGTGATTTATGCCTAGGCGACATGGGTAGCGGACTTTTCGAAAAGCGAAAACATGATGTTGATCGATGGATTTTAACAGGCATTGTTAGCTATGGATGTGAGTTTGCATCAAATGGTTATCCAGGTGTTTATGTACGTATTAGCCATTATTATGATTGGATTCAACATACGATTAAAAAATTGAATGAAAGAAAAAAAACAAAATAAATATGAATTGAATGAGTCATTTTTTAAAGAAACTATTGATATTTAAAAAGTTTTCATAATAATCATTACAATTATAGAAAAAACTTATGATCGTGTTGTCAAGAGACAAGAAAAATGATTTGATATTATAATCAAAAAGAAAAACAGGTTCATCTCTTAATAACAATGATATGAAAAATTGATGAAACTTTTTAAAACAAATTCAATGTACGGGAAAAATAAAATTTGCTACTGATGTAGATGATTCATCACTGAAATGTTTATCAATTCAATGAATTCGATGCACTATCTCTATGGCATAGGCTTGTTAATTGAAATTTATGGGGGAAAATTTTTCATATTTTAATACGATAGGCAATATATAACTACTGATTTGATTTTTGATAATATTTACGGTTGAATACCTATGGACATTTTGTTTTTCAGTCTATACTGGCGAAAGCTAACACAAACAATATTTCTACAGTTGCGATCAATAGTGCAAGATAGTGTTGATTATAATGATCTTAGATATTATTTACACCAATACTACCATTGAACGATGATATAGATGTTTTTCTTAACTTTCATCTGTTCATAAAAAAATCGTTCATTTTTTTCTCTTTTACCTAACAATCAAATACGCAGTTATTCAAGTAGCTTTTTTCTCCTCAATTAAGTTTAGATAATCAAATAAGGAATGAAAAGAAAGATGCATATATCGCAGAGAAATTATTATACGATCGCTTGAGGCTACTTTTATTCTCATATGGTGAAACAACATCACTTCATCATGAAAAAACTTTCTCAATAGTATTTCAATTAAACAACCATAAAGTCAACGAAATTCAAGAAATTTAACATTCTGTTGAAAATCTAAACATAATCTAATCGATTTATTTTACAATTCTTTGATGGTATAATTATATCCACGATTAAAATTGCAATAGCTAATTGAATTAAATCAGGCAATCGTTAATAAAAGGATATAAATGACATGACTTTTTTCCTTCATTAACTTTACATATTACTCTATTGATTCACAAATATATTTTCAGTTTTATCACAAGAATGAATGAGACGATGTTAATATTTTTGATACAGACAAACTATTTGACTTGATTCACAAGCGAAGTAATGAATAATTAAAAAAATAGCTCAAACTATTATTTTAGTTTTTTTTATGCTTTATTAAACTCAATATTTTTTTTCTTTACTTTCTATTCTTCGCGTGAATAAAATTTGAACGTAGTGAAAAAAAATCCTCTCAATAGATCAAGTGAAGCATCAATTAAATAGACACATCTTGACGATAGAAGTTGAACATTAGTAGCAGCATTTGCGTTGATGCATATGTCATTCAAATAGAAAATTATGATTACTATATACATCCGATGATGAATGTAAATGGAAGCGCATATACATACACCTTCAATTTTTGTTTAGAATAAAGACAAAGTGTCAAATGAAATTATGATGGAATGTCTCATATAAGTAAGAGAAGAGAAATCTCTCTCGTCTTCATCTCATTTAATCATCCGGATGTATTCTCATTGGTTACAAAACTATTTGGATAGCCAATCGATGAATTTTTTTATCAGAAAAAAAGAAGAAGAAATGAAAGTCAACAGATTGAAAATAATTATTAGAGTAATTTTCATATAAAATATAAAAAATAGACGAGATACTAAGTCTAGTTTAACATAAATCAATTTTTGTTTTTTTCCATTCTCGGACTCTCTCTCCATCGTCGTCTAAAGTGTTGATGATGTCGGCATTATCAAAGACACTCTTTTTTTCAATCGATGAAGATGATCTTTTTAGAAATGCATATACCATTTGCTAATTTTCTTTTTCCTCCTACAATCCCGAAACTATTTCATTATGTCACTAATCACTTTTTATAGAGGATTATATGGTTCATATGATAAAAAACTGTTTCTGTCTCTTTTTTTTTCTCATCAGAAATTCAAGTAGTACATCACAGAGAAGTTCAGTTGACTGTAAAACAGTTGAGCATCTGCTGTTAGAAAAAACTAAACTAAACTAAAACAATTGCACATTTTCAGTTCTTAGATATGGAAGACAATTCAATCGTCAATGATAATCGACATCATGATAATAGTTATGTATCAACATGTACAATACGTGGCGTACCAATTGTAAGTTTAATTACGGATGGCAAAGAACGTCTAAGTTTGGCACAAATATCAAATGATTTATTAAAAGGTTTTAGTTATAATGAAATACATAATCGACGTGTTGGTGCGTAGAAAGATTTGAATTGGCATAGTTTCTTGTTACATTCAAAATTTTTTTCTTAGCATTAGGTATAACTTGTGTTCAATGTACACCTGTTCAATTAGAATTACTAAGACGAGCAGGTAAGCAGCGTGATTCGTAGAACCAAAACAAACTGATAAACTTTTGTGACATTTATTTCAAAGGTGCTATGCCAAGTTCATCTCGACGTTGTGGTATGATAACTCGTCGTGAAGCTGAACGCTTAGTTAATTCATTTCTTGAATCAACAAAACCATTAAATTTACCGGAAAATTTCGTTTTTGAAGTTTATCATCATTGTGCATGGGGATGTCGTGGTTTATTTATTCCCATACGATATAATAGTTCACGAGCAAAATGTATCAGGTTAGATCTTAGTTTTCTAACTTTACTTTATACTTTTAGTTTCTTTTTGTTTTAATATAGATGTTCATTTTGCGATAGTTTCCTTTCACCAAATAAATTTATATTTCATTCTCATCGTTTAGCGAATGTTACCTATGTTCAACCGGATAGTCCAAATTTCAATGCATGGCGTCGTCATTTACGTTTACATAATCCAACTCAAAGTGAAGATTTAAGAGATGCATGGGAAGATGTCAAAGCTATGTTTAATGGTGGTAATCGAAAACGATCATCATCAGGAACCATAGCGTCCGGTAGTACTTTAAAGTTATCAGCAAAAAATAATTCGATCAATGAAAATTATGAACAAACAAATGAAACAAGTGACGAAGATAAAGAAGACGATGAAAAAATTGAAGATAAAAAAGAGGATGATGAAAAAATAATTCTACCAATACCACCACCACCGAAAATACAAAAAACAAAAACAAGAGAAAAAAAACTACCAACCCATAATGTTGTTTCATCAACAACAGTCGATGAACAATTATCGGAAATAAATATGTTTTTACCACCACCTTTGGCAACAGTACCAACAGTACCAACAGTACCACTACCACCGCCACCACCATCAGCTCATTTCTTTCCTTTTCCACCACCATTACCATCATCAAATTCTCTATCACTTGTTACACTTAATTCAACTGATTGGTTGCAATTTTTTCGTTCACCATTATTTATCCCAAATTCTTTTCGTTTACCATTAGCATCCGTGCCAAGGCGATTTCCATTTGAAATTAATCATTCGAATTCATCAATTATTGGGAGCGGCTCACAATCAGCATTTAAACCACCAATTCAAAAACATAATTAATAAGAAAGAAAGAAAAAACAAATTTTTACGTTGTCATTTTGTTTCTGTTAGCTGTTTGTGACCAAGAATAAAAATAAATAAATAAATATTTCTAATGAATTTCATTCATTTTTAAATCAAAGACATATCTTTTTACTTTAGCAATAGCAAAACAACGAAAAGTCAACATTATTCTCATAGCCAAAAGATATCGTAAATTGTGTTTTGAAGTCTATTAGAGATAACCTTGACTTTTTACTAGTAGAAAAAAAACTTAGTCAAATATACTGATATAGAAGGGTTTCTCGCATCTGGACCCATCATTTACTCATATGTTTCTATTAGAAGTATTTTATTAAGATCTCTGCTCCTTTTAATGTTTCTCTCGGATAGATACGCAAAAATATATAGTTTCATATTGTGTCTCTCGTAGGAAAATTCTTTTTTTCTTTCGTTTGGTTTGGTAGAAAAGCACTATAGATGAATTTCACCACCAGCTTTTGCACTACTTTAAAAATCTATTTACATTTACTATTCAAATGTAATCAACAGTATTGTTTGATTTTAAAATGCGTTTGCAGTGTGTATATGTGTTCGATTGATGGCAACATGTTTGAGAGCGCACTCTATGTGAAGAAGGAAAGAAACAAAACAAAAAATTGTTACTATGCAGTTGTCCTGACGCGAGCTGTAATCATGGTATTGTTGCTGTTTTTTTTCTAAAGAATTGAGTGAAGAGCATAAAGTAATCTAATAAATACAATAGAGTCTTTTCGTATTTGAGATATTAAATATGGCATCTACCACCAAATCCGATATGGACCGAATCGGTCTATTTAAAGAAATGGAATATGTTACAATCAAAGATCCATTTAAAGGAGCTGCTAGTTGTGAGTTTAATTTAGTTAGATCTAATTAAAATTCATAAGTCATTTTTTTGCAAATTTTTAGTTACTTTCAATGAAGCAGCTAGTAAGAATAAACAAATGATGTCAAAAAGCTCAAAACAACGAGCAACAGGATCATTAGCTGGATATTTTGATACTCAATTTAAATTATTGCCCGGTTCCTATGTTGACCCTATCTCAATGCGGCGTAAAGCACGTATGGAAGAAAAAAAGAAAAATATTGTCAGCAAGCCGTTTGTGACTATGTTTCGACCGAAAGATCCGTACGTCAAGAGAAAAATGATATGTCGAAAAATTCAATTAATTTATGTATATATTTATTTAGTGAGGGTCTAGGTTCGTTTTTTGGAACAATCGGTGGCGGTATAAAAGATCTCGATCCAACTAAATCAAAATATCGTGAAGAAAAAAAAGCGCCGCATGAAAAATCAAATTTTAAAGTAAATCCACCGAAAAAAGGCACAGGTTATGGGTAAGTTTCATTGTTCGGGGCGAGTTCTACTTTACATTGCTGTTTTTTCTTCTTCTACTAGTTATCCTAATGTAGGTATTGATAAAGATCCTCCATATACTTACAAAGACAAAACAGATAATTATGACGCATCATTGGATGCTCAACGTGTAAGAGAAATTTCTTGTCGAGAAAAAACATAACAACAACAATCCTTTGATTTATTTAGAAAGACTATACTCATCATAAATCTTCAATGAAAGCAGGTGTATTCAAATTAAACATGCATCCAAAAGACTATTTTTATACTAATCCATTTCGTGATGATGGTAAAGGAGCTAAGCATCGTGGCGAGACTAAAGAACGTTCTAAATCAGCACCATCCGATAAGAAACCATTTAAATATAGTTCACCTGGCAAATCGGTTTGTTTCATGATTCGTCTAGAAAAAATATCAATTACTAGTGACATTTTCTTTTTCTAGCTTGGTGGTAACAAAGATGGTTGTTTTGATAAATTTCCTAAACGCAGTGATAAAGATCCATTTGTTATTGGTTCTATACATTCTCAAGTAAAAAATGAAGTTAACAAACATGGTAAAACATATTATCCAAATAAATTTCCTAAAACACGTCCCACTGAGTCTGTTATAAATAAAAATGTTAGCGTGAAAATTACACGACAAAATTATAAACAAGCAACACAAAATTATCATGGATTTCAACTACCGCAAAGATGTGCTTCTGTTCATTAGAATGACTTTTTGATTTTTATTCTTTTTATTTTTTAAATAGTTATACATATATATATTAAATGTAAGGTTCTAATAATTGATCAAATTCTTGACGTTCTTCACGTGATAAAGACTTTAAATTAAAACCACGGATTTCAGGTTTTTTTTCTGCATCATATAGTTTTCTAATATTTTCTTTTAATTTTTTCTCTGCTTGGTTTATCTCAATATTCATTTGATCAAAGTCTAAATAAAAACAAAAAATGAATAGTTATTTAAATTTCTAGAACTAATCTTTGTCTTTTTTTTTCTTTTTTTTTCTGGTACCTCGATCAATTAAACGTTTACAATCTTTTGTTGGTAATGCAAGAAAATTATTATTTAAACACATCCAATTTGTTTTTATGTTCTTCGGTTGTTTATGCATAGCTCTAAAAGACACAAGGTAGAGAAAGAAAAATGAATTGAAATTTCAGATAAAACCTACCGACTAGCTTCACGTAATTTATCACGTCGTTTATTTAACTCTATAATTTCTCGTCGTTCAGCAAGAACACTTTCAGCTAACGATTCAATTTCTTCTAAATATTTTAGAACAAAATCTGGATCATCATGTACACCTGCTTGTGAAAGATGATGTATTTGCTGTTGTTGGTTTGTCATCTACAATAATTTTCAATTTATTATTTATCTTGAACAATTTCGAAAGTAAAATATTGTTGTTAACACTAGTACTGATGGTCCATCACAACACTCGTAAACACTGCTTGTTTAGTAGACATCAAACTGCACTATCTATTACATAATAGTTTCCGCTGATTGAAATCATATGTATTAAATACGACGCACGATTGGCAAATTTTTATAATTAGAATCACAAAAATGATACTTCCGGCGGAATTTTATAGGTCAGAAGTTTTCCATCGAAAGAAAACCATAATTAAAAGTTTTCTATTAGCAAAATAACATGATATTTAGTTTTATAGGTTTTCATCGAAGACGTCACTATGTTTTTTTCCTTCAAAACTTGATATTCAGCCATTCGAATAGACAAATCAAAAGATTTAATCAATGTAATAGGAACTAAAAAGAAAAGGACTACTGCTGTTTATTGTTGTTTTATCACAATTACTATAAAAACAATTTAGTGTTAATAATTATTCATATATTTTTTAAACTAGTTCAAAAGCTAAACAAAAAGCAATAGAGCGAATGACGGGATAGATGGTTGAGTTTACTGTTGATATTCATATAAGAATGGAAATATTAATTTATTTGAGCAGGATTATTTGCTTTTTTGTTGTTCAAGAACAGCATCAATGTCCTAGACGGAAAGATAACAGAGTCTTTTAATGAAAACTAAATTTATTTCTTTTACTTTTTGAAGAATTTCTTTTAATGCTTGATAAGCTGTATCGAGTTGATCATTTAATACAACATGATCATACATGCCTGGTACTTTACTAAATTCCATAGATTCTTTTGCTTCTTGTAAACGTTTTTCGATAGCAGCTTCACTTTCTGTGTTTCGACCACGTAAACGTTTTTCAAGAATTTCATAGCTTGGTGGGCTTATATAAATAAATAAGGCGTTAAGATCTGTATTCCGAATATTTTTAATGCCTTGTTTGTCAACATCAAGTAAACAAATACGACCTGTTTGAGCAACATCTTGAACAGATTTTTTACTAGACAGAAAGAAAATGTTCAATTAGAAAAAAAGAATCCAAGACTGTCAATAACCTTGTTCCATAGAGATTCGTTGAGAATTCAGTTGTTTCAAGAAATTCACCATTACTAATCATTTTTTCCATATCAGTACGAGCAACAAAATGATATTCTATGAAAATATAAATAAATGAAAAGTTAGAAATTTTACAAATGAAAAATATTACCTCGGCCATTTTGTTCACCTGGTCGAGGAGATCTTGTTGTATCTAAATGATGATGATAATAATAATAATAACAATAATTTAGAATCCAAAACAAAACAAAAATAATTAAAGATAAAAATATTAACATACGAGATATACTAAAAGCAAATGCTGTTGGATATTCTTTGAAGAATTCAGAAATCAATGTACTTTTACCAGATCTAAAATACAAATTCTCATTATATTTTCTTCTTCTAAAATTAGTTTTAATTGGTCAAACATTAGTACTATACCCGCTTGGTCCAGACAAAACTATAGCTCGAGGTCCTAATGCTGTTGTCGGAGGCATCTTTGAAAGAACTGGTGTACTTATTCTAGAAATACAAAAAAGTTTAAAAAAAAAAGAAGAACGAGAATTCAAGTATAGATGGAAAATCCGACTGTAACATGGTGATGGAAAATGTAAAGAAAAGAAAATAGCAGGAGCTCTTCTGAGCACAAACATCTTTAATCGTGTGAGAAGAAAAACCGTCTGTGGATATTTGCATGAGTGAAGAGAAAAAAGAAAAAAAGTCTCCTCCAACCAAGAGAATCACTGAGAGAAGTTATTCATCTAGATTATTATGGATGCTAGCTTCTAATTGATAAAAGATTCGAATTCTAAAAATAAGCTTTTTTTTTTATAGATTATGGTAAATAAATAAAATGGTTGATTAGTTATGCAGGAAATTGATTCCAGAAAAATTTCATGATTTCCTTATTTTCAAAAAAAAGGAATGCTTCCTATGTTCATCAAAACATGAAATAGGGCAATAAATAAATTTCAATTCTTTTCACGAAAGAATTTGTTTTGTTTTTCGATCACAAAAATCAATTTGAAATGATTATGGCGAATATTCATGAGATTTTATTCAAGATTTTATACTTAAAATGAATTAATTATTTTTATAAACATGTTTCTGTATAGACCGTCGCTTATCGATTGAAACATAAATTCAAGTATTTCTTAAAAGATGACTCTACATACTGAGAGTGATCAACGTTGATGCTAGCGGCTCTTACTATTTTATGGACATATCTCCTTCAAAATATTTGCGTGTCTCATACAGACAAACCATAATGAGCATCATTTCAACACATATTATCACTTTTCTAATGTAAAACATGTGTAATGAATGAAATAGCTATTTTTAGAATTGATTATTATTTAAATTTACTTGTTTTCTTCCGAAAAAAAAAGAATTAATTAGATACTTACATATCTCTTCAGTTAATTTACATTAGACATTCACTTTTGATGCTCTGCAATATATCATTAGCATGGGATCTATAAGTAAAGCAGTAATGTTCGTTAAATACTCGAGCGCACTATCAATGACTCTTTTTTATGCTAATTATGTGTTCATATTCATTGATGATATTTACACACATAGTACAATGAGCAGGTGAGATCACTCGGATTGAAGTGAAGATATCGTACAGCTAATCCGAATTGAGCAGTCGATTACACAAATACAAAAACAGTCAAGTTTATTCTTTTGTAACATTTTAGTTAGGTGAAAACTAATTTTTTTTAAGCAGTTAGGATCTTCATGTATAGTTTCTAATTCTGTTAAGGGGCTCCCCCCCCCCTCAGAAAATCGATTTATTTCACAAAAATCGATTTTGAGATAAGCCCATATACTGAGAGCCCAAAGTGTCCTCTTTGAGATTATGTGCGATTTGTCACGTTTTGAATAGTTTTTAGCGGTGAAAATAGCGGTTTTCTGGAAGCAGTAGTAGAAATATATGGTTTTTTTCAGAAATTTTCCTTAGTTACGGGGATGTTATATTCGTCCACAAACTGGTAGATTTTATCTAATGAGAAACAGATACGCGTTCTGTTATATTAATTAATTAGTGGAACGTATAGTCATTTCTACTTAAAATCCTGTGCACATGACGAAATTTCCGTATAGATGTCGTGACAGTCATAGTGAAATGAAAAATTGTTTCATCAACTTGTTTATTCGTTTTCTCAAAATCACTTTTTTGGAGAGTTTGGAACCGATTTCTCAGACTGTAGAAGAGTTAGCGAGCTACTTTTTTTTAAATAAAAGAACAGACCTATATCTAGAAATGTACATACCGTTTTTTGGAAATTCGATTTCTTTGCCGAGATAACTGGATAACACTGATGTCAAAAAGCGCTAAATTCCGAGTTCTTGCAGTAGAATGTCTCGGAAATCCGAACAAAATCGAATTTCGAAAAAACGGTATGTACATTTCTAGACATAGGTTTCTTCTTTTATTTAAAAAAAAAGTAGCTCTCTACGTCTTTGGCAGTTCGAGAAATCGGTACCTTATGAGAACCACCATTTTGGGGACTAATTTGTCAATAACTCTTCAAAGCAAAAACTTTATGAGCCAAAACTTTGCAATAAAGTGAGTTAACACAACATCCATATTGCCTAAAAATCTCAGACCAATTGGTCCACGAATAACGATTCCTGAGGGGGGGGGGAGCCCCTTAATTAATTTGTTTGTTGCTATTTTTCAATGAAGCATCTGTGCTTTATCCTATCTGCTGTCAATACGGTTCATGAGTTGAGAATATCATCATATTCGATAACAATCAAACTGCAGTGTACAAATCAAACAATATAATTATTTTGATGGAAGTGTAATTTTCCTATTGATAGAGGGAAAATCATTTCACAAGATTATTTTAATAGGACATGATTTTTCTAGTATCTTGAAGAATAATAATTTGACTATAACTGACGCAAAAAATGGTCTATTGTTGATACGCAACAGTATTTTTTTCTCATTTCTTTATTCCAATTAGTTTTAACTGTCGACTATCTTAAGACTCTGAGCTATTATAAGATAAAGATGAAAAAAATAATAAAGTAAGTTTTAAAATAGCACTGGATTAGAAACCATGCAAATAATCGATTACTTTTTGAAAAATGACACTAGACTGAAATTTCTCTTATTGATGTTTATATGATAATTCCTTTATAATATTTAGCCAAAATATTAGAACTATGATGGTGGAGATTCTCACATAAATAAATTTATTATGGTAGACGAAAATATTATTTTCTTTTTCGAACAAATGAATGAAGAAAATGTCGATGTTTCCTTAATTAAGCAGACTCAGGAAACTTTACATTTTCTTTAAAGAAACATTACGCCATACAGTGTCAATACCCTCAAACGATAATTCTTTCATCATTAAACATCTTGTTAAGAAAACTGTCTTTTTCTCAAGCTGCAAATACTTTGCTACTCAATGGCACTTTAAAACGTTGCATTGTACGTTTTCGAAGAAAGAATTGCGAATTTTATTTTCTCTCTTATTTAAACTTTCGTGTATAAAGTTTATTGAAAAAAGAAAATGTTAAGACTCGCCTTAAATGAAAGTTTTCTGTCACGTATGAATATATATAAACGAATATAACATTAAAGATGAAACGAGACTTTTCATTTATGTCTCTTTTGGATTAGTTTTTGCACAATAAACAAAAAATAAACAAACAATTGAATGTTATCCTATTCATAATGTATAAAAGTGACTCATTGAAATTCAATGAAACATATATTAACCGGAACATCCACGGCATCCACAATGAACACATTCAACAACTTTGCCTTCTTCTAATTTTTCTTTTGGTACACGACAAATACATTTCTTATTAAAATTTGTATCGCGAGGTTGAATACAACGAAGGCAACAAAGATTTTCATAACCTTGCTTTTTCCATTGTGCTACAAAAAGAAAATCGAAAAACATTAATCAAATTTTGCATTCAAAACTTATAAACTTACCAATTAGATTTTTATCTGCAACCGATTGCTTCACGCAATAGTCATACAATTCTTTACTAATCGTTTTTCGTTTATAATAGAGATCATAAATATAGCGTGATTTTTGATGATGAATTTTAAATATTGGCCACAATGTTTCAACTTTACGTTTGCCTTCGTGAGGTGCTAATTCTGCTTCACGCATTTTAGCTTCTATTTCATCCAATGTTGGCTCAATTAAATCCCTGGCAGAAAAATAAAAATAAGCATTACTTTATTTTCAAATAAACACAAAACTTACCATCCATCTGGTGGCGGCTTAGTACCTTTGCGAACTTTGACCATCTTTCTTTTTCAACAGTAGGTAAATGAATTAATCTACAAGATAATTGTGCAATAGTTATATTTAATTTTGCTTGCGCAATACATTCACAAATAGTTCTTGCTGTTTTTTTTATAGATTATTTTTCTTTTTCAATCCTATCGTTTCGTATCTTTTCTGTTCTCTTCGTTGCTCTCAAACAAACTACTACATTTCCTTTTTTCCTATTCACGCCAAAGAGAGAGAAACAAAGAACAACAAAAAAACACACACATACATAGGCATTTCACACACACACTCGCACACATATAGAGAAAGACAAAAAAGAAAAGCACGACTATGAGTAATATTGTTCTGATATCTTAGATGACGAACAAACAAACGAGAGACTTATTATTTCGCTCGACGTTTAGCTTTGATAACATGACGTTTAGTAGTTTCTTCATTGACACTGAAAGGGCTAGAATGGGACAAATAAAATATCAAAGTAATTTATTCATTCATCAAAAGAATTCTTACTTAGTTTCAGGTGCCGGAGCAGCTGGAGGAAAACCAACTGAAAATGAATTATTAGCGGTTATTGGTGGAACTGCACTGAATTGAAATGGGGCATTGCTTGTAGTAGATGTTGCTCCTGCACCAAAGCTAAATGAAGGTGCTGCACCGAATCCAAATGTTTGTCCACTAGAGCCAAATGATGATGATGCTGTTGTTGTTGGTGCAAATGAGAAACCACTTGTGGCTGTAACAGCTGGTGCTTGAATAGGATTAGTTGTTGGATTTGATGATGATGTAGCTCCAAATGCAAACAATGAAGGTGTAGTTGATGTTGAGCCAAAAGTTGGAAATGAAGTTGATGTTTTATCAACTGTTGTTGCAGGACCACCAAATGCAGCAGTTGCACCAAACGATGGCGTAGGGTTTGTCGTACCTGTTGAAATAACCGAAGGTGCAAATGTTTTAGGTGGACTACTAGCACCGAATGCAAATGGCGTACTACTTGATGTTGTTGTTGTTGTTCCCATAGATGGAAAACTGAAACCTGGTGTAGATGATAAACCACCGCCAAATAAAGGCGCAGCTGATGTTGTTGTTAAACTGAAAGGTGTTGATGTTGACGAAAAACTGCTTGGGAATGCAAGTCCACTTGTTGTTGTTACTGCAGGAGTCGGTACTGTGAGAGATACAGTAGTCGTTGTTGTCGCTGGTGTTGTTGTACTGGCTGAGAAAGCAAACATGCCTGGCGTTATTGATGAAGCTGTAGTTGCTGGAATTGTTGATAATGAGGATGGTGCAGTATTTGCTCCAAATGAAAACAATGGTGTCTTATCGGATGGAACTGTTGAAGAAGCTGAAGTTGTCGCTATTGTTGAAGCTGTACCGAATCCTGTAAATGTGATAGGTGCTGACGATGTTGTTGTTATTGCAGTAGCACCGAATCCTCCAAATGTGATTGATCCTGACGATGATGTTGTTGTTGCTCTTGGTGCAGTACTGAATCCTCCAAATGTTACTGATGATGAAACTGTGGTTGCAGGTAATGATAATGACGATGTGGTGGCAATGATTGAAGGTGTGATTGAAGTACTAGCAGTAGTGTTTGTTGATGTCAATGTACCAAATGTTGGAAATGTTGAAGTAGGATTTGTACCGATTTGAAAAAGATTATTCGAAGTAGTTGTTGTCGATTTATCAGAGTTAACTGTTGATGTACCAAATGATAGTGTCGTTGTTGACGGGAATGAAACACTGGTAGATGCTGGGAGATTGGTAACAGCAGTTTCTTTGTTGGTTGCTCCAAATAATGGCAGAGTACCAGTCGGAGAAAATAAAGCACTAGTTGTTGTTGTTGTTGTTGTTGTTGTTGTTGATGATGATGATGATAATGTTGATGATGATGGAATTGAAAATGTACTTTCTCTTGTTAGTGTTGGTACTGATGCTGATAATGACGATTTTGCCATTGATGCAAATTCATTTTGAACAGTCATTTGAGTCGTTGTAACTGATTTGGATACAGTCGGTTCTTCAATAATGATATCTGGTACTTTACTTGACGATGATGATGATAGTGTTGATGTGGATTCAATCGCTAAAATTAAAAAAAACATAAGTATGAGTTTGATATTTGTTCAAGAGACTGACCACTTAATCGTTTATAATTTGGATTAATTCCATGACACAATGAACATGATGATGTTTGAGTTGGATGTTCCATTGAACATGAAGGACATCTCCATACTGGTCCCGTAATTGGTTTAGTAGGACGTGGAGGTGATACACTGAATATCGGTATTTTTGGCATTGTACTACTAATATTTATTTGTGTAGTTATTGAAGAAGTCATATTCACACTTGATTTTTCAATAGCAGACGAAACAGTTGGTTTTGATGGTTGAGTAGATACTGAAAATGTAAAGACGAATAAGATTTTCAAAAAGCAACTATAGAAAAGAACGTACCAGCGTTAGCACGACATTTTTCTGGATTTTTCATTGCATAGTCATCTTGTGCTCGAGCAAATCTTGGCCATGAAAATGCTGTGATATTACCGAGTACCTAAACATTACAATTTAGTATTGAAATTTTTATGATGATTACTGATATTTACTTTTGGTTTTATTATATCATGTATCGGTTGTATTGGTTCAATAGTAATTGAACTATTTGTTTGAATAACTGAATCTGTTTGACACATTGACTGTGTTTTGTCATTCATCGGCACTGATAATGCTTCGAGTCGTATATCTGCTGGCGGAAATGTACGTTGAACTTTTTTACTTGGTTCCATTGAATCATTTACAGTTGAAATCTAAACAAGCATTATTTAAAAAAAAGTTTCCGAAGAAACTTTTGTCACATGACACTTACATTACATTGAATACCACATTCTTTTTCAAGTGCTTTCATAGGTTTTCGCATAGGAGATGTAACTGTTGATGTATGTTCTTCGATTGTTGATATCGATAATCTAAAATGAAATGCTATCTAGTAAATATCAATATTAGAGCTTTGATATAATTACGGTTCACTATCAAGTGTTCGATTAAGACGTATACAATCTTGTAACGTACGTCGTCGAAGCCTTTCAATATAAGGTAAACGTCGTGAATTAATTGATGCATAATTAACACCGAACATTTGTCGTTCATTGGGTAACTAAAAACGACAAATATTTAGAAAAAAGTATTTTAAACCAATTTTTTTCTCTTACTAAGCGATTTGGTGGATTAGATGAAGATTGTTGAATATTTTGTGTAGACGCTTGAGATCGATTAACTAAACCAGTGGCTAATAAATAATTAGCAGTAAACTCATTTGTCTAAATAAAAAGAAGATAATTTTTGTATTGAGAGAAGAAATTCTCTTTGTATTTTTTCTTCAATACTAACATTTGATTTGAGATTTGTTGATGTACGATTGGGCGACATAGTGGTTTCATTTATTTTCTAAAACAAACGAAAATATTATCACTATTTCTTTTCCTCGTGACAAAAAGAAACGTCTTACTCGAACACCAACCGAGAAAAGAAGTGATTGAGCTGGATCATAGTTCGGTGTTAGTGCTCGTTTAGTAGAGGGAATGTCAAAACGTTGTTTAGATGATGTCAATCGATGTATTCCTTCATTATGTTTTTGTTCAGTAAAAGTTTGAAGAAGAACAGGTGTCGTATGGGCTGTACTTAATCCATTATCTATTATTTGACGATTAGATGACGATCCAACACTGTTCGTTGAAGCTATTAAGAGTAGTCATAATAAGAATGATTAATAACTCATAGAGACACAAAAAACGATTAGATATACTTAAAGGTAAAGATGTTCTTTCATCTTTATGATTACCATTTGTCGTCGTCGCCGTGGTCGTCGAAATAATATGTTGATAATTAGCCGTGCGACGTCGCTTCTTCTGTTGTTCGATTTCTGTTAGTTCTTGTTCGGGAGGTGATACATTTCGACTGTTATTATCTTCATCATCAGTCAATTGTGGTTCATCGTTTGTTATCGGTTGATGATGGTCTAAATTGATAAGAGCAATCAATTAATTTAAGATGAGACATAATTGTTTGATTTTCACTATCTACTGTTAAGGAAAAAGATCTTACGCTTTGATTTTGAAGTTGTAGCATGGCCATTCATAATCGTCGTTGCTGTTGTTGTACTTTCTGATTGTTGTTCATTACCATTTTCTTCAATTGATGTTGCTCGCTTTCGTTTCTACAAAATTAGAATAGAAGAAAAAACGCAACTAATTTCGTGATCACTTACAGAACGACTTGTATCAGCACTGGCCGAAAATAAGAATGATGGATGAAGAAGTTTCGAAACGACATCTTTCACTTTATGCATCATGCTCTGTTAATAGAAAATAGAAAAAAATGTACAATTATATATTTTACAATCAAACCTCATTATGCTGATTATACGATGAATTCTGTTCATTGTCTTCATCATTATCAGATTCTGACATAGCAGCAGAAGTAGAATGGTTATTATGATTGGCAAAAGTTGGCATTATTGGAAAATGAATTAAAGCAAACTGGAATAACGTAAAAAGCAAAAATGATGTGTAAACATCACATTCGTAGGAAAACAATGGCATTGATCTAATCATACTTACATATAAGGGGGAAATATGTAATTACAGCACTCTAATGTGATATCTAAAGAAAAAAACATATGAAGTGAGAGATGGGAATACACTGTTACATCGAGTAATAGATGACTCACAAACAACCACTAATATTCTCTCCGTTCGTTGTCGCTCTGCGAAACAAACAACGAAAAACGTGTGGCCATTGTCTGTTAGATCAAGGACACCAATAAAGTAAATAAAATATATCTACATCATTCAAATTAAATTTATTAATGTCTTTTACTCGATATGAAAGCATCGAGAAAAGAAAGATTGTCGCTTAAAAATTCTACATAGATGTCTCTAGTTGGTTACAAACTATTTCATCTATGAGATTATCATATAGATTGAAGTGGAGAAAGGAGTTTGAAATTGAAAGAAAAGCCCACATGATGGCCTCAAAATTATAATAGACTTTCCGCATTCTAGAGTAACCAAGAAGAAAACTAATAAAATCAAAAATCATTTACTAGAGAGTACCCAAGTCGAACATTCAGACCACCGGCTCCCGTAGATACTCCAGAAAAAATATACGTTAGGGAAGTTAGCAAAAGATTCGAGTTTTTCCAGCCCGGTTTCGCCTATATGGTTGTGTTGAATTTCATTTTCGTTGTGTTGGATGCAGGATTTTGCGCTGAATCGAATGGTGTAATTTTTAAAGGGGGTTGCCGATCAAAATCTGGCACTTTACCTGGAAATACCGCTTTTTCTGAAAATCTTCTAGAAGTAATTCCAGCCTGGATTCGCTGCTTTAGCTGTGTTGGTTCTGGAAATGATTTTTGATTTTATTAGTTTTCTTCTTGAATTTAATATTATTCGATGCAGAATTTCATTCTGAATTCAACACAGCCATTTCCAGAACCAACACAGCTAAAGCAGCGAATCCAGGCTGGAATTACTTCTAGAAGATTTTCAGAAAAAGCGGTATTTCCAGGTAAAGTGCCAGATTTTGATCGACAACCCCCTTTAAAAATTATACCATTCGATTCAGCGCAAAATCCTGCATCCAACACAACTGTATAGGCGAAACCGGGCTGGAAAAACTCGAATCTTGTGGATACTTTTTCATTATAGTAATTCCAGAAGTTGTCTCTGTTTTATGTATTTATTTATTATTATTTTTAGATTGTGGGAAAATAATCGGATAGTTCGTGCTAAATTTCATGGGGATAAAATTTGATAAAATTGAATCAGATGCTAAAATAGGTGATAATTTTCCATTATATGTTGTTGATACTTCTAAGTTTGCCATGTGTTATTAATACATCTACCATCAAGGTGAAACTGTCGACAAACAAAAGCATAATAGTTTGATAGAGACGCGGCTGGCGAAGCTGAATTTGACAATAAGGGTAGAATCAATAAATTAATAGGACTATATCCCATGTTACTGCTACAATGGTAACAGGCCGGACGAAATATTGTCAAGGACGTGTGAAGGTGATCCATGATCAAGATTTTCTTTATACCGTTGGTCAATGAAATAGCATTATGCAATGCACACCAAACCAATGAGCCTCACAACTTCGAAACATAGTAAATAGTAGTTTCTCTGTTTATGCATACTAGTTCCTTCTTATTTTCTTACTTCTAGGGTCAAACAGTTTACATTCATCTCACAATTGTTAGATGCATGAGATAGGGCATTTAACTCTACATCTAACTCAAGTGATAAGAGACCTAACACAAGTTAAGTATGGAATCAACAAAGGAAATACCACAGAAAACCTATTCGAGATCCAATCTTTGTCCTAGAACGTTCTATTTGCTCCATCATCCCCGAAAAGAGACGTACCATTGGATAGAGCTCGAAATTCTGGATCTAACAGAAGCAATATATGTTCATTCATTTACCTCTTAAATCGGAAGTATAGATGTCACTGCATTTCCCTCGTTCTATAGAGGGTTACTGATGCTAGGTAACAATATGATGAACATTTATGATGGTAGCAGAATTGTTCAAAGATTTCATTTTAATCCGATCTTAACCGCACCTTGAAAAAATTGCTTATTCTTTTGTTCTAGAAAACAAAATCATCTTGTTAAGTATAGAATAGCAACAAACAATTTATTGTCTTAAATGTACACAAATGTTTAGTACAGAAACTGGTAAACGATCAACTACACCTAAAAGTATGTACTTGACTGATTGTCATCAGAAATAAATTATCGGAATTTTTCAATCAAACTCAATAATAAAATCAGAAATGCATCGCAACAAAATATGCTGTTTCTTTTAGAACAACGATCAAGATCTCAATCTCAACAAAAAGAACGTATTCAAGAAGATGCGGGTGTACGAACAAGTTTGCCACCATGTGTCGATGGTCCTGTTTATGCGATTCTTATCTGCCATATACCTAAATTTCGTTGGATTCCAAAGCATCAAACTCTCTGTCGATCTATAACTATTAAAACTACATGGTGGGGTGAAGATGACGCTTCAGCGACATTCAAGTAAATAGAAATCATCGAAAGTAATATTGATTCTTTATATTTGAATTTTTATATTTGCTAGACCGCAAATTTCTGGTACTTCACCTGATCATCATCAACAACCGAGTACTACAGTAAAATATTATATTCGATGTGAACTCAGACAATTTTCAAAATATTTAATAGGTTCGTAATTGTAATAGAAAAATTATCAATGCAGTTTGATTCATGTTATCTGTTTTTCTCGATATAGATGCTGCTGAACTAGTACTTAAAGTATATGACACTGATGCAAATCGTATGATTGGTACTGCTAAAGTGAAAAATTTATCGACACTTTCAACAAGCAACCCTATCAAAGGTTATCTCTCTGTATTCTCAAACAAAGGCGATAAATTAGCTGAATTACTTGTTGCATTACGTATTTTTCTTCCTGGAAGTAAGTTAGAACTGATAGTTTATCTGGTTCTACAAACGCTTTTTTTTCTAGCTCATGATAGCAATGAAAATCTAACAGCACTAAGTTATATATCTGATGTAAGTAATTCACCTTCACGACGTAATTCATTTGGAGCCAATGATTATAATCAAGTACGTTTTATTGAATATGAACAAATAGTTATCAGAAACAAAAATCGAACATTTCCCTAGGGTGATCAACTTGAAAATGGTCTACAAACGTATACAATCGATCGAACTTATAATGTAGAAAATCTGAAGTCAGCATCTTCGAATGATACGAAACAATATCATAGAACTAATGGAAAAAATGCACCACCTGGTAATAGAAATAGTTTGAGATTTTTATCTGAACTATAAATTCTTCAAACATGTTTTAAGGTATGCAAGCATATAAAGCACTTCCATCTGGCAAAGTGATTGAAGAATTAATTGAGCGAGCTAATCGTCTTCGAGAAAACGTAGCTAAATCATCATTACAACAACCGACAGCTATCAGAAAAAATAACCATTCTATGGAACCAACATTTAGTAGTACTCATAAAACAGAAACTTACGGAAATAAATCATGTGAACTTCTAATTGATGATATAGATTCGGCAATTGATAGTGAAACTATGTATGATATGATCGGTGTAAAATCATCATTAAAATCAACTGCAAATTTAAATGATTCATATCATTCACTTTTCAGTGATCTCGATGGATTAGAAAATGAACAAAGTCTATTAGATGATCTTCTTTATGGTGGTATAACAGGAAGTGATCATAATAATAATAAGACTAAAACGCATAATACAAGTTTAAATAGTACAAATCGCAATCATCATTCGTATAGTAAACCATCAACAGGTCGTTCTCGAAGTCCTAGTCTAACACGTGTTAATGGAATAACGAATCGATCACGTTCATCAGCACGAAGTCAAAGTTTAACGCGAAGTTGTGACAGTGATGTAGGTTCACGTGTTTCATTTGATGTTCATCATTCCGAAATTGACGATAGTGGAAATGGTAAGATAAAGTTTTAGTTTTTCTCAAAAAGATTGTCAATGAATCGATTGTCTTTAGAAAGTCACGATGCAGATGAATTAAATATTGAACGTATACAATTGTTAAGTTATGTTCGTACAGCTCGTATTCGTATCGATTATCTTCGTCTAAATACTCTCAATGATCGAGAATCACCATCACTTTCATCGTTTGGAAGAACAAATAAAAGTAAAAGAGCGATGTAAGAACAAAACAAGTCCTATTTTTTCTAAAAACACAGTTATATATCGATTTTTTATTGAATTAGAAATTATTATATTGAATATCAATTTCCAACTATGGTTAGTAGTCGTGATGGTCAAATAAATGAAATAACGGAAGTTATGAAAATAGCTTCAAAACGTTTTGAATCAAACAATGATATAACTTTTTCTCATTTATCAACATATCCATGTTATTTTAATGAAACAACATTAAAAAGCTGGTGGCGTTCATTATTAATATTTAAAATTTATAGTCGTATGTCAGGCACAAGCAATCCAGAACAAATTGGTTTTGCTATTGTGCCACTACGCAATATATTTACAGCTGATTATTTACATATTGAACAAGATATAAATGTTATTGATCGTACACAAATGAATAATAATCAAAGAATTCCAAATAAAGTAGCAAAGAAATTTTGTATTGGTCAATTACGTTTAATGTTTGAACTTGATTCTGATAAAAAAGATTTTAAAAGTGAACTTGATCAAATTCAAATAATGGAACAGACGAAACCAAAACCTCAACAAATTTTAAAAGGAAAAAAAATTAAAAAATCAAAAAAATCAATTCTCCATGCAAATAATAATAATAATTTACATCTACCGAAAAGTTTTCTATCAAATGAACCACCAGACTTAACCGATGGAATAGTCGTACAACTATATCTTTCAATTGTTGAAGCTCGAAATATTCCACAAGTAGCAAATAATAGTAATGAATAATTAATAGAAAGTTTTATTGTTAATAAAGAAGAGTTTTTATCCTATGTAGGTAATCTACCACGAAATCCTTATTTCATTTGTCGAGCATTTTGGAACGAAGAACCGATTACATCAGTTGTTTGCTGGGGAAGTTCAACGCCAAGATTCAATTTTCAACAGGTTGGATATATACTGTATGATTTAATACTTGTGATTCGATAGAAGTCATTTGAGACAAATTGAATTTTATCAGAACTGAAACATATGACAAGCAAAGATGTGTTAATCATGACATTGACTTATCTAAATAATTTTGAATATGAGCAGAGCTTCTTTTGCCGTCGAAATACTTACCATGCATTTTACTTGTAGTTCAACTATCGATAGGGTTCCAGTCCTATAGATAAAAGTTATGGAAGAATATTTTCTTTAGATCTAAAATTGATAGTGATGTTGAGAATGTCAGAATAAAAATTGTGTCTAGAAGAGAAAAATGAAATATTGAGTTACTGCATCAGTGGAAGTATTTAATCGCGTTAATTGATTCTTTTAAATTAACTTATAGAAATAATGAAAACTGTAAGTGTTAATTTGAGTAAGATATTTTTTCACAATTAATTTTGATATTGAAATCGATGCTCACATTTTAAGATTTATCCGAAATCTATTTTTCATATTTAGAAAATTCCATTATTACTCACAAGATCCACCATTGAAAAAATGCATCAAAATTTTATTATAATTGAATTATGGGATAAAAAAATATCTGGACCATCTGATCAAATAATTGGTTTTGTTAAAATACCATTAGAACAATTTCATATCTCATTTAGAGATAAACAAATAAGTCGAGTTCTTTTACGTGCACAATATCCAGTAATAGGTGTAGACTCTTGGATGGCTATTATCGATCCATTTACAAGTACAAATAAATCCTCGGGCGAAATTCAAATTTTCTTAGCTATGGGTACAACCGAGCAAATAACAGCCGTACAAGTAACTAATGCAGGTGGAGATTTATTTCCTTCATCAATAAACAATAAAACAACATCAGTAATATATAATAATGAGCAATCATCGCCAACATTCTCCACCTCATCATCATCATCTTTAATTGAACATCATTTTGAAATAATGATTGAAAGTATAAATGGTTTACGTGCATTTGAATCTATGGTATGGGGTGAAAGTGATTGTTTTATACAATATTCATTTCCTATTGAACATGAACAACAATTAACCAATGTTAATGCAATAAAACCATTTAAACTTCGTACGATACGTACAGCTACTACACTATGTACATCGGATCCAACATTTCACGATACAAATAAATTTCGCTATGTATTATCACCTGCTGATGCCCTGCATAAATATTTTTATGCTGGTAAAAATAAAATAAATAAAAATATTGAAATTGAAATTTTATTTTCATTTAGCTTGTCAATCTTCGACACCGATTGAAGCTAGTATTCCATTTGAAGTTTGGTCAAGATTTTATTATCCGAATATTCGTGATCAGCTTTTAGCGAAAGTGAGATTAGTTTTTTTTTCCAGTTTGATAGATCAGATTTATTATGGTGTTCTGAATTTCAGGGTAAATTATCAGCTGCAAAATTATGTAGTATGACAACGATGATGGAGGCCGATATCAATGAGAAATCTATGCAGTCATTTCGTATACCATTAGAAATTGTAAGAGATGATCCTAAGCATGAACAACATCATTGTTCATCGACACCAGTCTATGGAGGAGATCTATTAGTAACAGTTACTTATAAACGAAATGTTATTATGGTAAGTTTTCATTATCAATTGAATAAAAGGACTGCTTTTTTTTTTATTCAATTCACTGTTTGTACAACTTTTACTTAGAGTGATAAATATCAACTAGTTTTTTAAGGAATTCTAGTTCTTAAATGATGCGTAGTATTGATCCAAATAAGATATTTTTCGTCAAGTATTGGAAATGATAGAATATCTAACAGAACAAAAAAAAATAAAGATAATCATCTTAAATAATGAAATTTATCTGAGAAAGTGAAAGAATTAAGAACTCCCTCCTACGAAATAGAAGTCCCTGTAGAATTATTTAATACCATAGGCTGTAACATTGACAGTAGATCAACAAAGGAAATTTTCCGACCACTGAATAATTATTACCCTAGAGATGACCTTCTACTCTCTATCGGAACAATGTGTGTACCATGTACTCTCATTTTCGGTCGACACAGTCATTGACCCTCACAATACTCAATTGAATCATTTTAATCGTTCTTAAAACGAAGAAAGATGTATTATTACAGAAAATATGTTTTTATTATAGCGAAACGAGTCGCAAACAATTCCTGGCCATTTATCCAATGATAATTCTCAAGTGTGTATTTCGGTTGGTGTTATTCGTGTTTGTGGTTTAAAAGTAATTATGTCTTAAATCGCTCATTTCTCTAATATCTTTCTGTTTCTTCGTATCCTATAGCAAGTTGCCATGCTTCAAGCACTACATGATACTAATTTTAGTTATCCATCTCAAGTGGGTCTTAATACTTATGCAAAAATAACATTATCATTTCTTTCCGATATGGTGAATTATTTCTATTCGCTTGTAAAAAAAAAATAATCTCATATTTCGTTCAGGAATCTCGTTCAACAAAAACAATGGGTCGCAGTTTTGTACCTGATTTTAATCATACAATTAATTTTCCTATTCCGTTAATATGGAGTGATCATCGTAGTCGATCAATATCACTGGCTGAAATGCTTGAACATGGCGAATTAAAAATTGACCTTTTTCATAAAATGAATTCAGATTCACAGGAAAAACAGACATTAGATATACACATATGTTATTGTAAAATTCCATTCAAAGAATTACTTATTCGGCATACAGGTTTCTTTTGAAAAGAAAATATTCAAATTAAAATATTTGATTATCTCTATCAATAGGAATCAAAGGTTGGTATCCATTAGCTAGTGCTAATAGTGTTGCTCACTCAGATTTATCGTCCGATTCAACTGATAATTGTGTTGGTGGTATTGAATTATTTGTTCGTTTTGGAGAACAAGATGATCGTCGTCGGCTAATTGATTCAGCAAAGAAACTTGGTTGGCTCGAAGCAAATAAATTAGATGAAGAAAATTTTCTTGATGGTGAATTTTGTGAAACACGATCTGAAAGGAGTGTTGAAGTATATAGGGTAGAAATTTGAACCCTCCCCCTCACGGACTGTTACAGAGAAATCAATTAATTAATTAATTCTTTTCCCTGTAACAGTCTGTGATGATTTCTAGAGACTCCATACATCATAATACAGACAATAACAGAGAAGCTTCACGGACAATCACCTGACCGTGATACACGGATTCCAGAAAAGGAATTTCATTGCGTTTCACATTTTGATCCCACAGGGATTGCGCTAACAACTTTTTCTAAACGAATATAATATTTTCTTATTTTTGTATAGATCAAAAAGATCTTGGTTGTCTAGTAAAATTATCGATTGATCGCATTCAATTTCCTACTCAACTTATAACACAGACAGATAAAGATCGATTAAGTGTTTTTGCACAATATCGATTTTATGATAAAAGTAATAAGCAAGAAAAATTATTTTTATTTTTATTTTTATCTATTGTCTCTTCAAGTGCCAATCATCACCAAACGAAAAAAAGCCACGGTTGACAGAAATAACGTCAAATGTGAACTTCAATTTAATAAAGAACATTTATTCCTATGTAGTGAACCATTCCTGTGGTATTTACGTGAAGAAAAATTAGAAATACAAATTTGGTCAAGTGAAAATGATACGTATGATTATTCACAATCGTTAGCATCAACAACAGATAAACTCATTGGTTCAGTTTATGTTGATTTAAATTTATTGTGCAACAGAAAAAGAAAATCACATCGATTAAGTGCGATTTTACCATTATTTAAACAAGGAACAAAAGATTTAACTGGTGCATCTGTACAAATACATCTCGCAATTGATAAATCAAAAGATTTTAATGAATTAAGGGTATGTTTTAGGAATAAATTTACATTAATCATTATTCAAGCAAGAATAATTCAAGTAGATCTTACAATAAAATTTTCATTAATCGAGATAATGGCTTTTCATGTGATCTCAAACTTTTATATCATTACTAAGCCTATAGAATATATTTTATTAAAGATTTCATATCTGAATAAAATGATATAGTTTTTCTGGTGAAATTATGCAGATATTCTACGACTTCTCTGATATATCTGCAGACAAGGTTTCACAGCAAATTCCTTAGCTTAAATTTTCAGTAAACATATAAAGTCGAGTTGGAAATTCAGTTAAACGATTCTGTCTGACGGAACGGTTACTGTTTTTGAAAACATTAGCTTGAATCCATCTATCTTTAACATAGCTCTAATGGCCACACGGATATATCCTCTTGCGCTTTTCTAGATTGACTAAGATCCCATTATTAAACTAATCGAGTAGTTTTATCGTTACTTTTGTGTTACATAGATATTATTCCGAAACATTCATTTTTTTTGCTATGATATTTTATTTTAGAACCAAAATGGTCTCGATACAGCTGATGATGCTGAACTTGATTCTTACTTAGACAACCGCTATTTGAATTCAATAAGCAACGATCGTACACTTCGTAATATAACAAATAATATTTTCTCAGTTTTAATCAATATTGAACAAGCTGCACATTTACCAAATATCTTTAATCAACATGAGTAAATCTATTGTTTTATTTTTCATTAACCTAATAAATTATTTATTTTATATATATATATATATATATTAGCAATACTCATACTCCACCGAATCCATATGTAACATATGCAACAGCTGATTCAAATCATTTATGTCGTACACAAGTATTAACATTAACAGCAAAACCTCAATGGAATCATCAACAATCTGTTAAATTATCGATTGAACATTTATTTAATGAAAAAAAAGTATTTATACTAAAAGTGTGGCATAAAATTAATGCCGATATTGAATCAATTCCAGGTATGACAAACAGAAAATTTTAGGCTTACTAAATTGATTCTTTTCAACAACAAATAGAAAAATCAGGTGATAAAGTTCTTGGTTTTGTTTCCATCGATTTAAGTCCGTTATTATCTGGTTTACAACAAATATCTGGTTGGTACAATATAGTTGATACAGTTGGGAATGTTCAAGGGCAATTAAAAATAAGTATGACACCACAAGACGATCTTTTTGAATTCAAACGTATGAAATACAATTCTCAACAATATCAACCAAAACTTGATTCAGTCCGTTCAACTTCAATAAAAAGTGGAACGATACCATCATTAACTCTTAATGATCTTTCTGCAAGATCTGTAAGTTCAGTAAATTTTTCGATTTTATTTTATAATGAAATTATTTAGAGTAATGGTGCAACTGCAAGTTTAAATTCTTCAACGATTGAAGACGAAACTAACAAAGAATCATTTTTAAGAAATAATCTTCGGTCAATAAAGAAAATCAATCTTTCATCCTAATCAACTTTATTTTCATTTTATTCTAGACGACAATTGGGTGAACTCGATGTTATGACTGAACGTTTAAAAGCTCGTTATTATTCAAATTCTGAAACATCATCAACAAGTCGAATAAATAGTGCTTCGTCGGTTCCAGCAATAAATTTATTGAATTTACCATTAAATAAAAATCCAATTAGTCAAGATACTGATAGTACACATTCAACAGCAACATCAACAATTCAAAGAGATTTACTAGAACAATTTCCTGAATCATTAAGTGGTAAACCATTGATTAGTAACGGTCTTAATGTAACCGATGTACTTTGCTTACACAATGATCAAGTTCGTCTTGCACAAGAACTTGTGGCAAAAGCAAATCATTTACTTGAAGCATCAAAAGACTTTTTTGAAAAACCTCCAACTGTTCCGACGCCGCCAGTATCGTCAACAATAGTTGAAAAGACATCTGTTACATCATTCTCACCACCACCAATGTTGCCAAATTTTAATTCAACGAAAGAATTTCGAACAGAAGATTATTCACCGAGAATCAATACAACAAACGAACACGTAAAGTGAGTTTTGAGAGTTCATCTTCTTTCGGTTCGACGCCAATTTAAATGGTGGATTAAGATGCATATTTATTTCTTCTAAAGCGTCAATATCAAACCTCTAATTGACGCATTCTTTTGCGATTTAGCTAATTTTGTTCATCTTTGGACAAGAGTGTCGTTCTTTTTCACAAATTCCTTGCAAATTATCAATTGTGTTCAGATAAAAATACGATGTGCTTGATTAAGATCAAAAGCAGTCGTTTTCCTATCGAACTCATCAGACAGAACTCAGTTTATTTTTCACAGAAGGTTTTAAAATTTGCTACTGAGCGATCTTCTCGATATAAACTCAGAAATGGGTGTACCGACAATCACAAACGACGCTTAAAATCAAGATAATAAATCAATACTCTTGTGGCGTAAAATCATCGTTTGTCAAGACACAGACTGATGAAGCGGATGGAGACATGGTGAATATTTAGTAAATCAGTAATTATGCAACGAGGGAATCATTCTTCCGCTGTTGTGTCAATCTAGGTCGAGGACATGATATTTTTAACATGTTTGACGATTGTCATAGATCTTCCATTACAATGACCAATATTTCTGTTTCTCTTTGCATAATTGCTGATTCATTCAAACATTCTAAATTAAATAAATTCCTAAGATATTAATCATTTTTACTTTATTCATAACAATGAGTTGAATTCATCTAATAATATATTATGCATGGAAAACTTCGATTTTTTTCCTCATCAGCAAAGAGATATGTGCTAATTTAGGAAGCATAACAGCTACTACTAAGGTCCAGTTATATCTATAAAATCTAATCACTTTGATATGCGTTTGCTTGTGCTATTGTCATCATTTTTAAGAAATTAGTTAGAGGTACAAGCGTATTAATCACAATGATTTCAGTGATAACTATATCTCAAACGTCTTAATCATTATAGTTCATTTTCTCCTACAAGCGCTAAATAAATCTATACTCTTGCACTATTTATCAATCTAGTCGATAATCTTTGCATTTTATTTTTATTTTTATTTAAAAATCGATAGTAATTCATTCGAAGAACATCAGCATCTAAATGATTCGATCATATGGTCTGATGACGAAGATAATGAGCATGACCAAAGTTTTCTGCCTATTGGTCTTCCACCAACACATCATCGTTCAGTAAAAGCAACATCTATAACATCACCATTACATGCCGAAGACAAGTCAACACTTGACGAACAACAAGATGATATTGATATTATTCATATCCGTCCATTAAATAATCTATCTGCATTTAATTTCGATTGTCAACAAATGAATGCAGAACGACTTACTGGTTCGAAATCAATTTTCGTTGTTTTTTTTAAATTTAAATTTCTATTTTTAGGTTCTTTGACAAGTGATGTTCATAATGAGTCATTACATCGTCCCGTATATTCTCCCGATATAACAATGAATAACAATCAAAATCCATATAAGAGTACTTCATATGATCGTCAGTCCCCAGAACCACAATCATCTTCTTCTGATACATCCATCATCGATGGCACAAATACACAAACGAATCAAATCGATTCATCTAATCGGAAAAAGACTTCACTAAATTTTTTTCAATCAAATCACGAAATGGAAGTATCAATGAAACAGCTTTCACAAGCATTAACAACATCAGTAAGTATTTTCTGTGTGTGTTCATGCATATTTTAGTTTCGTTTTCTTTTACAGGCAACAAATTCTACATCAAATAATCTTATTAGAACAATACATGAACGAGTTCATAGTAAATTACCAATTGAAATAACAAATACAAAACGTATCGAACAAATTTTTCACACTAAATATCCTTCAAGTTAAATTGTTTTCTATTACAGTGATAAATCAGTTTTCCTCTATTTCAAAGTTCAGATAAATATATCTGTTTTAAAAAATAACTGTAGATTTAGCTTTTTTTTTCTTGAAAATAATAAAACAAACATGTTTGTGTTTATTGTATTTTTGAAAATATTTAATCGAATAGTATTATGATTGTTGTTTTAACTTTAGATATGAATATCGTACAATATGGATATGCCACCGATTCATATGTGCGCTTTTTTAAATCATGAAAATGAACGATTAAAAACAAAAATAGTCAATCTTAAACAACATATAGGCCATCTTGAAAAAACGATTGGAGAAAGAAATCTTAATCATATTCATTCGTGTTCAATATCATGTCAAACAGATATTGATGTTCGACATCATCCAAAGCCAGCAGTAGAACAGCCTTCAGATGAAATTATCCGTTTACGTCGTCTTTTAAAAGCTCAAAATGATTTATTGAAAAGAAAAGAAAATGAAGGTGTTCATGATCAACAATCTTCATCTTCATCAGGACTTATTCATGATTATGAGCTACGTTTAAGACAGTGTGAAAAAGAAAAAGAACAAGCAGAAAATCGTGCCATTTCTGCTGAAAAACGTATGGCAAAATTTCAAGAACGCTATGAACGTATGAAGAAAGAAATCAGTGCACTTGATGAAAACTTTTTTAATGATATCGAAGACATAAAATTTGCTTTGCAACAAGCAAATAAACTTAATCGAGAATATGAAAAAACTGTACAAATGTTAAGCAATCGTCTTGGTATCCCCTATCCAAAAGTAGCAGTTAAAAAGAATTAGTTCATAAACAACAAATCTTCTGGAATGAATGTCACTCGTGAAGTATTTTCTCAATATCACTATGATTTCAACAATCTGTTGAAAACCGTATACAATTCAATTTTAAAACATGCAATTAGCGAAGATGTCAAATAAGTAAATAATACGAATCCGTAATCAGTCCGAATTTGAAGAAGTTTTTTTTTCTTTTCAGAACAGTTCAGCATTCTTTCTTTGGTTGACATAAATAGACTCATGGCTTCGCATGAAATACACATAAATTCGTATTGAAAGAGAGTTTTGACGAGGAGACTTAGCGAATTTTAATTCGTCATTGGAGCTAATATTGAGTTCACAGAGAAATCGTAGTTTAAGTAGCAAAACCTTAATTTGATTCGTTTGTTTCTGAATGTCACAAACTAAAATGTTCCTGGTATACTAAATGGTCGATTCGGCACTCCATTCCTAAATAGATACGATGACCTTAGAAATATCCTGAAAGTAGTATAGCAAAAGAAAATGTTTTCTGTTCTAAGATATTGTAGTGCTAACAAATACTCGTCTGTCATGAATATGTCACAAGCATCAACGTTAATTAAAGAGCAATGTTTCAACAAAGAAATACTTCTTTTGTGATTGGATTTATCTAGGGCGGAAATTTCGGGTCGAGATCTGCTTACTTAATTATTCTACTTAATAACGAAAAACCAAAATTGAGATATGAACTAGAAAATGACGAATATACTTCTCAGCTTTATAGACACGAATTACATTAACTGTTTTCCTATTCTTACTGAGATTTCCTTGTGGAATATTACTGAATTCACAGAGCGAATTGTACTTCGATTAATTCTCTCGGCAGTCGAATGATCTAAAAAGCTTTGCATGTTTTACGGAATATATCTGCATTAACAACAGTCTCTGTTGAAATTCATGTATATATTCATTTCTTTATAGCGATTGAGCGCTTTTTTACCCACTCTCTTTCTAAAATCCTTAAGGAAATAGTGACCTATTTTTATTCTCAGCTAATTTATAATTTCAATCAGAAATCTAGACAGACTGCGTTTTTTTATTAAATAGAATATTTTATATTGCCCCATGTTATTGCAACAAACCTTGTTATACGTTGTTGCAGAAAACTAAATTGTGAATTGTTCGAAACCAAAGACAAAAGAGTGTCAATATTGAGAAAATACTTAGCAGGACATTTATTCTTTCAATTTTTTTTGGTATACATTTATATTTTCTGTACTTATCATAATAGATTAGCATTTTATTTGAAATTTGTTTTTTTTAATGATTTCTATTGGTGAAAATAAAGAAATTTATTTACCTTAAACTTGATAAATTTTTTCATGTCATAGAGATTTTATCATTTGTAAGATGCTTCTTATTTGAAGAATGCTGATGGTAGGATAGATTAATAATGGGGTATGCTAATGTATATAGTTACCAAAAAAAGTATTCTCTTGATTAAATAAAGCCAGAATTTCCCCAAAAGGAAATATTTTCTTCGTAAACAACAGGAAAAATAGTTACTCATGGAATCTTAATTGTTTTAGGATTTATCAATGTCGACGAAAGAATAATAGTTCCATCATGAACTAGAGCACTAATAAATCTCAAGATTAACAGATGGATACAGTCGATGAGTGATTTTAGAACTAATTTCTAATAATTTATCACTAGTACCTGTCTGTATTATTATCCTAGTTCGTGTTTTTCTCATCCAGGTACTTCAATTCAGTACATATCCGCTGAAAAACAATGCCGTTAATTGCATGTCTGTTGTTCTTAAAATATACGAAGGTCGTAGGTTCGCATTTCCATAACACTATGTTTCTCTCTTGGTTATCAAATTAAGCAAAAATATGAATTAAAAAAAAAGCATATTTATCCATTCATAAAATGCAACAAAATAAGTTAATTTTATCAAATCTTCTTCATGTTTGATAAATTTCTATTGAATAAATATTTAAGATCATAATTAAAATGAAACATGATTATTTTGCACGTCAATATTGATATCATATGTATTATTATTGTTCTTGTTTTTAAAATGACATTTAATCACAAAACAGTTTCTTTTTATGAAGAAAAAAACAAATAAGAAAAGGAAAAGCTTTGAGACATTTTACTCTACATTTAAGACGTGAACATATATAAATATCTATAAAAGTGTTTCAACTGTTGAAGTTGGTCTAACAGATAATCCATGATTAGTTGATGAACTATTACTAAGCTGCTTATTCTCATCAGATCGTCCGCGTAACTCGTTTCTCTCATTCAATTCTGGAGTATCTTCATCGACAAAAAATATATTGGATTTATCATATAATTGATTTTCTTCACTCGATAAATGTGGTAATTGTGATCGTCTTGTTGCATATTTTTGTTTTATAGATGATAGTAATGAACTTCCATTTGAAGATGTTGAGCCTGATTTTGGTCGTTGAATATTTATAAAAGCACCTTGTGGTGTTGACTGTTGACTTATTTGTTTTGGTGTTGGCTGTAAATTATCATATAAACTACGCTGATTAACTTCTTCTAGTTGAAATTCTGTTTTTGATGCAGTTTCGACATTCTGTGTTGCGTCGCCATTATCTGCTGTATGATTATTTAATACAGTGTCGTCAATATGATTAAGATATCTTCGTCTTGTTTGTTCTGTTGAACTATCTGTTGGAAGAGTTTTCAAACTTTCTATTTGTTGAAAATGTAAATCAACATCTTGAAATTTCTGCTGACGATATACATCTGATTGACGATGAACATATAAAGCAACTATGTCACATATAAATGTTGCTAGCCCGAGAATACCAATCAACGAACCAATATTTAATGTTAATGTTATTACGTCAAAACGACCAGCTAGACCACTAACCTATAATAAATAAATATTTTGACCTTTTTGTCAGCTAATAATTAAATATTATGTACAACGTAGGAAAAAAATAAAAGATTTATTATATGTAACAGCAACACAAAGCATTGTACAGCTTTCTTTTCTTAATGTCAATCAACATTAATCAAAAAATGATTGCTAAAATCAATATTGGGTAAACAAATCTCTGGTGCACGTACAGCAAACAATATTTTTACATGTATGTTTGCTTGCATTTTATCGAAATAATACGAAAGATGACTTTTTTTTAAATACAATCTCGATTGACAATTTTGTGAAACGTGATCTGAAAGGAGTGTTGAAGTATATAGGGTAGAAATTTGAACCATTTCCGCTCTCACCCACCCCCCTCCCCCGCACAGACCGTTACAGAGAAGCTCCATAGACCATCACTGGCCGTGATACACGGATTCCAGAAAAGGGGTTTCATTGTGTTTCACATTTTAATCCCACAGGGATTGCGCTAACAGTTTTTTGTCCACTGAACATTAAAGGTTCTTAACTCGATCATTTAAATTAAAAATTATTGATATACTTCAATACTATTTCCCGTTCCAATAATTTTACCAGTAAACGACACTTCTACTAACGGAATTTATCAATGATTATTTGTAAATATGGCAAATAAGAACAAGAACGCTATTTGACTATATTTATCATTTTCTTTGCCGATGTGTTCAAACTACTTACAGAAATAATGAAACGGAGACCATATGCCTTAGTTAATGTTCGATATGATCGATTGTGATGTTTCCAATGTGATGCAAACCTAATGAAACAAACAAACAAGCAAAACATATATTTCTATAACAAAAAACAAGCGGAATTTCTAATTGGTCTATATTCTAACCGAAAATTAAATCCATGTGAAAATGATTGTTCTTTATATGGACCATCTAGTCGTCCAAATGAATATTCAGGCTTACAAAGATTTAATGATTTATCTAAATTACAATTCCAATGTATTTTAAGACGTATAACACCACCTAATTGTAACATTTTTAATTGTTCGAATGGATCTGATTCAACAATATCAAGTAAAGTACCAACACGAAATATTGGACATCCTTTATGCTCGCCCTGGTCATAGTGACACCGTTTCAAATAGGCTGCATCTTCTTGAATATTTTTTCTAATCACTTTAAAACGTGGAAATTCGATAAAATTTTTAACGAATATAGTAAAGTTTAATGCATCGCGAATTGGAAATGGTATATTACGATCATTTTCAACTGGACACCAACCTTCAAGTTCACATCTACCTTGCCTAGTTTCAGAAGCGTTTACGAACGAATTATTTTTTATTAAACAAATCCCTGTTTAACGAGAGAAAGAAAAAGAAAGCTAATTGAAAGAAAATATTTAGATTTAATTTACCAGTCCATTTTCCATTAGCCTACATGAAATAATAAAATATAGTTTTACAGAAAATAAAGCAATAGGTAAATCTAAAAAATTACCTTTTGAAAATTTTGATTAGCTAAGCAATAATCATTATCTGTACAACTAGACATTTTCTCATCGGGTGATTCTTGAAAAAATTAATATTTAATTTTTACTTTAACTTTAACTTTAAATATATATATAGTACATACCAGGACATTTTCCATGTTCTTGATCAGTACGAATAAAATTTGTCATTAAAAATAATGCATTATTCTCTTGTGGTGGAACAATATAATCTAAATAAAGATTGTTTTGTTTCTCATAGTCACATATTTATTTTCTCATACCTGCACCATCGATAACTAAAGTTTTATTTTGTCCTGTTTGATTATAGCCAATACCCTGTGGAAAAATATCTGGAAATAGTATTTTGTTTTCTAATTTATTCGTTTTATTTTACTTTCACTTTTAATGTAATCGATGAAATAATTGAGGTATCGGTCTCTTGGTAACCTTTCTTATGTATCATTAAATATATGACACCGTATATTAAAATAAGTAATTGAATAAGACGACACATAAGAGCAACTAGGGAATAAAACAGTATAACATTTTTATATTCATAACTTACCTTAATAGGTATAGAGTTTGAGTGGGAAAAATGAGAAAAGAAAGAAAAGTCTCTTAAGAGATTTAGATTTTCATTTTTGATTAAGAATAATCTAATCCCATGATAGTCTAATATCAGGTCCACTTACTTGAAATTGAATGTATTGTAACAATTTTTGGCGTTTCATATTCATAAACAAAGCCACGAACCACTGATTTAACATTAGAAAACGAGCAGTACTCCCGCAATGGCTCACAATGTAATTTGGCACTTGAATCTCTGGTTGCCATTTTTTATTTCAATATTAATTTAAAATAATGATAAGATTTGAAAGACGTTGGCCTATAGAAAGAAAAAAAGAAAATATATTTAAAAAAGACTTCATTCAATAAGATATTTTAGATTGTACTATAAATGTACATATACATATATATATATATAATTCAGATGACGTACGTTGTTTGACACTAAATTCAAACACTAAAAACAAAATGCTTGTGATAAAGTATTCTACTAAGTTATTCGGAAACCTAGACAGTTGATAACTGTCTTGCTAATGCTTTCCTTCACGCAAATATATCGTTCGAATGCTAATTGCAAGCTATCTAAAATGTCTTTACTATGTTCTTTATCGTTTTAACGATTACCAGCTGTGTCAGACATGTAATTTTCATTATCGGAGAATAAATGTTTCTTTTCTAGGTGTTGACTCGCGTACGAAGATATGTTCTGTATTTTAAAATAATATATTTGAAGTGTGATTCTGTGTTAATCAGCACGTTATACTATATTCAAATAGATATGTTACACTTGTATTAACAAATTAGTAGATCACTTTTTCTTTTTCTTCTTCTTCTTCTTCTTCTTCGCTTATGAATGTTCGGAGATAGAAATAGAATGTTAAAAAGAAGCAATTGGGAAATAAGTGTTAATTATGAAGGTTACTAATACAATTCAGTTCAGTTAAACATTTTCGCAATATATTAGTAAAAAACAAAAACATATATGTTAGATAGAAGATGCCTAAATGCACGTATGTGACACTTTTCTATTTGTGGCAGTAATAACAAGAAGAAATTCTTTGTCAAAATGGAGACTTACTATAGCATTGTCGTCTTACATAGAAAATGATGCGCAAAATATCCATAGAATAATTATTATGATATGATTCACGAAAGAAGACAAAAAGAAAGAGTCTGGAACAAGAAGAATTTTTTGACGTCGATATCTTAACACATAAAAATGTCTACCTAATGAATGTTTTCAACTACGCTGAAACATTAATAGATAATTTTTTTATTCCCTACCTTAGCTATGCTAACATTTACTAACATGATTAAGGCATGTTTACTTTCAATACTCATTTAGAAAAACCAGGCGAGTTGCTTTGTGACATCACACATATACACATCTATTGTTTCATGCTTTCATATACTTTCGGCAGTTAGATGACAGTTTATGATAAATAACAAAGAAAAATAATTAATGCAGCATATACAAGGAATAGTTCTGTTAAATGGCATGTTTTTTCAGTCGATTCTTAATGTTTTCTTTTTTTGGCGACACTAACTAGAAATTCAGTGCGCTGCTAAATTCTATGAATACTCTTGATCATAGTTTTCAGTGCATTGTATTCTATAAAATTTGCAGGTCTTTTGGGAAAAAGAAAACTATCCTTTTCCCATGTATATATAAGTAAATACTCATTTTTTTATTGATCGACTAGGTCAAGCTGTTCTTCACGTCGTATTTTGATCTATCTATTATTTGATATGCTCAAATGAACTGACGTCTTTATTGACTGATCAAATTGTAAGATAAAAAACAGTATGTTTTCTGACGTAGGATAAAAAATAACTGTCAATTTTATGTTGTACATATGTCTAGGTACAAAATAAGCAATATTTACCAAATGATCTTCTGTTTATAATAAGTAATCACGTAAAATCTATTTGCTAATTGCTAGAAATCTGCTTTATTTCAATAGAATTTAATGTCTAATAAAGCGAGTAGATCATATAGTAAACATGAATATTTTCAGAATTCAGAAAAATAACACAAAACTCATTGTTATATGTGAGCCGTCGTTCTACCGATACACTTTCTCTAGACAATCACTAATAAAATCTGTGTCAGTTTAACACTACGTACATCAACCTACGCTCATGTTTGAACATGTAATTTTGCATCTCTAAAGTTTCGTGATAGACAGCTGTATCATTTTAAATTCTATGAAGAATTTCTTTTCCCTCTACTATAATACATTATTTTCCATGTATTTTCAACACAATTTCATGATCATAATAAAATAAATCTTTATTTAAGACAGTAAACTATCGCTCATATCTTTGCTTACAAATCTTTGCTGATGAAATATTACTTATAAAACAGATTAAATTATTGTGTAGAGTGATTCTTTCAGATAAAACCAAAAGATTCTCTTACATTTGTTGAATAGGCAAAAACGAATTTCATACTGGATTGAAAGATTTTTGTCTCTATCTAATCGCTGGCATTATATTTCGCTTACAGTATGGCAGAGCATTGTCTCTCAAACAATGTGTCAAGGATTTACATTATTGTATAATAATTATTCTACTTCATTCTTGTTATTATGATAACCATGGTATAGGCCGGTTACTACATATTAGTGAAAGTTTCCGACATTTGATTTTAACGGCAAAATTCTCTCATTAAAGTTTAAAGAACATATAATATACAAACTGCTATACGCATATAAAAAATATTCTCATTCAACTATAAAAACTTGTCATACCGAGTCAATCAAAATAAGCTCATTGGTCCGTATTGTGATGGGAGACAAATAACATGTTCTTGCTTGGAGTAGCATCATGCGTTTTTATCGAGATTTTTCGTGCCCATTTGATAAATATTCTCTAGAGAATTCGTTCTATTATTAACACCACATATAAATAGAAATACATCTTTCGACCATATTATTTGTTATTTTTGCTAAGCTATTGATGCCTAATTGGGATTCTGTAGTAGACTTATCAATCGGTTTGTCTCATTAACCTCATCTTAATGGAGGAGAATAGCTAAACAAAAGTTTGTTTGCACGTTCTAAACCTGTATACTATTGAAGTTTAGAAGATATTTATTGTTGCGTTCAAGAATACATAATCAATAATTGACAAATATTGATGACTCATTCTGGCAAGATACAACATTTTATCCTTACACTTACGCATTGCCTATTCTATCATTCAGAATCACTAAATCAAAGTTCTACTGGATTATACAACGAGCAAAAAAAACAGCAGTTATATTCATCTTACCGTGATCAATAATTGTCTGTTTATTGGAATAGATTTGTTGAAATTAAAGGTAAATATACTTAAGGAAAGTGCATTGACTCAATCTGCGTAGAGACATAAAGAGAGAGAAAAAAATCAAGAAAAATAATACGAGTGGAACGACCGCCAACTGATTGTAAGCAAAATTAGCTGATTCAACGAACACATGAACATTCCTATTGATCGCAACTAGTTCTTGCTCTTTTCTTGTTCGGTTCTTCTTTTTATATGCTTCTCCTTTTCTCGCTAACTCACTCTCTGTTTCGTTTTCTTTTACGTCTTGAACCGTTGTTGGACTCTCGAGAACGCATGTTTGTATGCATACAAAGAAACGTTTTGATAATTGATAAGATATAAAATTAAAATTAAAATAGAGACGTGACCTTTGTAGTTTCAGGTCACGTTATTTCTATGAAACTCTCTCGAGACACTATAGTAACGTTTCCATTTATAAATTTTTCTTTATTATTTTAATTAATTAAATACCCAACAACCCTTGGTAACGAACTTTTTCTCGAAAATGTTTATAGTTAAGTTAAACTAGAAGAAATCATGCTTGTACTTATATGAATTCAGAACTAAACTAAGGAATCATACTGATGTTTATTTATATGCTATTAAAAAGATTTCTTATGAAAAAAGAAAAAGGAAACTCTATCAGCGTATTAATGGAATAGTTATAACCAAAAAAACAGATATGACATTATACTTTCTACGACTTTTGTATGAAAATGAAAAAATCCGGAAATAACCCAACAGATGTTTTATTCTTAGCCTGAAGCGTTAAACCAGTACAGAAGTGCTCGTCCTGTTCATTGTTATCTACTAAGTAGATTGGACGTCTATCGTATTTTTGCTAGTTTTTTATTTTGTCATTATACGGTTACATTGAATGACAAATGAGACTTTGTTATTGACTAAAAGGATATTTAAAAGTCAATCAAGTGATTACATCTTTGGCCTAGGGAATAAAAATGTAAAATAATCAGAATTATTTTATGTTAAATAGAATTTTTTTTTCTTCAGGAAACAATTGACAAAAGAAAAGATAAGTTGTTTTCTCTTTCTTCTTCGGACGCAAAATGATAGCACATAACATAAGCCATTAATAATCGAATATAGCGATGTTTTTTCTTTATATCAATATGATGGAAATCTATTTTAATATAATGAAAAATAAGTGGCACTTATAAAAGATGAGTACACTTATCAAAGAAGTTCTTTAAAACTAAACAGTAACACTTACAAGCATCTTAAAAAACGTTCTCAATATATTATTAATGCTCTTTTAAAAGTGTTCTTTGATAGGTATTCACAATTTTTGATGTTTCATATCCAAAACTATATTTAACTTAATTTAATAACAAGGACATGAATTTTTGCTCTTTTTCTGTTTGATACCTTTTTTTATTACTTATTCTTTTCATCGGTAACTCGTAAGAGCACTTTCTTATTCAAACATGTTTCTTATAATTCACTTTTCGGCGTGCCTAGTGTCATAGAAAAAAAAATGTAATTAGTGTCATTTCATTCTAAATTTAAGCAGATAAAATGTACGAATCGTTATAAAATAGCATTTCTCTTAATGTCATTTTTCTTAGATACTTTGTCGATAGCTAATATGTTCCTAAGCGACCATTAGCTGATAGATGAAGGGCAACTACATCATATCTAGAATAAAAAATAAAATAAATCAACGCTGCACGCAATTCAAATGACTTTCATGATAGAAAAAAAAACTATATTTCTAATATAAAATCAATATTTTCTTCATGCATAACTTAACTAATTAGTCGAATAAATATATTGATGGAAAAAACTCAAGTATAAAGATTTATCTGATACCAGAATACAGCTGTTATTGTCTGTGATTAATAAGAATGTCATATCAAATAATTATCCTATCTGAAACTACACTGATAACAATAACTTCGACTGATTCTTATTGCACAGAGGTTCTACGTGTAGGAAAATATTATTTATGGCGAGAGCTACTTACTTATCAACTATATTTCCCAACATATATTCATAATAATGGCAAGTCACAGCTGGATATTATTCGTGAAAAAAAAATGGCTTCCTCTGAAAACAATCATTATCTTGATCTAATGTGAAAAATTGTTTTCCTCCGATTGAAAAAAGTCATACAGTTTGTGTTCATTTTTTGATAATGCTTCGGGAAACTATTTTTTCGTCAATATGTGATATTTTAATTGCTTTCTAATTGTGCTCAATTAATGTGTTCTTTTTTCCATTCTCATTAATTTAGCCTGTTTAATAATTATCGTAAAATTAACAACAGGCATGTAAAACAGAAAGAAAAATAATAGAATTTATAATGTTACTTGTCTAGCTTGTTAGCATGTAAAATAATAGCTTGTACTAAAATCTACACGAGTCAATTAGAAAAAGGCTCATTTAACGCAATTCACGACCTAGAGCAAATTCCAACTAACATCGGAAACACTTTTATGTTGTATAGAACGGTTAAATACTTCCTCTCTGTCTCTGCCGCTCTCTCTCTCTCTCTATATATATATACCGACACGTGAAACATTACTCTATGTTTCATCAATATTCAAATAATGTTATTGTTATATAACTTTTATAAGATCTATTTGTAATAATTCGATGTTTTAACACTTTCAATGTCTTATGTTAGAAAACAAGATAGACAACTGTGCTTCGGCCTTCACAAGAAAAAAGTTGATAGCACAATCCCCATGCCGTATAGAACGCTCCGTAAACGACTAAACACGGTAGTCATTACGACGGCCAGCGACGAAGTCTCACGTACAAGAAAAGGTGCGTAAAATGTCGCAAATGGCGTAAAAACGGTATAAAACGTTGAATAACGGCGCCGTTTTCCGCCAGCTCAGAAAACGAAGAATATAGTGTTAAAGACGGTAGCCGTTTTCTCGCAAAGAAAACGGTCCGTAAAACGAGCTGATGGATTACGGCGAAATAAAGTGACAAGTAATGCCTCATTATACCGTTTTATAGCCGTTTCAGATCTTTTAAGATGCTTGGTCAGACGGGTGGAATGATTATCCTCGGGTAACAGAAAACGATGTGATACGGTGAAAAACGGTAACCTTTTAGGTGACGGTTTCCGTGTTGTCGGAAACGACTACCTTATAAGGCCAACGTTTTTTACTGTTTTACACCTCTTTTATTCCGAGATATAAATATCGGTAAAATAGATGCTTAGACACTGCCGTTCAACTAATTCTATTTCATTTTCGTTTCTTTTATTTATTTAGTTTTATTTTTATTGTATTTTACTGTATTTTATTTATTTTACTTCTTTTTATTTTATTTATTTTATTTTAATTTTTTGATTATTTCATTGTTTTTTATTTTTTCCCGATATTTTTTTGTTTTATTTCATGTTATTTTGTTTGTAGATTTTTCTTTTGAAAATTAATATATAATGATATTATTAAATTAAATGCTTAAAAAGTATAAATGACCAGCGTAACTCTCACGTAAAACGGTGAAAAACGGCGAGATCACGTCAGAATGGAAGAAAATAGGGTGATTTTATTACTTGTCCTTTTCGTCGGAAACGGTCTTGAACGGCATCATTAACGACCCGAGGAAAACCAGCCCGTAATCCGAGCTGCCGTAAAACTGCTAAAAACGGCGATCGTTTTTCGTCCTTTAGGGCATTATTTGCGTCGTTTTTAACCGTTTTAGGCAGTTTAGTGCCATCTTTCAGACGGTCTGAATGATGAACCTGAGTCCCTATGCGATTAAAATGTGAGACACAATGAAACTTCTTTTCTGGAGTCCGTGTATCACAGTCAGCGGTGATCTATGGAGCTTCTCTGTTACAGCCTGTATTATGATGTATGGAGTCTCTAGAAATCGTCACGGATCGTTACAGAGAATTCAGAGACCATCACAGACCGTTACAGAGAAATTAATTAATTAATTTCCCTGTAATGGTCTGTGGGGGGGGCGCGTATAACGCCTTGATGAGGATCAGAGGCGCAACTAATAAAAATGCCAGATACCACAGTATTGGTTATGGCAGAATGACAACAATCAAAATTAAATAGTATTGAATATTGGATGAAGATCTAATTGCTTATTCAATGAACAGTAATAGTTGAGAATAAGAAGAATTCCACAAGCAAGTAGCTGACACGAGTTCGAACGATTGTATGAGACAATCGAGTTGATTGATTGTAATGAACAATCAAGTTGAAAGAACAGTAATATGTAATTAATCGAAAAGAGGATTCTTTTTGATAGAGAAGAAAAATAGTAGTCAGAGAAGATACTCTCGAATGATGAGCGAAAGGGATTGAAAGAATGAGTATAGGTATATCTCAGTGAAGATAGATATATGAAGAAGCTTGAGGGGAAAAGAGAAAAACAACGAAATAACAATACTAGGCGCAACAACAAACAAGAGAAAAAGGGAGGGAAGCTAGAAAAAGAAACAAACAGGCACTAAGATAGCATCAGTGACGCTTATGCTGTGGCAGTGGGGTCCAAATTTCTACCCTATATACTTCAATACTCCTTTCAGGTTGTGCCTCACAAAACAGAGAGCCGGCTATTTGCTCGCAAGGATATTTGGTCGTGTATGAGATGTTCGTTTATTTATCAACGATACAATTGAGAGCTAACTCAGCAAAACTAATTCAGCTGCGTTAATAGACAACTGATTAGTAGTGTTTAGGAAATGTGGGAATGACGCTAAGTACGAAGGTGAGAGTATAAGTTGGAGTGAACGCAACATCCATTCAGATATTGTTAGTGCTATATCTGGTCGGCAACTGCCCTTGAACACATTGACTTACAATTTTCTTTAAAATGCGTATATGGACACCAAAGGTTAAATTGAAGAACATGAGCAGTTTATTATCATCAATGCAGAGTGTCTGTTGTCTTGTATATTGTTAATAAGCACTGCAGTTATTAATAATACATATTTTTGTGCACAAATGTCCTAGCGAGCAATTAACATGAATCCCACAAAAACACGTTGAGATTCAAATCATTGCTTTGTTTGGAATAGATTTTCTTAATTTTTCTAATCAGCTTTGTAAAACCATGTGAGAATAGACAACTAAGCAATTTTCTAAAAATAATACATCACTGGAAAGAGCACTTTCGAACATTAATACAACGATCTGCACAGATAGTTTATGCAAGCATAGCCTATGAGCTTTAGGCGGTATTGGTAGTATTTTTGGTTTATGATAAGGATATCAAATTAATGCTTCTAACATAATGACATAAAATTATATGTATTTTCGATAAGATAAAATATTTTGTACAAATTATTACCGGCTGCGATTTATTTTTCTTTATCAAAACTTGTAGGTAAAACACTAACATATAAAAACAAACGATGATGGCAATTTCTGAATAAGGAAACACAAAAGGAATTTTCAGAAATGACAAATTTTAAGCGAATAAAAAGAAAAACAAAATATATCGCATTTGTCATTTGATTTCAACATTTTTGCTACCACTCGAATATCTTGATTATTTTGTTTTTGTATTATTATATGTTTGATTTTTCAGTGCTTTGTTTATAGTGGGCATCATTCGGCTTGATCGAATATCTTGAAATTGTTTTTCGACTTGTTCACATTGTTTAAGTTGATCTTTTGTTCGGCGTGCTAAATCTCTGCGTATATTAAATGTTTGCATAACATTTTTAATTAAACTTGTTCGTAATCGAATATTTTCAGCGTTGACTTTACTCCAATCTTCTTCAGCTTCCTTATATGATTCTTCGGCATCTGCTTTTAGTTTTTTTTCACGTGCAAGTTTATCACGTAAAACTTTGATTTCATGTCCATGGGCTATTTGCATACATTCAAGATTAGCTTCAAGCTCATCGTGTAATGATGCTAAACGATTATCGTTAACATCATCATAAATAAAACTATTATCTATCGTTGTTGAATGGAAATTATCATTTGTAGATGATATTGTTTGAGATGGTGGATCTAAAGAAGAATTTACTTGACTTTCATTGGAATATGTTTCCTCATTGGCTGGTTTTACAAGTAAAAGACGACCAAGACAATAATGTGGTGCATTACTCACTAAAAATATCAATGAATTATAATCATTTAAAAAAAATTTTCCGAATTATTGGATCGTTGCTCATCACTACTAAACAAATTCAATACGACCAATTATGTAAAAATAAAAGAACGTTTAAGTTAGATTCGCTATAAAAAAAAGACATTTATATTTAACCATTCGATTTAGTGGTGATCTTTTTAGAATGTTTTCTGTAGATTTTCTAGTTCGATTTTATTAGTTTCAAATTTGGTTTCCTAGTTCTAATAAACTTTACAATTCTAACAATAGACGTCATAGTTGCGTATATGATGTCAATTTTACTGTATGAGATCTTTTCTATATCTCATGATTTCTTGCGAACTGTTGAGCAACATGTGGCATTGAAAGAAAGGGAAATTCTTTTAGTATTCGGTCGAATTTATCTAACTTGCTGATTCTATGACTATTGCTTTGTCGGCATGAATCAGAATGAATGTAAAACAATATGGTGCAAAATGTATGCAAAATTTTTCTAGATAATGAGCACTAAAAAGAGTCCGGATGATAACTACAATTCGACTGTTCCAAAAAGTGCCCGGAAAAAGCCATCACAGCAGTTCCGATTACTAAAAGTGAATTAAAAATTGGTTCCTGTTCAGTTCCGGAAAATATCATATGGTACTAGACCCTCATAAATCATTAGATGGATAGAAAATGTTGCCTATAATGTTTTAGTAATTTTCATTAATGGGTAATTGAGATTCAAGACGTTCCAGGCTGGAGTACTTAAGAAGAATAGAAATATATTTATGTAAGTAATAGAATCTGTAATATCAACAATGAAAGGTCGAAACTGTCGCACTACAGTATTGAAAGAACGAAGAAGACCTCTAAGGCTTGATTCATACATATATTTAAGCAAAGCCTAATGTAAACTATAACTTTTATAAACATTCTATTTTGTTTAGTCTTGAAAAGATTATTATCACTGATCAATATACTGTTACTAATAACTAGCTATTATATGATATCATCGTACATTGATATCAGCTCGAAAATAAAGAATTGTTATTTTAGAGACCTATACGAATTCATAGGTTTTTCTATATCTAAAATTTCGTAGAACACTAATAAAATTTTCACTCTAAAAATGATCTACTTTTGCAGAAACTATTATATCATTGAAGACTAAAGACTAAATACTCAATCGTATTATATATAAATTATAATACAGAACTGCTGGACTGTTTATGAAGTTGTGCAAAGTAATTTCTAAGGTTTGAAGACACACTAGGTGTACTGTACAACAGATGAATTATATCCCATTGACTGACGCCTGTGAAATTTCACGACCATCTATTTGCAGAATTCTGAAAATAATCTCTGATATTTAAATAAGCTCCGACTTTTTTCCTGGATTATACTTGTAATGCTACAAAACTATGTTGCATATTAAATGCAAATGTTGTTCTTACCTATGTTATCGTGACCAGCGATGCTGGCAAATGTAATAAAAGCGAAACCACGAGAGTTTCCCAATTTATCACGCTTTAAGGAACATTTAGTTATTGGACCAAATGAAGAACACCATTCTGACAAAGCGTCATCGTCTATTTCATATGGAATGTTTTTAATAAATACTTGTCGACACATATCATCGTTCATGATTTATTTTCTTCTAAGAGTCTGAAACAGAATCATCACATATATATATTCATATACATTATAACGCATATTATTTATCTATTAGTTCAGTACTATTCACTGAAAATAAAACAAGAAATTCATATTCGTTGCAGAGAGAAATTCAGCAAAAAAATGTCAATTTTGAGTGTTATTATGTAAGGCAGGTTCTGGTGGCCATTTCGATGATGAAGGACTCATAAGACACGGAGATGAAGGTGAGAATGGCTGTTTAGAATTTAATACTTTTGACTTTTGTGCATATTCAGCTTCAAGTTGAATTGTTTTATCTTTTTCTTCGGAAAGAATCTGTTCATAATAAGATGTAATTTCAAAATTTTCTAACTCAGCTGCTAAATATTGTTCATTAAGTGATTCATTTTCAAGTTTTTTTGATTCGTATTCAGCTGATAATTTAGCATATTCTAAAAAAATTAAAATAATAACCAAGTATTTTAAAAATTAAATTCATTTTCAAGTAGATATTTCAAAAATAAGATAAATTTATAATATGTCAGTAGAATACCAAAGGGGTATTCGAGTATTTAATTCTTAATATGAAATTATGTTGAAGTTTATTGTTTTTCGCATGCAACCGCATTTATATTGGTTTAATAAAAAAATATACATAGATATAGAAAGAATTTGTTCGTTTAAATAATTTCAATATAATAAACCTTTGTGAACTTATTTTTAGTTCATTTATACTTTGATTGTTTCCTCTTGCTAAGGTGTAAACGTAACGAAATTAAAATATTTTTTTAGCAACCAAAGCACTTACCGAACAAGTCTCTTTGGGATTCTCTGGCAGGCTTGAGCCATTTTTCAGAAATAATGCATCGCCAGAGAAAATAGGTGTTTTGTTTACTTTTATGCATTAATTTAATAGGATTATTATTTTAATTATTTATTAAGCTGGTGAATACATCTTTGGTCTTTATTTCCATGGATGTTAGTTCCCGAGGAAAAGGAGTTGTAAATTCTTTACTAGTAGCTTTTAGCTACTTTTTATTTCGAATACATACATACATGTGAATGCCATACAATGACTTTCTCAAGAAATATTCTGATCTTACTGATTTCGTGTACTTTAATCATATTGACACTTGATCCATATTAGATCATTTCTCAATAATATCATCAAGTAGGAAATGAATTAAACAAAGTTCCATTACATATTCACTATGTAGACATACAGGAATTAGTGTCTCAAAGCGATACTCAGTGCACGGAAGGCATGATTTATGAAATGACTATTTTTTTAATAAAAAGTAAACTATTTACCTTGTTCTCGATCTTTTTGTAACAGATTCGTTTGCTCAGTATTAGCATCCAGTTGTTTTAATTGTTCTGAAAATTGAGCTTCAAGTTGTTGTCGCTTAGTAGCAAACTCTTCACTCATTTTTTTCAAAACATTTTGAAGGCGATACACTTCATTTTCTAGATCAATTTCATTAATCAGTTCTTTTGCTCCTGAATTACTCCTGCTGAAACCATTTCGAACCTTTGTATAATCATAATTATCATCAACAATTGCATCCTTGATTATTACATGTGATTGTTGTTTATTTGATTCATATTTTTTATTCATTATGTCAAAATTTGATGGTATAGATTTCATAACATCAAGTAGATGATCATAATAATAATGTGGCTTATCGAGAATGATACGGTCTACTTGATCTAAAAAGAAATATAATTTCTAATAAAATCGCAGTTTTTGTTTTCAATATTGTTTCACCTTTATCTGCAAATTCAACGAGAATATAACGGAAATTTTTCTCTTGACAATATTTACAAGCATACAGTCTTCCATATGAAGAAAAATAGTCGCGAAGTTCAGATAGAAATTCTTTTTCATCACAAATTGTATCACCAAAATCGATTACAACCATTAGATCACGTGTAGTTTCGAAACGTTCACGTGGATGTTCATCATCAACAGGCAATGCGCGTTTGACATATCTAAAGAAATCAATAGCGATTATATTTGCATATGTATATTTATGTAAAGAAATTTAGTCTCATTTTACAAATGATGCCCATCGAGATGATGTGGTCTGGCTTTCATACAATCATCAACCATGGATAGGTGCTTGTATTCTATGAAAACGAAACCACCGGTTGGTGAAGTAAAATTATATTGTACGATGCTACCAAATTGTTCAAAATAACGTCTATAGAAAAATAAAATGCTATATTTCTTTGATTCCAATGTAAACTTACAATAAAGTGGCAGGTTCGGTATTACAACTGACATTGCCAATACAAATTTCGGTGAATTTCGGATTGTAACGTTCTCGATTCGACGATGTGGATGACATAATTGTTTAAAAATATTCCTAAAGATTCAAGATTTAATATTGTTTTGCCTTATTGAAATTTAGATAATTTTAATAATAACGAAATAAATAAATTGAAGGATTTTAGTTAAGCAATGTTTTGCTGTAACAGAAAAAGAAAAAACCCAATGCCTGTAAATACTCGAGAATGGTTATCGACACCGACAAATCGTACAATAGGAGCGGCAGCACATGTAGATAGTAGTAAAAAAAAGTCAATCTAAATGAATCTATCTAATCAACGAGAATGAAATATTTAAAAAAGAAAAACGTATAGTATTTTATTGCCTAATGTCTATATGAAACGATTGAATCTGATTGCAATAGATTTGATGAAAATGACGATGCTCCGTATCTCGTTAGGTACGGGCACGTCATAGCATAGTGAATGCTTACTGACAGAAAATTGGTAGTTATTTATCAGGAAAAATATGGTATGTTCTGTTATCAGATTAAGTAACTCAAAAACAGTGCTAGGCCTTGTCTACACTAGAGAAGTTTGTGCTGAATTAAGAAACATCGTTGGTTGGTTGAAAAGCTAGTTCAGATTTAATGCATTTTAGAAAAGTGAATTCAAGTTAATGCACCAATCGATAAAGAACTTGATGGACTAATTAGAATCTCGGGCAGACCTCAATGGGATCGCTGTATATTATCGATAAATAGATATTTTATAAAGAACAGGAGATGAAGTATAAAAATTAAGAACCCTAGAATATTGAACGAAACTATAGTTGAAAGAAATAAGTTAGAAAAGTAGATATTTTGGTAACAAATTTCGTCATTTGTCGTTAATCATCAAAAAGAGACAGAAGCGACTTTTTCTTTATTGAACATGTGCTAAGTTTACACATTCAGACTACATTATAGCGGTTACTTCTCGATTCTGATTGATGCATTAAACTTATAAGTGTAGACGCACGTAGATTGAATTCGAATTAATGTCGCATTATCTTTCTAGTGTAGACAAGGTCTTTTAGATTGTTACAAGCTCTAAATTGAATCGGTGTATAAATGCGTATTCTAGTGCGTAATAAAAGCTTAAATGAAGTGTGAACTATTTTTCAAATCAAAATCGTTATTAAGAAATTGATACGGAAATAATATCAATGAGACAGCTAACATGTAGAGTTACTATGGGTATTTTCGTATTAATTAATTTGATGAATTAGAGAAAGTACTTATTGCATCATTTTTATCCATCAACTGAAGTCGATCTCAAATATTTTATTCATAACGACATAGCAAACTAAATCTATCAGGATACAAATAATATCGATTACTCTGAATCATAATGTTTCGTCTCAGGTTTCCAAGTAATATGGTAGTGAGCTTACAGCCAGTTGACTTAGAATCATTTACAAAAGAGAACAGATAAATGGCATATCAGTTTAGTTATACATCCTTCTTTATTATACTGTAACAGAATTGTTTTGCTCATAAAAATCATAGTTCCGACGCTTCTGTTGAATGCGATAGCAAAATATTGGTTGGCAGAAGAACTAACATTGATTTTAAGCAAATAAATTTGATGTAATAAATTCATTCAGTTCGTTCGATAATTTAACATGAACCATTGAAAATTTACTATTTTACTCTTATTGTATAATGGTCAAATGCAACTCATTTATTCAGCCATTCCAACTTAGATGAAATAAAGAATGTATTGTCCTTTTAAGAGTTACCAGGTTGTGCTCCTTTTGATCATCATCGAGGCATGATTATTTCCTGAAGCAATTAAAGGAGTTCTTTCATGTGCTGCTGTATCGAATAATAATAATATATTGTTATTTATCTCAGTAGTATTCTTAAACGAAAGCAAAGAGAGATCCCATAGGATATATTATTCGTCAGCATCCTAGACATTTTCTTTAGGTCTCTTTTTCACATTTATGGCACACTGGACAATTTCGCAACTTTCAATGTTGAACATAAAACTGGTTTACTGTGCGAAAAACTCCAGTTTGAAACGGTTTCTATCAAATATTGAACAAGTAGATCGTACGCCGTTTTCAATAGAGATATTAGAACATCCTAAAACTATTCAATTTCAAGAATAAAACCATACCACGAAGAAAACTAAGATTTTCGGTCATTTAAACGTTCAATACAGTTTTTCCAACAAATTCGTGACAGCGAAGATTTTCTGTAGAGTCACATACAAGCACGATAATTGCGTGTGCATTCTATTATTAGTCATACTTTTAATTTTTATAAAAATCAACTTGAATCAAAACAGTCTACTCTGGTACAATTGCTGTTATTCATAAATGAGAAAACTTATTTCAGAAATACAAGACTTTGAGTATCTATTCAATGTTGATGATGAAATAGTTTAGACTTCAGCAAAATATTTTCCTGCAACGAGTTAAATACTTGAGATGCTTCAATAGAAACATACAATAAATAAACCATCGATTTCATTCATTTTATCTATCATAACATAATTTCCTATTATATGATGTTGTTCCGGTAGATACACCATTCTTTTTTATTCATGCAAAAAAAGAACACGAACCTATGAATTCATGAAAAACTCATAAAAATACGGTCTTATCACTTCTAATAAGTAAAGACTTAAATATTCTTAATGGTCTAGTTTAATTCTTTTGTTTACAAGAACAANATATACATAAGCAAAAATATACTATTACTAATGTTTATAAAGGCTAGCTATATTATCACGTTGTGCTTGTTTAAGTAGATCAATTTTTTGAAGAAAAAAGTTGGTTTGATTTTCATACATTGTTGCAAAATCTGTTTTCAATTTATTAAACGATTGTAAAAGACGTTGTTGAACGATTTGTGGATCTTCCGTTTGTTGTTGTTTTAATTGTTCATTCAGTTTTTGAATTTCATTATTGCGTTCCATTAATGAGTTTTTTAGTTCAGTATTTTCTGCAATAGCTTCTTCGATCAGTTTTACCACTTCGCCATTCACTGCTTCTAAAAACAAAGGCAACATAATAAAAAGATTCAATTTTGAAAAAAAATTTTTTTTTGTTTTTCCGCATACGTTTTGTTGTTGTTGATGGCGATGACGTTTGCACTAGCGATTCGTTAATTTTATCTGCTAAAGTTTGATTATCAGTTTTAAGTTGTTTTATTTCATTATCAAGTTTTTCTTTTTCATTAGTTAACATTCGAACAATTTTTTCCAGTTTTTCAATGTGCTGTTTTTTTCCATTATGTAGTTCTTTTATTTGTTTCGATTCTTCAGCACAACAATTATATTTTGCTTGCAAAACCTAAAATAAACTTCATTTTGTTCCTATCAGAGATTTGTCATGTTTAAGAATTACTGTATTGTGTTGCTCCAATTCAACTTGTTTATGTGTACTACGTTCAAGTTGTTCGGTTAATGTACGATTTATTTCTTGAAGTTGTTCAACTCGTCTTCTATCGATTTGCATTTGGATTTCATATTCAGCTTTTTGTTTTTCTAATTCTGAAGTATGTTGCTGTTCTAGTTCTTTTTCACGTAATTTAAGGATATCTGCAAAATGTAGAAGTTCGTCTAATGACTTATTGAATCCATCCATTGTTGAAGTGATAAATACTGATTCAATATACTAATCTAGAAAATTAATTTAAAAAGTAAAATTCTAAATTAGCAATATCTAATTTCAATTAATTTATTTAAAACTAGCACGTCTTTATTTTTGGCATTCACAAGAGAAATGCTAGGAAAGTACAGTTAAGTTAGGATCATTGAATTTTAACCACAAACACGACTACTGAATAGACAAAACTGTCCTCTTGAGGGATTATTATGGTTTCACCTTATTCGCTTTGTATTTACCGATGAAAATCAAGAATAGAGTAATTCATTATGCTAAGTTCAATGTCAGTGTTTCTGTTTCGTTGCACAATAATCTTAAATCATAGTGCTGGGCATTTAAAAAATAAATTCCGCATTGTCTGAACCGACAAGATTTACAAGACTTTGCAATAACGAGTCAAAATCCCTATTGGAATCAGCATGATGGATTCCTTCGGTTGTGATGTCTTCGGTATATTTACTTTTGCAGATAACTATTCATTTTATAATTCTTGAAAATAATCTTATGAAATCTAAAACTGTTTCTTCTCCAGATTAGATTTCTTTATCTAAATTCTAACTCTAGAAATGAAAATTGAACCCGTAAGATCGAATTCTATGACAAAAAAAGAACCTTGAACTATTGTTTCTACTGCGATTTATAACTAAACTCTTTTGTACAGATATCTGATAAAATTTATTCGATAATCTATACTAATTTTTTTCCTCATATTTCCATTTAATAAATGATCAGTTAGACACGCGATAGGAGTCGCTTTTATAAACTACAACAACTCATATTCAGATAATTGATTTAACACTATTAAAAATATTATTCGCATTTCTACTCGTTTCTCTTGTCGTGATTAATCGATATTGATTTTACACATACATCTATAATGAATTATTTATTAAGAAGTGCTTCGACGAAAAAATAAAAACATATTGATGACAACATTATTTTATCTACAAAATGTATAGTGCAATTAACATATACATCATTTTTCTTTTCATGCTAACTCTCTTCTCACATACAAAAAAAAATTATAATACGCTTCAATACACAAAAATGACTCACATACACATTTATTTATAATTATATATATACAAATACATATTATTCTATCTGATACAGTAATTCATAACCTTTTATCGGTTGTACTTCATATAGTACAACTGAATCAAGAAAAAATTCTGGTATAACATAGTAGATTTTATTTTTTACACCAATATACTTTTTAACGACCGCTTTATCGTCGTCATCACAGAGCACAACTATTGTGATATTCATATCTAATTGTTGTCGATTTTGATCTCTTAATATAGTCGCACCAGATAATTCCACAAGATTTTCAAGTTCTATTCGTGTAAACATTCCTTGTTGACAACCAATTGAACATTCAACAGCAATGGCATATGGGTAAGATTTAAATATGGGTTGACGCGTTAAACGTGAACGATTCATACCATTATGTTGTCCTGATAATGATGCATCGCCAGTGATTTCATAGGAATCTTCATTCAAAAGACATTGCTTATTAAGACATTCTTCAATCCATTGATAACCAATAACATATTGATGATAGGCCACAGCAAAGAAAACTTTCTTTGTTAAACAACATATACGTTGTTCAACTTCACTTGCTATTAAATGTGTGGTTGTTTCATCAATTTGATTTGATAGACGAGCACAAAACCGACTACAGAATAATTCCACTTGTGACTAAAGAAAAATAAATTTCGAAGAAGCTTTTTTTCTAAAAACGAAAGTCAAATCAAATAATCTTACGATTTGTTGACGAGTTAGTGATGAGCAAACGAGTACTAGTGTACTCGATGGTTTCTGAGATTTTGTCGCATTGATATTTGAAGTCTATGAACAGAGAAATAAAAGATAGATATCGATTGATAAAATTCATTTCAGATTTTACTGATGATTTTCTTTCAGTGATTTCTGAATATGAAATATCTATATCAGAGTTTTGATAATCGTTGTCAAAAGCCTAAAAAGAGTTTAACAGATATCAATAATGATACGAATAAAAACTCATTTTTGAATCGATTTCGAAATAATATTTGTTTCAAAATAAATTCAATTACAGCAAAACAAAATTCATCTGTCCATTTGACTTATGAGCAAAGTATTGCAACTGATAAATAACATTTTTATTGCGATCGTTTAGGTTACGCAAAAACAAAAGAATTAACTACAAATATGTTGCAAACAGATGAAGCACTTACTTAATTCTTACCATGATACTAAGATTCAAATAAATGCTCTAGAATTGTACACAAATCGGAGAATTAATTTTCGAATTCCAACTCGAAATTTTGCATCGACGCAGTTATTAATGAGTATAGCTTCTTATGAATGTGGAAAACTCTTGTGTTTACAACTATTTTAAGACAGTTATAATAAGAGAATGCTGTTTCCATCAATCATGTAGAGTGATTTACGAAATTCTCTTATTTCAGAATAGAATTTGGTCAAAACTATTGGAGTTTCCACTCAAAACTAATTTTATCAAGGTGTGTCTCTATGATCATTTGGCAGAATTTCTCCCATCAGAATATTAACTGAGATTTTTGTCGATAATTTGTTAAAAAGTAAAACTAGCTAGATATTTTTCTCAACGATAAAATAATCCAAATAGTAGTTTACGAAGTTCATGACATTCTCTAACAAAGAATTACATTTCATGTCTGTTAGCTTTAAGAACTTTTTACAGAAAACTCATATAAAATGAAATAACTTTTCATTTTGTTGGGAACGATTTCTACTTTCACTTAGATCTAATGATAAAAAGTAAAGATGTCATGTATCAATGTGCTTAATTTCTATTCATTTACCTTTGTTGAATCATTAATTGAGTCTAAAAACAAAACAAAAAAGAAAATATGAATTTGAAAACAAAACAATAAAAAAAACTTCTCCCTACTAGTCGACTTAATCCGTCTTGGTCGAGTTGATATGGAGGTTCTTTTAGTAGAATTAGATTTTTTGTCTTTCGTCAATTTAATTTTTTCTGGTTTTTCTTCTTGCTTAAATTTTTTATTTTTATTTTTTGTTTTAGCCTCTTGTTGCTCACGATAATGTATAAGACAAACGCCTTGAGACTTCTGGTCGCGTTTAAAACATTTCTCTATTTGACATAATTGTTGCCAACGGGCACCATCCCACATGACCCTTTTACCACCAGCTGTCGAACGTACATATCCTTTTGCATAATTACCTGGTGATGACATATCTAGAAAAAAATAATAATAATTTCGTCAATATTATAATCAATGTTTAATTTCTGTAAGAGTGATTTTAGAGTCACTGACAGCACATTCATACTGCACAGTTTAAAACGAGCACACTTCATGCGTGTCCGTCCACTCAGTTAACAAGAGAACGCTACGTTCTTGTTAAATAAAATACTAGTCAGCATAAGAAATTTAATAGTATTATGCATTTGAACTAGTAAAATTTATTGTTTGAGTCAGTGATGTTTTGTTTGTTGTTTCACTAAAAGATAAAATAATAAGTAGAATAAGTTAAAGAGAATAACAAAATTTACAAGATCATTTTAGATATTTTCTTATCCTTTTTTTTTTCATTAATTTATTCTGCTTGCAATTTAAAGAATGAAATAAATTCGTTACGGTTAAATTGACATTTACCAACGATAATTTCTGGTGCTGCTTTTATTGCGTAAAATACTGCTGAGATCTTATTAATCTAAAAATATAAATAAATTCTATTTAAGATTAATATGTTTTACATAAGCTGATAGCTTCAAGGTATAGTCAGGGTCAACAGCTCTTCATAGTAGTATTGGAAAACTAAAGAGGTTACTGTTGAGAATACAAATAATTAATTTTAACAGAATTCAATTCGAATCATTACCAATGGCAAATAATCTTGATAATCCCAAAAGAATAGAAGAGATAGAACAATTGAAATATTTCTTTTCTCTGTTGAAACATTATCGGATGACTTTTATATTTAATTAGAATAGAATTATTTATAGAATAATAAAGTTCCACGGATAAAAATTCTCTGATACTTGCTTACATTAACAAATTTTCTCGGCTTCTATCATGAAAGTCTTAGTAATCTGAGAAATGAAACAATTGAATAATAAATGATGTCATGCCTTTACTACACTATGTTTGTGCTCGTATATACATTGTAAGAGAACGGGTATTTTTCCATCACAAATGACTCAGACTGTCTTCATATCTGGATACCAGATAATATGTATATGAACATTGCATACGATTTGTAAATCTATTACTCATGTTAATGTGAAATATAGCAGAATGGATAAAATTTGATGGTTGAATAATACAGTAAACAATCAATTTCTGGATCTATGAAATTATTAAAAAAAACTGTTTTTGATTAAATTAAAAATTATAGAAAAAATGTCAATTAATAAATTTATCTGGAGAAATGCATTATATCAATTTTTTACAAAAAGAAACTAACGAAAAGAAATACGTACTTTTATAATCAGAAAAGCTAATCATGAAAGGAGAGAATGATAATTATAATTATCCGAGAAAGCCAGAAAAGATGCTTCATATGTGAATAATTTCGTCATATAATAATTCTCTAATGTTGTTTTCATTTGACAAATAGCAGAAAATGATTAGAACGCAAAAAATGCATCTACTGTAATATTTATCATATAAAAAACCATTTAGTATACATTCTCCTGTTTTCTGAAATAATTACATGTACAATTAATCCTTATTTAGAGTAGCTGTTTAATTAGCCAATATCAGACATGACATGATTTTCTTAAAAAACAAAAATGATATTCAAGAGAAAATATAACCTATCTATTCGTAAACTTGTTTAGTGAAGCATACAAAGTTACTATTTAATTATCCATAAATATAAGAAAAAGGAGAAATGATTAAATTTCTATCATACTAAAAATTTTTTCCGTGCGTTGTAAAACAGCATCATATAATGAGATTTTTATTGAAAATACATCTGAATCATCGATTGATTGAAGTTTTCGAAGTTGTTCCATTAATTGTTGTCTTAAATCTGAATATTTCAATTCTCTTGTTTGAATTGCTTTATCACGATCAAATTCGTCATCATCTAATATGGTTTTAATTATTTGAGTTTCAGAATGTTTTAATATAGGTAATTGTGGACCAGATTTTATCTGTGAATGATGTGGTAAATTAGATTTTGGTTGACATTCATTTGTATTACTTTTATCACCAAATAACTAAACGAGAAAATTAGCATCTGTAACTTAAGCTGGAAAATTTTAAGGATGTGCTATTTTATATTGATTTTTAAAGTAGAACAAAACTTACATCAAGAATACGTGTTGTTTGGCGTTGAGTACGGAGAGTCGGCCGAACAATATTTACTGGTTCAGATTGATCTAACCGTTCGGGTACAAACTGTCTCTCGTTGATATTTTGAGCTAATGGTTCACCAGGCTAAATCAAAAAAGTTTATTATAAAATTAATTACTAAATAAAACTTTACATAGAGCCGAACATATTTATAAATCCATATTCCTAATGGTACATCAATATTTTTTAGAAGAAATTCATCCACTTCTGTTCGGCTAGGAATAACTAATAAACCAGAAGCTAATCAAAAGTTGTCAGAGAAAAGATAATATTTACTAATTCCTGCTCCTGTATATCCAATGCGTCGTTTTTCTTCTATTAGATATTCATAATCATAATTTAGTTGACTAAGAAAAAAACTTCAAATATATATTCAATCGATAAAAATAAAGGCTTACTTGCATGCTTGTTTTATTGCATAACTACTGATTTCATCATGGGATTGTTTTCTATTAGCATATAAAATGCTTGAATTTCTATTTGTACAAAATTGATCTTACTGAACATTCGATGGACGAGTAGCGCCAATTGATGTTCGCCGAGCGAGTGATGGCATTGGTGTATGAGCCTGATTACGTGGAAAAATTGAACTAAAATTAAAATCGACTTAAAATAAAATTTCAATTAAAAAAATTACTAAATTAGAATATTTACGGTCTCGATTGTACAGAAATATCATTTGTAGACTTATTCGTTGAACGAGCAATTGAACTAGAATTTTTTTTCTTCAAAATATCAAATGGAAAAGTCTATTAATATTTACTTCGTTTGATGTGATGCTTGACTAAAATCACGAACAGTTATTGAAACGAGTTTCACACGAATTTTCCTTACTTTCTACTACGTTGAATTGAATGCTTTTGTTGTTGTGATGAATGAATAGGGGGTCGCAGACCACTGAAAAAAATGGTATATTAGTTTGTTTTGTTAAGTAAATTGGTTTCATTTTGCTACAGCACATGATATTACCTAGAACGTACAGTTGATGGCGGACGAAGCATTTTTCAAAGAAATGTGGAAACGATTCCATACTGAAACAAAGGTCATTGTCTTGTACTGAATATCGCGGTTATAAAATTGAGGAAACGCTCTTTTTAACATGTTTTACTTTTTCAAAATAAATAAAACATATCAATTATCTTCATTTTCTTTCAATAAAACAATTTATATGTTTTTTATATATAGATGTCACTGGTGACGAATATCCATAGAGGTAATGTCAAGCAACGTAATAGATAGATTTGTTTAATAAACTAAATCTTCTTAGTTTTTAAACAAAATCGAAATGTCGCAATCAATTGATTTTCGCATAAACGATTTTATTACTGAATACCTTGATTATAAAGGTTTTAATGATACAGTTGGAATATTCCTAAAAGAACGTAAGACTCGTCAAGAACCAATACAACAATTAACAAATGGAAACCATATACAAGATACTGACCAAGAAAAATGCCAAGTTATCAAAGTATTTTCATTCGAATTTTCAATGAGAACAAAGCCAATTTGATTTTTCTTTAGGATGAAATGTTAAAATATTTTGATGATGGAAATCGAGAAGAATTTTTTCGTCTTTGGATCAAACATATACCATCAAATATAATCGAAAGTGATCCATCATTGAAATCACTTGAGTTTTTACTTTACGCTCATTTTGCTATTTATTATATACGTCCAAATAATCGAACTAAAGTAGCACATTTTAATATGTATATGTATATATATATATATTTACTTGAAATCATTGCGTTTTAGAATGAACAAGCTGGAAAAGACAATATGCAAGAATTTAAAACCTATATGGAATCAATTAAAGGACAAGCTATATCACAAACGAGTGATATATTACCTTTATTTGCATTGCCATTTGTTACAGCACCCGACAAGCATGCATCGTTTCAAGAGTTATTTTCAGTTAGTTTTATTCATTGTGTTTTATGCTTGAACGTTTATTTTTCGATTTTTCCTAGAATGAATGGCCAGTACAATTACGTAAAAAGGTTTTAAATTTTTTTGATTGGATTTTTTCTAATCGACCACTACCGCGTCTTGTTGAATTATTACAAAATGGTGAACGTGCATCACATGTATTAACACAAATAAATAATGAACACGAAGAGCTTAAAAATCGAAATAGAGAAACTAATAAACAAATAAAAAGTTTAAGTACTGATTACTGTAATTTAATTAGTGAGTAAATTTTTGATAAAAACAAAAATAAGTAGATTGATACAATCTATTTCAATAGGTATCACTATGGAATTAGTGGAAACCTTACAGCAAGCGATCGTAGGGAAGACGATTACTAATGAATATATTGACAATGTTTGTTCACGACTTGGTCTAGAAAGATTACGTGAATCAATGTCTCATGCAATGGAATCAGCTCGTCTTGGGTAATGATAACTTTTCATTATTATCTAAAAAATCGAAAATATTTCACTGAGACTGTAAGCATCATATTTCAAACTCAATACCTTTGTCGAGAAGCATAGGGTTTATATTTATATAGTTGGATGTTGAAATTTCAAAAAAGATACTAATTATTATGCGAGTATTTAAGTAAGTCAGTTAATATGATAAGTTTATCAGCAGTAGTCCAACTTTAGAATATTAATGTTAGTGAACAGACATCTAAATTGAGCGCTTGATGCGTTTACATTTTTAAGATTTAATCTTAGGTTAGAGCGTGAGTTTTCTTAAATCATAAAAACAATGAGAGCCAGTGTTTTTTCCAGGTTTTTCAATCCGAGAAGGCGAATTCATTTGTCAGGAGAGCAGATAAAAGTATTTTAAGGGACGACCGACCATGATTAATATCAAGTCTATTATACTGATACTTTCAAAAGATCTGTGTTTTGTAAGTTACATAAAAGTTAATTATTTATTTCATTTTTCTCGCGAGACCAAAATGACGCTTGCCATCTCGCTGGATAAAACACTGATGATAGCAATTTTATTTTTATAATACTATGATCATCACCATCTCAGATATTTTCCTTTTAAAGAATGAAATTACAATGTTTTTATTTTGCTTCTATAGGATCGATGATCCATTTGCGGAAAAGTTGGATTATGATAAAATCAAACGTGATGTTGTTCACGTTTCAACAAGTCCACGCCAAAAATCACTTTTACTTCAAGCGTTACGCTGGAAATTAACAAAAGCTACAACCGATTTTAAACGTGAAAAAATGCTTGAATGTTACATTAATTGCGATTTACTTGGTTGTCGTACTGATGTTGAACAAAGAACAAAAATCGTTAAAGAATTATTGTCTCCGTCGTCAACTAGCGATACGCGTTGTGTGAAAGAAGAATGGGCACGTTTCATTAATACAATTGCTTCATTAAGAAAAGGTTAGATAAAGAACTAATTTGAAAATATATCTATTCTGTTGTTTTTTCTACACATAAAACTATAGGTCGAAATTACTTGGCACCAAATGAATCATTGATTGTTGGTATGCAGAAAGCAACTATTGCAGAACAATCCGATACACATACGAAACAGCATCTTTTAGCAGCATTGCAAAAGCTGAGTCTTAGGTATGAAAAACTTTTTTCTTCACTTATAGATAGTAAAGTCAGCGTAATGCATGATTTTTTTATAAGAACTCTACTGTAATAAAATATCTCTTCTTTAAATTAAAAACAAATTGAACGAGTTTCATATGTAGGATGAATAAGAAAACTTAGCTTTTATAGACAGTTCAGTCAAGTTAACTTGAAAATCGCTCATGTTCAAATAGAAATAGGTTTACGTGCATAAGAAAATGAGAGTCATGACTAAGAATTGTTATAAATGTGTTATTTAAATTAATTCTATATGTGCAAATCTGAACTCTAGATATCACAGCCTCTTACAATTGCGTACATTCATTCGATGTTTGATTACTCTTATGTTAGATACGTTTTGACAGAAAATCCACTCATATATAAAGAAATTTTGGATTCAATTATGACTTCTCACAATAGGATTGCGATTGTCAATTGAAGATTTTTATTGATTCAAACATTACGAAACTTGAAAAAGCATATAGAATTGTTCGGTCAGTACTGAATATCAATACACGTAACTATGACTATCATATAATCAAACTTTCGATTGTTGAATAGTAAAAACTCTATTTGTTTTTTCAAACTGTGAAATGTTAAAGAAATGACACATGAACTTGGATAAAAACACTCTTTTGTTTTCATATTTCTAGACGATCTGTTCAAACTATAATGATCAATGAAAATATGATTAAATGGCTTCTACCATTGTTAAGTAAATCAAATTCTCTGTCTGATTATACTTTAGGTAGAATAAAATTTTAGCTCAAAGATCAAAAATTTTTCTATTATTTGAATCTGAAAATATTTAGAATATGGTGTAGCTTTGCTAATGAATTTATGTTTACGCACTGAAGGTCGTAAGAAATGTGCTGAAGTTGCTGAGCAAGCTATAGCTGTACTTGCATCTCTACTATCTCATCCAAATCACGAAGTACTTTATTATTATTATTATGCTTTATGTTAATTAATTCGTTTTTGAAACCTATTTAGACTAGACCCTATGTTAATTCATCGTTATATTCAATTTTAACACTGAAATCTGTACGTGACAAAGCCATTCAACAAGTAAGTAATCATGGGTATAAATTGATTATTTTAATCGATATTTTTTATGAATAATAGAATCTTGAAAGTCGTCTTCGAACTTTAATTCGAACAGACACAGCTAACTCCGAAACAAAAGGTCAATTGGAATTTTTACTTAATCTATTATGTAAAAGTGGTGATCAAATCATTGAACAATCATCTGACAATGAACAAGATAATGATGATGTATAGAAACTATTCATAAAAAAAAATGTATATCAATCTTTCGTTTCTAGGAAGATCAAGATGTAATGGAAGCTGATTTAGATCTTGCCGATCAATTAAAAACAATGGATCAAGAACTAAATGGAGAAGATTTAATGCTTGCAAAATATACCTCACAAAAACCAACAGCGACAGCAAATATTCATAAATCTTATAATAATACATTATATGCATCGTCAATAAATGATATTAAACCTAAATCCATCATTGATCCTGTTCTTCATCGGCCAACAACACCTGGCCAATTTCGCCAATCTATTGTTGCACATACAGTTGATTCACTTGCTAATAGTCTTGCTGTTGGCGATATCTTTCATAGTCAAACTAATGGATTTGAACAATTAAATGGTAATAGTAGTATATTTGCAGCATCAGCGTCAATGTCAATAAAAAAACCTTTGTCAGCAAGTATCGCTTCGACCATAACAAATAATAATAATAATAATAAAACAAAATTTTCTAAAACTTCATCATCAATAACACGACCAAAACAAGCGAGTCGTGCATCATCCGTTGATCAACAAAAACAAGTGACACCAGTTCTTGCATTTGCTGCGAATGATGAGCTTGATCATTCCATACCGACAATAACAACACCAAAAATAACACCACCAATGAAATTTTCTTTTAGTGAACCACCAAGATCGAATTCAAGTGCATCTATACGTTCATCAACATCGTCCATACTTGAATTAAGTAATGGAACTCTGAATAATCAAAAGACCAAAAAACTTTAAATTCTCATGTTCTTTTTCATGTCGTTTTACCTCATATCTATTATTTTATTGCTGTTGTTGTTGTTGTGTTTTTATAATTGTTGCATCAACACATCTATTTCTTTTTAAAAGAAAAAAACAATGTACCGGGCATAGAACTTCATTACAAAATGCATTGCTTATTCAGCTTTTCTTGTATGTATTCATATTCTTGTGTGTGTGTGTGTGTGTGCGTCTAACTCTAAATGTCTCATAAATGCTAAATTTTTTGCTTCATATAGACAGTTATATTGTAGAAAAAGAAAATGAGATGGCCAACATTTTAACATCACATAACTGTTTATAATTAAAGGAGTTGTTTTTTGAGAACAATCAAAAGAATAAGCAACATGGCTTTCTCGATATGAGTCAAGTTTCAATGTACTCCTCATTTATAATCTAGAGTTATGTGTTGGACTTTTTTTATGATGAACCAATAAAATTTAAATATTCATAAAGAAAATATTTTCAATTATTCACGATAGTAAGTGTAATTTAAACATACAATGAATAATATTTAAAGACTTTCGATCAGAGTTGAATAGTCATATATTTCACATCGAACACTTTCTATGCAATTCTTCATAAAAAAAATATTTGATTCATGAAAAGAATGATCTTTTAGGCTAAGTACATAATTTGTGATGTAGGACCAAGGGAGAAAAGCGTATTTCTAAATATCTCTGAGTATTTCAGCGTATTTCTACGTATTTCTATGTATTTCTGGAATTCTGAAATACGAGGAAATACGTATTTCTAGGTATTTCAGAAATCCATTGAAATCCATAGAAATACTCAGAAATATTTAGAAATACCGAAATACGCTTTCCCCCTTGTGTAGGACTCTCACACTCTAACGGTACACTACAGTTGTATGAGTGCATGTATCCTTTTTCTGAATTTCAGATTATTTCAAGAATTATACTAACAGCGCTAGTCGCATTCAGTTGTATTTTTATTTAAAAAACGTTTTTTTTTCAGAAAACATTGGTATTACAGTTATTTTCGGTTCCTTGGTCACAATCGGCCTTTTTATAATACATTGTAAGTTCGTTACTAGGTGTTAGTCCCAAAATACGTGGCTTAAGAGGTTTTTCGTTGACAAAACGACAAATTTCAGCTTGTTTATGTGAAGGTAAATTGCTTGTATGGACAATTCTTACAGGCCAGCTAACGAGTTGAGTTCGACTTTTCTCTGGTTTCCCACCGGAACCCATCTGATTCTCACTGCCCAAACGGAAGCTGTATACTGCATCTAGACTACTATACCGTACCATGGTAGACAACTCAAGTGCTGAACTAAGCCCACAGCTATCCATCTGGTTAATTTCAGATGAAGTACACTCTTGAAGATAAAGTTTTTCCCACAGTTTAAAAAAATTAATTACTACAGGAGAATTTCTATACAAAATTACACCACTATTCCAGGTCGATTTCGTTTTCGATTTATGATGGACATCATTCGAAATAAGGATATCACGATCCCCGAGTATTTGACTTAAGTTTCCAAGTACGCCACAAAACCATGTGTCTCCATCGACATAGAGAGTTATTTCAAACGGAGAATTCGAAAGTTGCTGGATCTTTCTTAGGCCATCAGATATTATTAATTTTTTCTCTTTATCAGAATTTGATACAGTATTTTCTGCATTTGCACCTCGAGTTGTATGCGATATGTTGACATGATAAATGTGCCGAAATAGATGCTGGTATGATTTATTTAAATGTGTATCGTCATCAAGAAATATGACTATGGGTATCTCACCTTTGTAAACACGATGTAGAGACGTTATAGATTCTAGTAAATTGTACTCTTTCCAATTATTATTTGAATGATAGCCAATATAAACGACGCCATCACCTCGTCCAGATAGTTGTGGCCTCGTTTTATGATCTGACTCGGTATAAGGAAAATCAATGCCAGCGTATCTCGTCGTCCTATTTCGAAATAGGCCAGCAACTTCTGAAAAGGCACTGTAGGGACTTCCAAGAATTTCACTTGCACTGCTTAATATCCATAGATCAGCTGCAGCAAAAAACATACATTGTCGGCTTCGGTTGTTACAGGCGTGATTTTCAAGGAATAGAATGCGCTCTTTAAATAAGTTTCTCATTGCGTTTATTGTTTTCTCGGAATCGGCAGATAGAAAGAAATATTGCTGTGAATTCTTTTCAAGAATACGATTGATTTCATCCTCAAATATTGAAATATTGGTAGATTGTCGCCAACTTTCAAGTCTCTTCCACTCACTATCAGAATAAGCGTGATCGGAAATACCGGGAATCTCTTTTCTCGGATCTGCATTTCGTATATGTACTCCAATGAATGATTTTTTGCTCAAAAAATCAACCATTGCGGTAATATGTGGTTGCAGTCGTAATTCTGATAAAACTTGGCGCATAATCTTTGGTTTTACTTCAGGGTGGTTAAGCTTGTAGGCTGTCTTCACGTAAATATGGTTCATAGTGTCTGTCTCAATTATTTGACCATTGACTCCTCCGATTTTAGATTCCATATAGTTATAACGCTCAAAATTTGCTCCGCTGGTTTCGTTTGACTCAAATTCATCCCAGACGTCAATTTCGTTAGAAAATAATTCTTGAAAGCGAACGTTACAATGCTCGTCCGGTTGCCATATTAAACGAAAGTGTCGTCCTGTTCTATTACTGATAGCCATCCCAGAAGCCATCGCTCTGAGACGATTTCCAAGACCATATTGAACATGAACGACCAACATTCTTTCGTTTCTGTACGATGGAATCATTTTAATCATATATGCTGTAGGCACGGTAAGACCTTTCCATGGGACACGGCATCCTCGTAGAACACTTTGAGCAGCTCGTCTCTCAACATATTCTCTAGTATGTTGTGGTATCGTTGACTCAATCGAAGCGACACTAGACGTTCTCGTAGCTAAATAATGATTACGTACACTAATATCAGCTTGGATATGAAATGAAACCTTTTTGTTGCTTCTATTCCAAGCAAGAACAAAACTTCGAAGAAATCGATTTTTTTCAATTTCAAAGGATGCATCATGAATGGGCTGTTTGGACAATCGTAAATTAGGTGGATGATCTAAATGGTAGACTTTGGTCTTATCAAAAGGTACTAAATCTAAACCAGACTCATTCAAACGGCTGTAGAGATCAGTATCATCATGGCCATACGTCTGAATACGTTCATCGAAACCGTGAATTGCTTGGAAATAAACGGTTTCAATATAGAATATACCATTGAGATGCTTTGAATTTTCTGTTTCTATCAGCCTCCAATTACCAGCATAAAACATACCCTTTTTTAATGAATGCCACAGTAAGAAATCAGGCGCAAGAGTTGTATCACAATCAACTTTGAGCATAAATGACCCATTAGGAGCTAATTTTGCAGCTAAATTGTAAGTCCACGATAGAACCCATTTCTTTTCGCCTTGAACAGTTATAATCTTTAGGCGAGAATCACCGAGCAAGTCAGGAAACAACTGTACTAGTGGAGGGTTTGAACTCCAATCGACTAAGATAACTTCAGTAACGTCAATAACTGAAAGCCAACTGCGAAGTACAATTTTCAATGTGCTACTGCGATCCATACACGCAGCAACAATCACTGTTGAGTGTGCTGACTTTTCCCTTACATCCAAAGGAGACTCCAGAATTGGTGGAAGAATTCGTTGGGTCATTATGACGAGAAAACACACAATCACACTGATGATTCGAAATAGATTTCGCCGTGTAAGATTAAAACGGAGCATTATTTTACAGAAATAGGATTAATTCTCTTGAGATTTCCAGTGATGATACTATTAAAATTTGAGAATAACAACAGACAGTAATGCTGTTAAAGCAAAATCCAAAGATATTGAGATATGCATACAGTTGAATGCAAACAAAATCTAAAACCGTACCAGTGTATTACTTTATACGAAAGGTAATGATCAATAATAGATAGAAACCATCTAAATCTATTAGAAAAATGAATGCTAATATATAACTAAAACCAACGGTTTAGAAGGAAAAACCTTTTTCTATGTACAAAATAAAAATTTATATGAGCAGATCAAAACTTCATATAGATGAAAAAGATATTAAGATTTCGATATAACGCAGTTAGTTACTTGTATACTTCAAAGCTAATTTTTTATCTAAACGAGAAGACACTTCAATCGATTCCCCTAAAGTAGTGTGATAAGCGCGGTCAGCAGACGTATCAAATAAGCTTCATCGTAATAACAACATTAAAGATAAAATAAAAGTATGATTTGAAGAGACTTCATGATCTGTGTCAACATCGATAATATGGTAGAAATTCGTTTCTAGATAGTCAAAGCGATATTTATTCCGACAAATAAGTATGCTTTAATTTAATTGTAAGAATTTATCGATGAAGAATAAATATTTCAATCCAAAAATACTCCGGTCTTATAGTATATATTCAGCGTTTTATATTTCGTAATCTGCAATTCTACAACGTTAGTTTTTTCTCTACTGAACGTGCTGCCTCTCGAAATAGATCTATGAAATCTACATTCAATATCTCCTTTTATGACTACTAGGTTGAGCAAAATAGATAAGTTATATGTTATATCTAAGTGACCATTAAGAAGTCAGTTACATAAAACCCGTATTAGATCTATTCGGATCTAATGAATTGCAACTGTATAACTTTACATTTTCAGAACAATTGACGATTTTTACAATTACTAAATCCACTTCACTAAGGCTAGCATCGTATCGCTGTAAAGAAATTGTTCGATGGAATTTTTCAACGTACCCTATTGTCGACAGTTTTATCAATATTCATTGAAACAAAAACTATTCGTGCCTACGTAGTGTATAACATCAGACACGGAACGCCGGTTGATATCTTTCATAATCGTAATGTATACTTTGGTCTTCGTCTATGTTCGATAGGTACAATATATCATAGAAAGTGAGCAGAATAAATAGTTTCTTTTTCTATTCATTACTTTACACATACACGTGGCGTTTCGCTTCACTACATGTAACGCTTCATCGGTTCGACCAAAATGAGACTATCCGAGCAGAAAAAATAGAGCTTCGTTTCTATTTATTTTGCATGCCTCGACTTTACGTATCTCCTCGTTAGTTTATTTCGATATCAAATTTGCGTTCTCATACAAAATTAAAACAAAAGAAGTTGGGCAAAACTATGTGATCGTTTATTCTCCGATTTTTACAGCTAATTGCATGTAATCGTCTCATATGGTTGAATACAATACACACGATGGCTTTCGATCTTGTTCTTTTTGAATACAACGGAGTTATATTAACGCTTCTTGGCGTACAATTGAGCTATTATTGTTGTACTCAAACAACAGCTGATTTATTCATCAATATCTTCAATTAATACTACAACAAACGATTACGATAATACAGTATGCATTAAGCAAACAGAAGAATATTTTGACTTTAATTGACTAGCGAAAATGAGCGAGAAAGGTCGAGAATTCAGTTAATTATTTTTATCTTTCAAAGGTACAGGTTGATACCATTCGTCGTCTTTGTTTATCAAAAGTGGTGTATGCGGTTTTGTACAAAGAACTTTACGTAGAATAACAAATACGAACGCTATAATAGCGGGAAACCATGTAAACATAGTACCATTCATGAAATTACTAATTGAGCGTATTATATCTAAAAGAATGCTTGTTGGTAATGGTTTTGTAATTTGTACCATGTTTTGTTGTTGAATATAAGACATGAACCATTGACTTTCTAATGAAATAATTGGAAACCATTCGTTATTAACTAATTCACGTTTCCAATAATCTTTTGATGGCGGCGTAGTAAAATTATAACGATAAAGCAGAACACGTATTTGTTTTGGTGGTATTGTTGGAAATGGATTTGTTTGAATCAATCGTAATACTTCTGCTTGATTTGTTAAAAGGCGATAGAGAAAAAATGCCAACCAAGGTTCATGTTTATAATTGCTTAAAGCTGCAAACCACATTTGCCTAAAAATTTATTGATTATGAAAATAAAAACTTTTTTTTGTTTCTGTAGGGTAATAAGTCAATTTACCAATCTAATCGGGGTTGATGTGGAGCAACGAATGGAGGTACAGTTGATAATGAACCGGGTTTATAGAAAAATTCATATTCTTTCCATTTTGGACTTTGAAAAAAGAAATTAAAATATCAAATACGAAATCATACGGTCGCATAAGAATTTACTTTTTTATACTTGTTGCACCTTCAATTATTAATTCTGGTCTACCATCGACTCCAGTCCTGAAATAGATAAATTATTTCAAATCAAGTGAAGAAATATTTCATATCTCTACGAAAATTAGATGTATGATAGTTGAAATAATTCTCTGACATAAAACCAATTTTAGATCCAATAAGAAAAAAATATCCATCAGATTTAACGAACGTGAATAATTCATCCAGCTATTTCTGCCTAGTATATAAGTAATAATTTCAGCTTTAAATAAATGAGGAAACATCGGATTCGTATCCGATTGTTATGTGTACTGCAAAAACTAAGTCGATTTATATATGTTTTGAATAATTCTGAGAAAAAAATGTTTTTTTTGAAAAAATCCCTGTACCCCCCCTCAGGGATGGTCTGGTTAATAATGACAACTTTTTCGATAACTCAGCCATTTCTTCACAGATTGCTTTCATCTTCGAACTCGACTGAGATATTGATGAGATCATTCTGTGTACAAAATTTCATGACAATTGGATGAGGCTTTCAAAAGTTATCGTGTTAACGGCCGGACGGCCGGCCGGACACACTGACCGAATCTAGAGTGTACTCATTTTTTTGGAGTACACAAAAAGATCTGCATGAAAACACTATTTTCAAGTTTGCGTATAGATTCAACCGCATAAAACTTACATGCTTCTGAAAAGACCATATGCATTAAAAATATGGTAATCTTGAAATTTATCATGCCATGGTTTTAATACATCAGGTAAAGCATTTTGTGTTTTTCTTTCAATAACAGCAAATTGAAACATGGATACAAAAAATAAGCTCAATGCTAGAATTCCATATGATATTGTAACTGTTGAATGAAAAATTTTCCCGTAAATTTTCTTCGGACGACAAATAGCAATAAAAACTGATCTTCCAATAGTAAATACTAATGAGCACCATGCAACAAAAAGACAAATAGGTAAAAATCTTCGTAAGAAACGATCTAATTGTGCTTGATTAAATGTTATTCTTGTCGATAGTATTTCTTGTTCATTATTCCAATGTATGTCAAACCATCGTATGGTTAAATAAATAAAAGTTGTAAATAGAATAAGATGAATTAATCGACGACAAAATGTAAATATCTTTGAAAACGATTTTTTTGGTTTTGGCTGTTCATCTACTGATTCCCATTGTGAATAACCTAAAAATTGATCATCAATTAAACCCAAACATAAAACAACTGTTAACATATTGAAAAAATTATAATTTCCAGTTAAGGCAATAAGCAGTTGTAAACTCGTTTGTATGACGAAAGCAACTATTCGATGTTTACGAAATGGTGAAAAAAACAGAATTCCAGTACCAGACATAAACATATAAACAAGTGCTGTAGATAACTTATGTAACCAAGCAGGTACATGATGTGCATAGTATGCTAACGAGGTTGGAATACATTGTGATTGATAATGATAGGTTGTTGCTGTTAATGACCACCATGTTTCATCGCCACCCGTTAATTTAACAATACCACTAGCGAATAAAAGACGAAATGCTAACCATCGTATTAACCATAGTGTTATTCGATCTTGATATATAAAATCTTCGGTTTGTTTTCGTTTTAAATATAAGACTCTCATTGGTGCAACAAGTATTGTTAAAAATCCTGCTTCTAATAATAATGTATCCCATTGAAAATATAAGAATTGACCAGCTATTTGAAAACAACTATAATAAGATAGCCAAAGTGTTGCAAATGTTAAACTTGTACGAAGACATTTAAATATAATCATTAATGAACCTAATAATATTGATATTAATAACACGAATTCCATAGTTCGATACGGTGCCCAATTAAATAAACGTGCGAGTTTAACAATCAACGGTGTTTTGTTTTGTTGTTGAATTTGTAAACGAAGCGGTAATATCCCATTATCAGAATATAAACCTGGTTGTTGCCAATATAATGATGCAAAGGCAAATGAATACACTATACTCATACATAGAAGAAATAAATTTCTTGTTTGAGTATATTGTATAGACGAAACAAAAATATTTTTGGCGAGCGTGTATTTCATTATATATTTAATCTAAAAACAAAAAGAAGATAAGAAAATGTGATTTGTTTTTCTTTCCTTCGCTTTCCTTGTTGTTTATTGATGAGAGAAAAAAGAATGACAACGACAAGTATTCTACGTTCAAGGATTTATACAAAAAAAAGAAGAAGAATAGTAAATGGGAGGAAAAAACGCTAATGTGTCAGTATTTATTTTCTTTTTCTGATTCTAATTTTGATGCGGTGATTTTGTCTGTTGTTCAGCAGCTTTAACACATTTCGCCATGGTCATTGATGCACGACTTATTGAATCAGTCATATAAAATTCTTTAAGGCTATTGATTGGAGGTACTAGTGGCTGATTGTTGAATGATGTTTTATGTTGCTTTAAAAGTTCAATATTTTGTTTAAAATAATTGGCTTCTTCAACTGAATTTAAACGAGTTAGATTTGGTGCTATTTGTTCAATACGAGAACGAACTCCATCTAGATCATTATAATTTAATGATACACCGCATACCTACAATTGAAATAAGTATGAAAACAAAATGAATTCTATTGAAATATATGATTATACGAACTTCAGCAAGTGCACGAACTATTTTCCAATCTTCACGTGCTTTGCCAGGTGGTGTTGTTGCTAAATAGGTTTGTTGAGCACGACCTTCAGTATTTGCGTATATACCACGTTTTTCTGTATATGCTGCTCCAGGAAGAATAGCATCAGCTAATTGTGCACCACGATCACCATGATGGCCTAAAATTTACCAATATTAGTCGATATTCATTCAGTTTTTCTGAAAAAAGTTCCATACTATCTATCAAAAGTATTACAAGTTTTTTTTTATGCATTCCTTAGTTTATATTGTGTATCAGAGTTAATTCAATAGTCTTAACGGCTGGTGAAGACCTTAGGAACGATTTATTTTAAAAATTCTACATTCTATACAACAACCTTTCCCTTGGAGAATTGAGCCATTAAAACCTAATTCGTATATTTAACTTGATAGATTTCAATTGAAAGAATGATCTCTAGAATCACTATTTGTAAAAGCAATTATCTGCTGCATGCTATCGCTCAAGAAAATTTCGTATACATCGTGAGAATGAATAAACATGCTGAATTTTAACTCGTTGTTACTCGCTGAGCCAAAATCGAAAGAATATTTTTGTATTAAAACTTGTTTTCCGCTTGAAATTTCTCTATTTCTAGTGATCACTTATCGACATACCTTGATAGATAATATAGCAATCTTTTGGTAAATCTTGACGTTTGATTAAACCTTCATCAGCACCGAATAAATACAATAGACTAGGTTTTAAATCAATGATGCTCTTAATTAAATGAAAAAAATATTTTCAAAAAACATCATAGAGTGTCATATTTTCATACTTTAACATCTGGTTTATAACCGAGATCGAGAGCTGCTACTTGTGAAGCATACTAAAATAATGATATAAATCCGAAGTCAAATTTTGTTTTCTAAGAAAAAAATAAAACATACTCGATGAAGAACACTAAATACACGCCATTCTTTGTCTGCTTTAACAGCGACGTCACGTAGTTTTTCTGATAATTGCGCAGCACTTGCATAGACTGATGTTGCATCTGGACGTTCGAACATTGCACTTCCCAATATAACCAATGGACGTTTTGCTCCATTCAAAATCTAGAAAGAAAACAAATCAAGATATTACAACGAACACAAAAACAAGTTTGTTTCTACAAACTTTAGAAAATGCGTGTTTGCCAGACATTAATTCATTTATGACATTTGTATTATCTCCCAAATGTTCATATGAATATGTTAAATCAATCTTTGGACCGATTACTGCGACTTGTAAATCATTGTGTGTCCAACTAAAAACAAACAAACGAAATAGTTTATCTGATTGAAGTTTCTAAACAAGACAAAAAAGAAACTCTACTAACGCTTTACGTATACGTGCGTTGAGTACCGGTGCTTCATAACGGGGATTCGTTCCAATCAATAAGACTAAATCAGCATGTTCAATGCCGACGATTGTTCCATTAAATAAGTAGTTACTACGAAGATCGATTCTAAAATAGATATTCATAGATTCATTTTAGAAGTACGAGAAAACAAAAATACATACGAAGCCCCAGCATTTGGGAACGGCTCTTCGACGCAAACCGTTTCGCAGCCAAGTTGATTCATAAAATCTTTTAAAGTTATAAGTCCTTCCGCATCACAAAAACGTCCAGCTAGAGCAGCCATCTTTGCACCGGATTCAGCTTGGCCGATCTATAAATAAATGGGTTGAATATAAAAATGGATAATTCTTTAGAAAGCAAAAGAGATAACATACACGTTCAGCAACAACACTTAACGCATCTTCCCAATCACATGGTACCAAGAAACCATCGCGATTTTTTAACATCGGAGCTGTCAAACGTTGTCGTTTAAGACCATCATAAGCAAAACGTGTTTTATCCGAAATCCATTCTTCGTTAACTTCCTAAATGCAATGTTTAAATAAATTGAAAAGTTTCTTTTTATTTTTCTTAATATAATATTACTTCATTTATTCGTGGGATTACACGAAGAACATCACCACCACGAGTGTTGACAACAATATTACTACCTAATGCATCCATGACATCAATTGATTCTGTTTTTCTTTAAAAAATAAAAACGATGAATACCAACTAAGTGATCTTTTGTGTTTTTGTTTTACCTTAATTCCCATGGTCGTGCAGTGAATGCATAAGGTTTTGATGTTAATGCTCCAACTGGACATAAATCAATAACATTACCCGATAGCTCCGACATAAAAAGTCTTTCAACATATGTACCAATGACCATATCGCTGCCGCGTCCTGTTGAACCAAGATCGCTAACTCCGGCTACTTCATTACCAAAACGGATACAACGTGTACATTGAATACATCGATTCATGCTCGTTTTAACAAGTGGACCTATGTTTTTATCTTCGACGGATCTAAAATATGAAATGATTTATTTATTAAATGAGAAAAATCTCTTTTTTTTTGTTATATCTATACCGTTTGCCCGAAAATTCATTGTCAGTAAAACGACTACGATCACTACCAAATGCCATTGATTGATCCTAGAAATTCAAATATTTACATTTATATTTATTTCAATTGTAGAACATACTTGTAAATCACATTCACCACCTTGGTCACAAATAGGGCAATCCAAAGGATGATTAACAAGTAAAAATTCCATAACGCCCTCACGTGCTTTCTTGGTCAATGGCGAATCTGTTAAGATACGCATGCCTTTCATAACCGGCATTGCACAACTTGCAACTGGCTTTAAAAAATTGAGAATCATAAATAAAAAAATAGAGATTGTAAAAATTGACTTAAATACTTTAGGTGTTTTTTCGATTTCAACAAGACACATTCGACAGTTGCCAGCAATCGATAAACGCTCATGGTAACAATAACGAGGAATTTCGACACCAGCAACAGCACAAGCCTAGATAATAAATATTACATTTCTTTATTTTTCTAAATCTCGACTTTAGCATATCATATCACAATTAATTATATTAATGTAGATCTTTTTGTTTATTTGAAATTTATAGATGAAATACATATCGGATTACTGTCGGTTTATGTAGACAAAAACTAGTGATGCATTCAGCTGATGTTGTTATGTACGATAAGAATCTAACCCAAACGAAACTAAATATGAAAGTGTAAGATTCTATGGTTTTAGATGAATTACTTAATAAATCATATCTATTAGTGTATAATTTAACTAAGATGATCCAAAATAGCCACTGCGGTCGAACAATCATTATTTCGCACATCTAGGTCGACATCTGTTCGGCAAGCGAGTTCGTCTTCTTGAAATTCAAAATCATTAAACCATTTAGTAGATGTAAATTTTGCTTTAGAGAAAGCTCACATATAACATCGACGATTAATTTCATATTCAATTCTCTAAGAAACTCGTCAATAGTTCTACTCAAAATTATAAAGGATTTTTTTTCTTTCTTCTCTAAATCGAAATGATGTTTCTTTCTCAATCGTGCAGAAAACTAGTTTATTTGTTTCCAAAATGCTAGAGACGTATCTAACTTTTTTCTATTTTTCATAATAATGATATCTTTTGTTTTTACCTGAAGTACAGTTGTGTTTGGTTCGACGTGAACAGATTTGCCATCAACGAATACTTCTACTTTTTCTGGTTCCTTTTTAGGTTCAACAGCTGTTGATTGTTTACAAATTGACACATAACCTTTAAATAAAATATAGCTTTTTAATCTCTGAAAAATTCAATTATTATTATGTTTTTGGTCAATACCATGCTGTTTAATTCTATTCAATGCAACAAGTAACCGTTTCAATTGAACACCACTCATTCTTTTCAATAATTATTCAGGAATCATCTTAAAACAAATAAATAAACTAAAACTAATTTCATTCGTTAATATTTTTTTCAAAAGCAAAATGTGTACAACAAAAAAACAAAGAAAGGTATTTTATTTTCTAAGAAGAAGGAGTCAAATAGCGAGGCTTTAAACGCAGATAATCTTTTCGACTTTGAATCGCTTGCTCAATCCATAGAAGTTCAATGGCTATTTCTTGTCGTTTTCTTAATAATTCATCTTTTGTTGGATGATTAACAACTAGAAATAAAATATTCTACGTTAAATCAAAGAACTAACCTACTATAATCATACCTATTTCTTTTTTTCGTGATTCCTGTTTAGTTGGAATAATTTCAATTGGTTTTATTGAAATTTCACCTTCAATGTCACTTAGTGTTTTCAAATATTCAGTTCGCACTTGTTGAAATTGTCGACGAACATAATACGCACGAATCAGACGTTGTAGAAGAAGAATTTTCTGTATCTTATCATCATCTTGTCTGTCGTGTAACACTTCTCTTAAAAACATTTCTTTTTCCATCTAATAGAGTAAAAACAAACAAAAAGAAACAAATAAGTATATTCAAAAATGATAACAACAACAATAATAACTATTTGTTATTATGATTATTATTATTATTCATGATCTATTTTTTTTATTATCTTATTCCCATTCGAACAGAATTATATTTAAAAAAATGAAATTGAAACAAGCAGAGGAAAAATGTATGAAATTTGTCTACTAGTGTTAAAATAAAACAAAATTGATTATGAGTAGAACGCAACAGAAGCGAAAGAAACAAATGAAAACAAAAATAATCACAGAATAATGTAAAATAAAAAGAGCAAGTTTAGTACCAGTTATTGCACGCTCACACTTAATATCCTCTATACTCTTCCGAAAACAACAACAACAACAAAAAGACAAGAAGTCAAATAACTAGATGCGTGAGCAAAATTTCATTTCATAGATTTCCATTTTCTTCTTTAACCCTTAGTCGTCTCGATGAGTGGCTTTCGTTTCCATGACCATTTATGGCGTTGATTATTGTCATCACATTGAGTCATTCGAAGATGTTTATTATCTTCAGATATTGTCATACATAAATTTGATACCGGATGATGCAATTGATTATTCTAAAATGTATAAAAAATAACAATTTGATAAAGTATTTCAACAACTTTCAAAATTTTATTCATCTTACTATAAAATGAGAAACAAAATACTACACGTTCAATAGTTATCTAACTGAAAATCTCCTTAAATAGAGTCTAAATGTATTTTATCCTATTCGTGAATAAATTCAAAAAACATAAATCTCGATAATCCCTGTTCTAATTGATTTTTCTTACACTGTTACAATATTTATGTATGTTACGTGTGTCAAATCATAGATTAATAATTAAAACTACTCCAAAATGAGAGGAACATATAGGCATCAATAATCCCAAAATGATTAAATCGTTCTGTGTCACAAAAGATAACTTCATTCTTTCTCACTCTCTCTCTCTTTCGCAACTATTGCTCGAAATAACAATTCAATATGATACACTGTTCTGTTTACTCAATTGTTCAAGGCTTGTTAATCCTCAACATATAATCAGGCGCATGATTAGAAATAGTAAGTGTAAAATATCAAGTCTAACATTCGAACATAATATCGTAATCGTATCGTTGGACACACATTTCTCATAACATCGCTAATACTACTTTTATTCGTTTATGATACGAAAAAACAACAAAGTTCTGCATTCTATTATTCAATTTCTAAAGCAAACCTCTTTATAAATCCACAGTTGATTTCCTTTCATGCCATGACACGGATAGACAATAATTTTATCATCCTTATTAGCATCGTTAAAACCACCTGAGAAATCGAGACAACCATCATCTCGACGAATTTCTCCAAGTTTACTAAACATAAAAAACTAAACGAAAAAAGAAAACAAAAATTTAAAGAAAAAACAAACTTCTTTTCTATGTACACACCTGATTACCACCTTGAGAATGACATGGATATCCAATAACTGGTTTATGATAATTTTTATGATCAGTACTTCCATCAACACAAAAAGCTGCGCCCAAATTTCGAATCTAAATATTAATTTTTTGTTTGAAAAACGATTGTCTCCTTTCGTATTGCTTTACAAACCTCTCCCGAAGCTACTGCATCGCCAGGAATGAATTGTTCTGGATAAACTTCCGTTAAAAACCATTTAAAAGATTTACATTGTAATTTTTGTCGCAGTAATTTCCGCGAAGAAACATCACCAAAATCACCCTATGAAAACAAAACAGACAGGCATGATTCTTTTTTTTTATTTTTCTATATTTATCATAATCTTACTAGATCATAATTAAATCTTTCATAATAATATTTCTAAAACATAAATATATATTATTGTTATTATTATTATTATTTATAAATTATTATCTATCATCGTATACTTTATATTCGTCAAGCCAAACTTCAGCTACACGAACAGCATTTTTCTTTACAACATTGACTCCTGGTAACCATTTATAAGGAGATCGTTTTCGAAATATATGACCTACGTGTGAACATGGAGCAGTAACTAGAGTACCTATTCAATAAAGTGAAACGTTTCAAAACAAGACAAAAATACTTTGTAAACATATTTACCTCCACACATCCAAATACGAAACGACATTTCAAGATTTTCACCTCCCCAAATATCCATTCCAGCATCATCTAGAACGAAACAAGAAAAATTTTCATTATAGATTCTTTCTTGCTTTCAGATCTTCATAAAATTCAAACTTACATGTTCCTACTTCTTCAAAATAACGTTTACTAATTGCAAAAAGTCCACCAGCCATTGTCGGTGTTCGAACTGGTTCTAATTCATGTTTTCGTCTTTTTCGTTCATGTTCAGGTACACCATGCCAATTGAATTGTAAATTCCAATCGAAACCACCAACACTTAATGATGTTACAGCGCCATAATTATATTTAAAAGTTGTATCATCAATAACATCAATAACAGGTGTTACAACTGTTGTACGATTTTCTGATATTGGATCCAACAGAGGCTCAAGCCAACCTTCAGTTGCTTCAATGTGTGAATCAAGAAAAACTATCACATCCCCTGTAACAGCAGCAGCACCAGCTAAACGTGATCGAATAAGACCTTCGCGTTTACTTTGTCGTACAACTATCACTTTGCCAAGAGGTTTTAAGTAATCATCAAGAGGCTTTTTTAAATGTTCTGTTAAAGCAAAAAGAAAACGACGCCGAAGCCATTGTATTTACTTTCCAACATTATAAAAATATCTCTTACCCATATCAGAAAAATCATCAACAAGAATAATTTCTTTTAATAAGCTTGGTGGAGTACGATCAATAATTGAATGAACCGATCGTAATAATACTGACCATGCTTCATTATGAAAACACATAACAATACTGGCTGTTGCTGGTGGTGCCTTATATTGAATTTTTCTACAACCAGGATCACGTACATCAGGTAAACTACGATGTATCGATATTAAATCACTAATATAAGCATTAAATGCATTTTTTTGAAAGCCTTCATCATATTTTTTACGTTCTTCTGGTGCTAATTTATCTTTATTAACTTCAAATCCTTTACCCATTTCACCTGGGGCATTTAAATCTTGTTTTGGATTTTCTAATTGTGGTGCAGCAACTTGTTCTGGTTTCTCATGTATAACACGGACAGCTTCACTTGACGATGATGGTTGACCATTTGCTGATTTATTATTAAGCGGTACTATATGATTACCTAAACGTACTAATGCATCACCGCCAAATGCATCAGCTTCATCTGCTTCACGACCTACACGATGATTCAAGTTATTATCTTTTAATTTTGCATTACTTGATGTGTTTGTTGTTATCTCATTCGATTGTAAAACTATCAGTATAATTAAAAGCCAAGCAACAGGTAGAAAAATAATAAAACGAAATAGATAACGACGAAGATGAATGTTCATGCTTATAGTATTCACTGTTGTTGTTTGTCTGCATCAGATGTTGTCGTGGTCGCTATCGTCGTCCTTTTAGACATTTGGCATAAGATTTAATTCTGAAAAAAAAGAATCGATTTTTCATGATGAAAATATTTTTTAATATGCGAAGATTAGAAATAATATGAGTGTTTTTTTTTCGAGTCATATAATGTTATTTGATATAACGAAGAAAAATTATTTTAACAACCTCGTAACAGGCTGATGCCAGCTTTATTCGAAAGGAAAAGAAAAAAACAGAAGTGAGACAGAATGTGCCTTTTACCGAATAAAATATGCGTTATATATCACGCATACTGAAGTGAATGGTACAGCTGTCAATATTGTTCTCGTATTTCTTTACATATTCTTTTCATTTTTTTGAATGTGTTCACATCTCTGTACAACAAACATGATATGTTCTCTTCCGTTCCTAGTTCTCACAAATAATCGATTGAAGGAGATAAACACACGAGTAGAAAAAAAGAGGGTCATGAGTTTGCCCTTTTCATACTACTCAAAGGATATAAATCAGGTTAATCTTCTTTTTCTGTATGTTCTGATGATCAATTTTACACACATCGATCATCATCTTCTTGTTTGTTGTTTTTGAATATATACATATATATATATATATATATATATACACGCAGGTAACGTTAATACTTCCTAAGAGATTTGCCTAACGAATAAGCATAACGAGAAAGAAAAGAAAAGATTTCTTAGATTGAATTACTCGAATAAACGAAATATACTACAACAAGTGAGTTCAATCATATGGTTTTCTTTTCGTTATGCAAAAAAGAAAGCAAAACGATTTCATACGAAGAGATTTCTCTTGATAAATATACATCGTTTTTTAATGACTGTGGTTTGTCATGAAATAACACAATTAAATCTAATATATGCTTTTTTCTTATTCAATATATTGATTTTTAAATAATTGCATTAAATAATAAGATCTTTCAACCAACCGGTAAGTTTATGAGTACCATCACCAAACTAAACTGAAAATGAAAAGCATACGATCTCTTACGTCGATATTTGATATGCATTAATAGACAAGTTTGATTTCTAGTTAAATTACTTTAACATATAATCGTAATCAACCTTCTAACCATTGATAATGTACCACTATGAATAGTTTCTCACAGGTCGACATAATATTTCTTTGATCATGATTTATTTTCTGCTTGTGCATTGAATATTGCCGAACAGTTGAAATAAGATTAAGGCTTACCATCATGAATACTTTATTGATGAATTGATCATGTTTTTTAGTAGGGAAAACTTTGTTTTTGTTTATTGCAAGATATACCGCTCGTCCAATATAATATTAAGAATAAATTGAAATTTAAGAATCATCATTTTTCGAATAAATATTGATAAAACTATTCCATAATATCTGCATGAGAATATTTGTTGATTTTTTGTTGGTTATTTTTATTTATTTATATGTTACGTATTTTGATCAATGGTTCCAAAACCAGAATCTAATAGCAAACAATTTTGATAGATGTCACTTCAACAAAACACATAAAAAACCTTTTTTTGAAAAAGAAATAAATCAAAATTAAATGAAATAAGTAAAATAAATTTGATTGTCATCATAATTTTGAATGATTTCAAATCAGTAGAGGTTGGTGCTCTAGTAACAACATAGAAAATGATTGATGTTTATGGAAAACTTTAAAAAAAAAAGCATAAGCTTTATATTTTAGTAATCACATTCTCAATAATACGAAAGAATCATGAATTTTCTTGACCCAATCGCTAAGAATCCTCTTCCATCACAGAATCGAAGTTATCAAACACCGATGGATGATCAACATTTTGAAATTTTAGTTCGAAAAATCGTTCATGTAAGTTACATGTTTTTTTACAAAATAACCTTGACATAAGGCTTCTTTCAATTAATATAAAAGTCTGATTTTCTAGTAGAACATTTAAGTCTAGTTCTCATCGCAACACAAAAAGAAAAAAAAAGGTGACCGTCTTTCGATAGATCGAGTGTTGGGCTTACTTGATAAGCCTAGTACTCGACACATGAAACTTTATGCTTCCTAAGAGATGAATGATTACTAAAAGTCTCTTTCTACTTAATAACTATAAATATTTGATTATTAAGAATATAAAAGTAAATCTGATACTTTTCTCAAATATAATTATTGATTGAAGGATTTGAAATTTATTGAAAGAAAAATAGGAAATACGAGATAGACCGAAATAGTCATCAGAATTAGTAAAGCTATAGTAGAGATGTGGGAAACGAAACATAAATCTTCATTATTCTGATGATTTGAGAATGTTATATATCAATAAAGACTTATTTAAACGAGACAACAAAAAGAAATCGCCTTTTGATAATCGAACGAATAACATTTAGTACGCACGAGTTTATACTGAAATTCAGATTAAGTTCAAGCTTTTAAAAGCTATACAACTGAGAGTCACTGAAGAAAATTTATCAGAATAAAAAGAAATTAAAAATACTTGCAGTTTATAATAATACAGAACTATATGAAGTTGGTGACATTTGCTTACGTACAATAAATAAAAACAGAGAATAATATTTATCAGCATAAATAACAAAATAACTAGATACATATTGTAATATCAACATAATCATAGTAATAATCTATGAAGTCGTTAATTAAAAGCTAACAAATGATAATCATCCTATTTAACTTTGTTAACTAAAAACAGCTGGAATTCTGATTAAATGAAATATTGGATTACCTCGTCTTTTTAGTAGTTTGCAAATTTCTAATTTTTAAATTTGCGTATCAGAAATCAAAACATAAATCTTAACGAATGCTATTGGTCGATCAATAACAATTATTATTTGATAGGCATATTCAAAGAAAAACAAAAATTCTCATTTAGGAAACGAATGATCCGGAAAAAAAACTCGAAATCCTTTATCAATCACGAGGATTTTTTAGCGGTGAACAAGCTGGCCATATTGTATCATCAATAACGCGACCGAAAGATCGAATGAAAGCAATTTTGATAGTAGAACCGGTACAAAATTCTATCAAGAAAAAAATATAAACTTTTTGTCTTTATCTATCTATTTAAAAAAATGCTAGCGTTTAATTCCGATGACTTGCCAACAGGCACGAAATATTCTTGCTACTATAACCGTACATAATGATCGACTTGAAGCACTTCAATATGTAAAAAGGTTTGAATAATAATCTATACTCAGTTCGAACAGTAATACTATTATTTATTTATTTATTTATGTTAAAGAGCTCTTAATGACGCCCATACACAAGAAGGAACGGATTACATACTGAGTGTTTTTCCATTTTATGAAGATAAATTAAAAGCAGGTTAGTATAGATCTTTTGGCTTGTGTGATTTTCATAAGAGTAAAAATTTAACCTTATTTTTAATACAACGATTGCATTGTTTAGGCGCTATTTTGGAAACGGTAAATAGATATGATTAGAATATTTCACGCATCTTTATTGTTCTTTTCATTAGATCATTGCACGAGAAGGAGTTCGAGTAGCTGCAGGTGGACATATTGGTTATGGTGCGCTTGGTTCAACTGTTGTTCGTGCTCCACCATTGAATCCACATTTTTACGGACTCGTAGCTAATCAAATAGCTCATTTACCTGTGAGTAAAAAGGCAACGGAAGTATATTTTCTTTGTCGATAGAGCGAACGAGTTCACTAACTGATGAAATCGGTCATCTCCCGAAATTGAGCTTATTGTTCTCTCAAAAATTAATATGAATATCAGATATTGATTACTGTTCGAAGGCGATAGTTAGATCGTATTCTCATCAAGCTAGGCTAACTGAAAACTCTCGACTCTATCTATTTTGTACAGATCGAAACTATATGACTTCTCTGGCAAAATATTCTCTCTCTTGCACTATTCATTTACAAAATAGAATATGAGAGATGTGAAAAAATATCCTTCTTTCGCTTTCTTTCACATCACCTCGTTTGTTTGTTTGTATTTGCAATATGAGATTAACCATGAAACAATAACCGGACTATTGTGCGTTTAAAATGGCAATTCACTTTAGATTATATGTTATTCTATGCGTTTATCAATGTTTTATAAAGTAGTACTATTGTATTGAGCTTAATATGTAAACAAGACACTAAAGTCACATCGAAATAGTTAATGAGTTTCGATCAGAAGAACTAGATTGTCTATCGAACTAAACAGTATATTTAGAATCATGGTAAAAATTGACTCAATCTAATAGTATGTTTACATATATAAATACGATAAAAATTCTCGAAAAAACTTGATTTTCATCTTAAAGTCATTCACAGCATCAGTTTCATTTTCGAAAGGAAAAAGAAAAACATAACGATTAAATGAAGAATAAAAACAATGTTTTGACTTGTTTTTTTTCCTCAACATAAACCCGCAGGCAACTAGGGCTGAATGTTTCAACGAAGATAAACATTATGTTGCTTTGAATCTAACTAAACGATCAGTATGTGCAGTAAATATTGTTAAGTTTTGGTAAATATTTCAGTGAATAATGAGTAAGTTTTGACACTCATGAACATTAAACATAACACTTAAATATTCTTGGCTCGATATGAAGCTAAACACAATAGTATGACTCTATAGCACATTTATAATCCTATCAAATAACACTCAATTCACACTACAGTACTGTCTTTAAAGTATGATAGTGATATTACTTTGTCCTAATTGTTCTGTCGTATTGTTAGTATAAACGAACAAAGTTGTGTGAAAAAGCAAGAGAAAGAAACATATTTTATCAAGTCTTCAATATGTTATTCGATATAAGACAGAAAAACTTCTCATACAAATCTAATTAGAAGTATGGTGATTGAGGAAAAATTATTTTCTCTAGAGATATCGTATAGTTTGCATCTATTGAGAATAAGCACTGTCGAGTTTTACGGTTGCATCGAATGTATGATGTTCGAATAGATTTTTCTAGAGATAGTCGATTTAATTTCCGGACTGAGTTCATATCTTTGTTTAATGATACTGCTACCTCTTCCGTTCGTTTATTGCCTTTTTTCTCTCTTCTCAATAGAATCATAGTCAAGACGCAACGGTCGCGCGTAGTATATTTCCTCCAAAAGCTCCATCAATTTATTCATTTGGTGAATCATATCTTCCACCGAGTCGACCAACGGATATCGGTGCTCATTACACATCTAATACAAATGACTTTACAAATCGTCAATATCCAGGCATGAATACAGCACCGACACATATTTATCATGCAACTGATCCAGGTCCAGTAGGTTACGCAAATTTACAATCAACTACAGCTCCACATGCATGTGAAACTGAGCCTCAAATAAATAAACAAACACATACATATACGAGCTATCCGAATAGTTATCCATCAACTCGTATCGATCCTGTCACAAGCCATTAAAATGATATCATTACTTTGACTTTCATTTTTTTTCTTCTTCTCCGACGAACATAACTCTAATGACGAGTGAAAATTATTATAATTTTTATTTTTTTAGCTAAAAAGAAAATTTACCACCCTTATGTTTTTTTTTGTGTTCATCATCTTAATTATGACACTGAATAAAAGCTTTCATCGATTTTTCATCTACATACTATATTATTGCAAGAACTCGAGAAGTTTTGAAGTGCAAAGAAAAAATACGCACAGTCAGGAGTATGGCTATGAAAAAATAAATTTGAAAGTGCCAACAGAGAAATAGGATTGCCAACTCGTTATAAATCAAAAACAATGTCATATTTGCTTTCTATGTTTCAATTGAATGCCTATATTTTCTCTTATTGTTGCTGATGGTGAATTTGATTGCTGGTCGTGATTGGTTGGCAAGTAAAGAAGAAATCAATTATTTTCTTTTCATCATGCACAAAAGAAAAGAAATCATTCTGTCGAGCAAAAAGGAATGTGAACAGATTTATGCATTATTACAATATTTGAGTTGTTGTTGTGTCTGCAATAGGTTTTTTTTTCTTGTTATTGTTTCACACAGAAACATATCAAACATTGTATTCATTTCATATATACGCATACATACTAGAAAATGGCTTGTAAGTAAAAAACAGAACAAAAGAAAATTTTGCTTTTAATAAATTTAAATAGTTTATGGACCTACGTTTCCCAATGAGACACATTATGAAACATTGTCAAGTGCACGACAAAGATTTGGTAATCGAAGTGCTAATATGTTCTTTGTACGTCCTGCTCGGCATGTTGCTTGTCCACGACGTTTGAAATATATGCATGGTAGGGAAACGAAATTTTCTTCATTATTTATTTTATCTCTAATAATTATAGATATTACAACTGGATATGTTCCATATGTTGAAGATTCTAATTATGTTAATCAACCATTATATAGATATGTAATTGACAAAGGAAATAATGATAACATCAATAAGAACAATAGTTTTGGTTTTCGTAAGTTTTTTTATTTTCTTTTATTGTGAGACACGAGAAGAAGAAAGTTTCTATTGTTAGATCGATATATAGAATTGTAGCTATTACTGAATTACGTATGAATAAAAATCAGATTTATTCTTGAAGGATTAAATATTTAATCTGGTATTATTGATTGCTTTTATATTGTAATCATAATCATAATTTTAGTAACCTCCTTTTCTTCAACAATAGAAAGCCATGACCTTGAATGATGAAAATTTACATTAATTTTTCAAAGGTTGCCTTCTTTTGCAGCCTAGATTTTTTACTGACATTTTCGTAACGAAATCAGAAATATTCGTTTGAAAGATTTTGTTGTCATTTAAATCAGTATTATAAATACTTAACTGTCAGATAATCAAGTTTTTTCTGTTCAGGCAACTGAAACTCTGCAAATCAATTGGATTGAAACAAAATATTTTGAAAAGCTCATAAATTTTTAGTACGGCTTGTGAAATTGTTCTGTTCGGTTACCTTCAAGTGCATAGAAGGAGGCTTATTCAATTGTTCTCCATTGATATAAGATTGCATTTCTAAAGCAAAATTTAGTAGTTCAAAGTCAATAACATATATTTATTATTCTTACACTTACATTTGAAATTCATATTCATTTAACTGATTAATTTTGTTGATGAGGAAGTAAGAATTTACTCGTATAGATAATTCAGTTGATGCATGGCGTCAACAATTAACTGAATTAGCACAGCAAGTGAACTCATCTCTTACATCAACTGGTGAACAAGAACCAATTATTCGTTCACTTCGCTCTGGTCGTATCAGTAGACATTGTTCTAAAAGAAATACTGCACCAACAAACGGTAATGCAGACGACAACGATGAACAAGGGATTTCGAAACGATTATTAAATCGAAATATGAGTGCGCGTTACCCGCCTTCTAAAGTAAATAAACCTCAAGTTGATGAAAAACCTGAACAAGAGGAAATGACTACTCAGGAAGAAAATCAAGACTCAGGAATATGGGTAATTGATTGCCAAAATAAAAACACTTCAGATAAAAACAAAATTCCTTTTCTTTTTTTTTCAAGTTAATTCCAATTCTTTGCTATATTTTAAAAATCGATAATGTCGTGGACGCTCAAGATTGGCTTGTTAATGCAAATCCAACCGGTTTGAATTATCTATTGAAAGATATTCGTATGTTTGTTTTCTTGTTGTCTGTAGAAAAACGTTTAGCTAAAGAATTAATCAGTCGAACAATGCAAGATATAAAAAATCATGAGATTGACGTTATATCAGATATTTCAAATTCTGATCAATCTACAGCGACAAGTTTGAATAAGTAAGTTAGTTTATCAAAATTGGATATTCTTAATTCATAGCATTGTTTAGTGTCTATTGGCCGTATAAAATTTGGCAGAGACAAGAAAAAGATCGTCACCAACAACAACAACAAATACAACAAGTTGTAAAACAATCGAAACTAAGTCCAGGTACATCATTACCGCCATTAACTAATGATAATAGTGAGACATGCGAACGAGCTACATCACCACTTCGAATACTTACACCAGCTAGACGTTTGTTGACAGCAACGAATAGTCATCATATTTCTGTTGAATCATTAGTTATCGAACGGCCAATAACACGAACTGTTATCGATCGAACAGCATCAGCAATAACTGCTCGAGATAATCATAGTCAAATAACAGGTTTATTTTTAAGAAAACAAATTTAGTTTATTTATTTTTTTATTAAAACTTGTTTTTTCTCGTTTATACAAGATCGACCAACGACAATACAAGCACGTCCATTTTCTACAAGTCCATCATTTAAACTTACTAATGGGCATACTCGTCCATCCCGTCGTGGTTATCGTGTAGCAACAAGTTTAAATCATTGTACAGATAGTTTTACAAATCAAATATCACCAAAATCACGAGGAAAAACCCCACTCGTTTAGCAAAAGAAGAAAACAAACATTTGTCATCAAAAATCATACTTCAAATATATATATATCTTTTTTTTATAGTTTTTGTATTTGCACTGAACACAAATTATTTTCATCTTTAATAAACACAAACATTTTTTTTTATAAATCAATTTTATCAAATAATAGATGATTATTTTTTACTGAATAAACGTTTATTTTTCTACAAACTAAATAATCATTTTACTATATTGAATTCATTGCCAAGTTTTTTTTTTCAATGTGAATATTGATTTTCATAATTATTTATCTTAGTTTTACATTTAGTGTTTGAACTTTTCTTAACTGTCATACAATGAAATGATTTAGATAAAATACAACATTTCTTTTTATAGTTTGATTCATTTATCGATTTTCTTTTTTTTTCTTTTGTATTCTAGCAGGTTTTACTATTGATGACTGTTGTGTTTCAATATCACCATATTTTTCTTTATCTGTAAACAAATGATTCATATTTTAATCGTAGATTTACAAAAGAAAACTCTTCTTGAAAATATTTACATACATGCAGCTATTTTCATAGCCAATGCTTGTAATGCTAGTAGCGATGAGGTTCTGTCTCGTTTTGGAAGATTATGCTTTTTAGTTGTTGATTCGTGTTTAGATGAAGCTCTAGTCGATGATTTAGATAGTAAATTTGTTCGTTGTTTTCCGATGTTTTGTTTTGGTTGATGAATTTTAACTAAAAACATATTTTAGGGTATTTAAGAATGTATTTCGGAATAATTAAAACTCATATAGGAGAGATCTGATTTTCACTAGCAAATGAAAATAAATAAATCGAACAATTTTCTTATTCATAACATGGAACATCGTATGTTTGCTTTTACTGACATGAAATCTATCAATAGGAAGTAGAGCAATGTTTTGGAAACGCATGAAAATATTTCGACAAGTCTTTTCTTACATTTTTTTATTTTGTTAGATTTTCTAGGTAAGGTACTGGTGGTACATCTCTTTTGGTTTCGATTTGATGCCTTTATGCCTTTTCTTTTATTTGATGGTTTCCGAGAGAAATGATTTGGTGATCTGTTTTTTCTTGTTTTAGCTATTGAATTAGGTAGTTTTCGTTGTTTTTGCTTTTTGTTTGCGTTCGATTGAGTAGAACGCTTGTTATTGATTTTTTTCTGCTGTATTACTTTTAGTTTCGATGATAATCTCTTGAGGTTTTTAGAACAGAGTTTTTTCAAATTTTTTTTGTTCATCGGTTCTGTTTTTGTGCTGAGCTTTTGCGCACGAAAATGGTTATTAATTTGGTATTTACTGATCGATAACAAGAGGTTTCTATTTTTATTTCTATCAGACATTGTAACAACAGAGCCTATCATTGATGAAATGTTTCTGTTGTTTTTCGTTGTTGAATATAAAGAATGAGCATTATTAGCCTTGATATTGTCTTTAGGCGGTACATATCTATGTTGCATGTTAGGAAAAAATCATCTTGTAATTTGCATAACTATAATTGAAAGATTTCAGAGAAAAATTAATCATTAAAAAAATATTTTTACTACCGAAATTTTCTTGCGCTTCTTTTAAAATCTTATATCTGAAATATTTTTTACTACGTAAAATCAATAGCATGGGATAACACTCTCACCTTTCGATTTCGACTGAAGACATTATTTAGCTAGATGATCTTTTATTCGTGTATAGTTAAATCGTATTTACTAAGAATTCGATTATGATAATATCTTATGTGACAATTTTAAAAAGTATTGCAATTACAATAATCTTTTATAAACGAAAATTATTTTCAACTTGTATTAGTAGATCGTAGTCAAATGTTTTGTTAAAATTTTTGCCTTAAGAACAGAATACGTTGTTAATTGATGAGAAGCTAAAATATACACCCAACATACAATATATAGTTAAAACAGTAGGAACTGAGAATATGTGTAGAGTTTTCATAAAAGATAGTTATGGATTCATCAAAATATTTCGTTTGTCTGAAAAAACCTTAATCAAATAAAATGATATCTACTTGATAGTTGAGTTGAGGGTACGCTTATTTTTTGATGTAATCATTGATTCAACAGTAGATTGTCCTATATCTGTCGATGAAAGAGCTTAGAAAAATTAAAATAAAATATGTAAAATTAATTAAAAAGGGTAATATATTACAAGGTTGTACTGTTGTTGGTATCGCTTGAGATGTTATCATTTGATCTGCAAAAAGAATTGATTGATATCTCGCCTATAAAAATGCTTGTAATTTTGACGAAACTATCATCGTTTGAGAGCTATGGGTTTTATAATATTTTTTATGCATATTTAAATGGCGCTGTCATTTAACTATCTATTCTATTCATTAATATTACTCATAATCAAGCCTAAGTAATTAATTAGAAATTTTAGGTTCTAGGAGTTGATTATCAACATAAAAAAAAACCTTAATTAACTTTTTTAGCTATTTTCAATGTATAAAAACTAAGTTTTGGTAACAAACCGATGTTACGACTTGTCATCATGAACGAGAAAAATTTCAAAGCAAAGCTATACATTCAAAGGAACGATATGCTTATCAAGATTATCGATATACGTAGCTATATATATATGAAATAATCTTCATATACTGCATAGAACTTTAAATATAGCATATATAATATTATGTTCTTCCAATCATATCGAAAACTATCTATGTATTCTATTTTCTACATAGAAATATAATAAAATTGTAAATAACAATTATAAAAGCTCAATGTTAAGAAGAATCTCAACTAATAAAAGTTCAGATATAATCTTCCTAGTCAGTATTATTTTATCTTATGAAAAATGTTCTTGCCTGTGTCTGGTTTAAACATAACTCACGCGTTAGATCGCACACGTCTATATTTATAATGGATTGAATTTGTTCTGTTCTCTTTGTCTGTTTTCATTGTTGTTCATTCAAGGGGGAAAGTACAGGTTTGGAATCCCCAGCACCTCAGCACCTTTTCTATAGTGAGATTTACTTCAGTCGTATGGAAATGAATCGGGAAAACTACCTTCATTTTCAATAGTAGAGGTGATTTTGTTTTTGAATTATTCACAGAATCTGAATGAGAATTATTTCAGACTAAAAAAGCCAGCAGAAAAAGAAAAACATCCTTTGAAAGTAACCGTATATCAAATTGCAAAATGATTTATCAAAAAGTTTGATCCTTCTTTTATTAGTGTGACAACTAACAATGAGTTCTGAATATTTTTCAGAAGTTTATTTTTCATTGTATCGCCATTGCATTTGTGCAGCTTCTGCTTTTTCTGAGTTATCAAAAAAAAGCAGTGTACGAAATCCCATACTCCTTGGTAAAAAAAACCTGCATATAATTTTATTAGCTTGAAAATCATCATTGAATTTTGATTATTTTCCACAATTTTATTGTGTATTTCATGAAACATCAATTTTTAACACCTGGAGTCCCCCTCAAGGATCAAAAAACCCTTTTTGTTCTGGTTTTAATATAGACAGTTATATTTCCATAAAGCTAAGCTTTCTGATTACAATTATTGTCTCAGTTTTGAATTTCATCGAGTAATAAGAATCATATGAAGCACTCTTTCGGAGCCTTAAAAAACAGTTTCTGACCTAAAGATCTATGGATATTCGATTTATACTGTTTGAAAATAGATCCGCTCGATGCAAACTGTTTTTATTTCTATCAAAATATATAAGAACGACTTGGATATTCAATCTTTTTTCTCTCGATAAATTTTAAATACCACCCCGATCGGGTCATAGAGTTACTAAATATTGCTTTTTTCAGTTTTATTAAGTGTAGTTTTTCGAGGTGTACCAGTTAGATTTTCTTACCAGATACGTAATTGAATGTACTCTTTCTAATAAAACTGTTTTCGAATTAAAACTCGGTGTAATGTGAAACGTTTTCGCTCCAATACTAATGTTGAAATCGAATTTCTGTCATTGCTTGGCTGATACTTGATAGTTTCAAACAGAATAATTCCTATACGGCTGAATAAAAATATTATATTTGTTTTAAGCACAAAATCTAATTCGATTTAATTATTTCTACAACTTTTGTTTTCGATCAGATTTTTACGTCTGGTCCCTTTCAGGCTCATCTGAAAACAAAATATTCTATTCAAAGCAATTATTCTAACTGCATGACGCAATCGGGGCGGTATTTAACATTTATCGATAAAACAAAATTTGAATATCTAAGCCGTTCTTATATACTCTGATAGGCAAAAAACATTCTGTATCGAAGGGATCTATTTTCAAACAGTATAAAACGAATATTCAAGGACCTTTGGGCCAGTAGCTGTTTTTAAGTCTTCCCGAGAGTGCTTCGGATCTTTCTTAGTGTCCAATGAATTTTAAAATCCAGGATGATATTTGTGATCAGGAAACTTAACTCTATCGAAATATAACTACTCGCACTAAAATTAGAATAAAACGTTTTTCGATCCTTGAGGGGGTAGGTACCCCAGATGTTAAAAATTGATTTTTCATAAAATACACAGTAAACTCCTGGAAAATAATCGGAATTCAATGATGACTCTTAAGTTAATAACATTAAGTGCAGGTTTTTTAGTGGCCAGGTTTCTAATTTGGCACACCTCTGATTTGATTATGGAATTAGTGTATTCAACAAGATTGTGGAAAAACAATGAGTTTAACAGAGAATGAAGTCATCCTGTCGTATACTACTCCTTTATTTTTCTGTAGCTTTCCGATAACTACTAACACCTTTAGCACCTTTCAGCACCTTTCAGCACCTTCGGCACTTTGTAGTAAATTTTGGTGCTTGGAGCCAGCACTTCGCCCTTGGTCTTCTGTCTCCTGCGGTTTTCGCTATTCCGCAATGAATATAGTTTTCATCTTTTAGTAATATTTCGATAAATCTAAAAGCTGAATGCCAACATTCAGGTACTGTTTACCAGCGAGACCACCTACTTATCTATTCCATGAAGTACATCTTCATTTTTCACATACCGCTCTCACCCTCACGCTGTGCTATGTGTGATTGAGTCACACCGTGTGACTCACGCATGTGTAAATTGAAGTTTTTTGAAAGTAGGAAACAACCATGCTTTTGTTAAACATACGACCAAATATACACTGCGACTAATTGTCGCTCTCCCAAAAGAAGAGAACTATATTTGAAAACAATATTTTTCACTTGGGATTATCGAAAGCAATTAAATTATTATTTTTTGTATCAACTACATGGGAAACAATTAAAAGAATTCAAGTTTCCAAATTTTCTTCATGTTGTTAAATAGATTCACAAGTTGTAAATAAATAATAAAAATCATATTGGATTTGCTGTGCAGAATCTCAATTAAAACCAGGTCATTTGCTGATTTTTCCGATGACTATTATTTTAAGGAATGTTAATCTTAACTATACATAAGACATGAAAATTTTATCTTGTATGTCACTATGAAGAAAAATGGTCTGACAATAGTTGATTGGGCGGTATTGAATAGCTCTACTATCCATTGTGTATTTTAGAAGATAAAATTTCAAGAAAAGCCTCCACAGATTTGAAAGTATATTTATTGTAACGATTTTTAGGTATCAAAAGAATATTTTCGGACAGAACTGTGTTTTATTATCTTTCTTCTATAAGAAATCAAATCTTTTCATACAATACACATCTTTATATAACGAACACAGAGAGATGGCATATAAATCCAGCAGAAGAGAAAAAGAGGAAAAAGGACATTTTTTTGGTCTGCTGTTCTCTCTCCCCTAGCTGTTGATGGTTGAAAGCTTTCGACAACATTCAGCATTTTTTCGACTGCGTGATGTTTTTTTGCAACACACCATTTCGTTGGTATTTATATGCTCTCACTTAATGTTTCATCATAGTACTATTTACAAAGAAAGCATTCATCGCCACTTATTGATTAACTCCAATACAAATGTAAGTCCTTCAAATAGAATTCTTAATTGCTAGCATATTTCAGGACTATTGCAAGCGAGTGATAATATGAAAACGAGAACTTATTGTTCATCATGAGTCAGTTCGTATCAAAACAGTTTACCAATTATTTATATTCATACTTCAGATTATATCTCCAAATTTTGTTTTCTAAACAAAATATCTTTAGTAGTATCAATACTCTTATTGTTTTTATGATAAAGATAACCATATTTATTGTGCTTATTCATTATACAAAACTTACCTTTGAGAATTTCCATTTAAACTGTAGCATTGCTCTTGACTCATCAATTAGAATAATTTATAATAAGAGTCAAGCAGTAGGCCACCTAGTATATTAATATCAATAAGCATAAACTAAACTCACTTATACGATTAGTTCCTATTTTTAGAATTCTACAGTATGCATACTCTTTATTTTTACTATTAAAAATTCTAATCGTAAAATATTTTCGACAAAAGATGGATACTGAAAATCCAAATCATTTGATTATTTGGCTTGATAAACATATCGAAGACCCCGAATGGTGTCAGCAAATGAAAAAAGCATTTTCGACTCAAACTGATCCAAAAAATCCAATACCAGTGAAACTATCGGGCAACGATAATGATTCACTATTCAATATAGCAAGTCATATGCCAGTGCATTTCGAAGGTGTTCGGTTTTTACTGGCAGCGCACAAAAATATTGAAAGCTGTTTACAATGTTTTGAGCAGAACCAGGATAAACGTATATTTTTTATCACATCGGGATCGCTGGGAAGAGAGGCTGTGCCAATAATTTTAGAACGGTTTCTGCACATGTTCACCGATCTAGTTACTGGCAAATCATACATATCTATTTATGTGTTTTGTCACCATATTCAATATCATCTGGAATGGGCACTTGACTACCGTGATTACATTCAGATATTTAACTTCGATGCAGATTTATTAGTTCGTATGATGCGTGATATTGGTGATTATTATTATAACGAAAGTAGGCGACTATTAGATACAACTCTTCCAAATAAGCCAGCAGCTTACAATCGTCTTATTTGGGCACGCACACTGTATGAACGATATGGTGAATTGGAAAGGAAGTCAATGCATACTGAACTTGGTGAAATCAATAAACTTCTAGAACAGGTTGAAGAAGAATTAAGATTGTCCCCCGATGTTGATAGCTAATAGACAAACATAACTTATAATGAATCTTAGTAACCACGATTCTTGAAGACTCGTTTTGAAGATATCGCGTAATAATTTTCTCTTCATTTAAAAAAAATTAGTTCTACTAATATGAAACATGATATTTAAACGATTACAAGCGTTTTTTCATTGAATGAATTTAAAGCGCAAATGATCGAACAATGAAACAAAAAAAACTTTATCTGCTATGTCGACGAACCAAATAAACCGTTGCAAAAGATACTCACAATTAGCAAAGTTGGAAACAAATACCAACGACTCAGATAAAAATGGACTTCATTTCAATAAAATAATCCCAAAAAATGGCCCATTATTAAATAAATTCAGAAATCACACACAAAGTTAAAATGCGTCGCATGTGTCGTGATTTGCGACATATTATCTACAGCGATGACACAACATATTTTGTACGACACATGCGACACATTCTGAAAACGTTTTTTTAAACCCACTAGTTAGTACATTTTTATCAAAAGGATCATGATAATTTTTTCGATTATGGTCTATTGAACAGTTTCATCTCTGAAAACTCAAACAGGTCAGATCTTGAGATCTGTCCGGTTTTACCAGACCATTTTCGGGTAGTCCCACCTCGATCAATGATCAAGACAGGCATTCTCTCGACTAATTAATAATCGAGAAACGAGAAATAATCTGAAAAATATTTGAATGAAAATACATAACTTTCGTATGTTCAATCGAGTTCTCTATATAGAGCCTTGTGCGCAAAAGAAACGGGTGAATCAATAATCGTCACACAAAACGAAACAAACTTATCAGCGACACTTTCTGTTGCGTCATATTTTCGACACTGAACCTGCGACACTATTACTCGCAACACATAAATGCTACACATTTTAATTTAGAGTGCACTCGTGTCGGTATTTTTTAGATTCATATAATAAACTTGAATCATTTTGTAATCGAGAATCATGCAGTGGACGAAGAATACTTTTATGATTTACTTTCAAAATAAATGTTCCTTCTCATCTGAAGAAGAACATTTATGAAAATTTATCGTCGAAAATAAGTGATTTCTTGAGTAGAATAACAGTGACACTTCTCTATAATATTTAATGAGAGAATAAACAAAATATGTAAGGGTACATAAAAAATGAATGGATTATACAAGAACTCACACCAATATCTCATTCCGTCTCAATGGTGAATATGTAACAAAGATTTATGAATCTAGCTATCACTTGAAATTATTTCTGTCAACAAAATCGTTGCTAAATAAAACTTCCGAAACCAATCTCTATCGTTCCTTTGTTTGTCTACGGTAAATAAATGGAAAAATTAGTTTCCATATAATAAAAAATATATGCAATCCAAACATATCCATGCACATGACTGTCAAATATAACGGTGAAATCTACGAGTTTTGCATAATTACTCAACAGTTAACTTAGTTTAATTCAAAAGAAAAAACTACAAACTGAGTTCATCCTGATAAACGTTTTATGTCTCTATTGCATTTGGTTTGTTACTATGCATTGCCTTCTTCCTATTTTAAATGTTTGTAATTTTACCGTTCGTCAATACGTCACTTTCTATAAAAAAAAATCATCATGAAAACACTTTTACCATGCTTATTTTTCTTCCTACCTTCAACGAGTTACTACCGAGTCGTTTTTTTTTATTGCTCGCGACTTTTAACCGACGTTTCACTTCTTTTATGACTTTTCAAAGCAAATGCATAGAACGAAAATCGAATTTTTTTATTAATATACCGATTAGCTTGAATAACTATCGATCAAAAATAGACACTACATCATAAATACAGTAAAATCTCTCTTGAGTCAACACCATGGGGACCATCCAAAATGTGTTCATTATAGGGAGGTATTGTACTGGCTGACCTTACACATGTAGAAAAAACATTTTTCAGGTTCTTGACTAATGAATACGCATTTTATTATTATAACTGAAGTAAGTATGTCATAGATGTCATAATACCGTTACACTGGGTATCGTGATTTCCAAGTCATAATACCCATAGAATTCTTTTTGGGGTATTACCCTTAGAATATCCATTTTTATATAACTATGTTTTAAAGTTGAGGAATTCGAGTTGTTTCGGGGTATTACCCCAAGGGTATCCACTTCGATACCGTAGCATATAACTATATGTTTAAAGTTAGGGAATTCGGAGCAGCTGCGTAATTCCACATCAAACAAGAACGAGATTTTCGAAGAATCCATTGATGGCTGTGAGCCTGCTACAAGCATACCTGCGTTTGCTATAACAATTCCTGAGGTTTCTAGCAGCATGCCCAAGGTTGCTAGAAGCATTCCTGTGTTTGCTGTAAGAAATTGAGCGCTCCGAGATGTATAGGTTAATTTGTGGGAAAGTTGGTTTGAATACCTGTAACAAGACGAGGCACAGTTGCAGTAACCTGCATGAAGTATCTAGCAACTCAGGTATGTGTTCCGGTACCTGTGGTGTGTCTTGAAGGACTCCACTCGTACTGGTAGCGGCGTCAGGCAAAAGTGTCGGAAGTCGAGAAATAATCTTAGCAACCTGATACATGCATTTAGCAATTTCACGCATTCTTTTAGAACCCTAAGACATTCATGTAGTAGCGTCGAGCTTGTTTCTACCAGCGACAGCCTTCCCTCTACCAATGTTACGCATTGTGAGGAATCCAGGAAAGGCTCCTAGGAATCATAATTTATGCCATACATTTCAGCCTAAGTAATACGCATGTCTAAATTCAAATTATTTTAAAAACAATTCAGATCAAATGATATTATTTGCATTTTCCTATAGCAATATCTGTGCCTTAAGTTTTTCCGAAGTGTTGCTGTGCAGTACATGAATCAATTATATTAAAATTCGAGTTGTTTTTTGTGTATTTCTTCGAGGATATCCAAGTTGTTACGCTTTAGGGTAATATCCCAAAACAACTCAAATTCCCAAACTTTAAAACATATAGTTATATAAAAGCGAATACCCTAAGGGTAATACACCGAATGTTTATCAAGTATGTTTAGCTGGAAAAAACGTCGCTACACCGTGTAACGGGATTATGACATCACTCTCAAGCATATCCATAAACTTGATACATCAAGTTTATGATATCAAATCAAACTGATCGTACGACTATTCTAAGGTTATATATCAAATGATGATACTGTAACTTGAAGATAGAGGTTGATCGAATTGATGAAATCCAAGTGTTTCGTATAAAAACTACAGCATTAATTTAGCTTTAATAAAACAACCCGAACCTGTTTCAACTGAATAAAAATGGCATGCTTCTACTATAGCTGTCTTGTTATTACGTCTTGACGTTGGCGTTCTTCCGTATTTTGAATGCGTGAATTTATTGAGTTTGCACTACGCCACATTCTAAAAAGAAAAGAAAAAGAATCATCATCAAAACACCTTTAACATGCTTATTTTTCTTCCTAGCTGCAACGAGTTACTACCGAGTTGGTTTTTTTTTATTGCATGTGAATTTACTCGACGTTTTGCTTCTTTTATAAAGTTCCAAAGTAAGCATATATTAACATAATCGAAATATTTTCATTAACCCCCATTGTTGTTTCTATTAATGGAAATGTGACCATTAACTTGAACAACTTTCATTAACAATCGACACGACGTCATAAATACTTCTAGTAACATTAGTATCCTCAAATACAAAACACTTCGCTAGTTTTAATAGTATCTTCTGAAAATATCGCATCATTTAGAGTACTTCAATCGATTGTTGTACTTTCAAAGTTACTTCAAGTAGAACAGTAAATAAGTGCTCAGATTCAATACATTTTACTTTGCAAATAATACTCAATTTTTGTTTGTTTTCTGATTACAATTCTCATGTATATGGATTCTTCTGATTCATCATCAAGCATTATCGTTAGCTAGCTTAATCAATACATGTTTTCGGCTAATGTAAATAAATAAACGTTTCATAGTTACTGTTACGGAACAAGTAGATTCAGAAAACAGTAATACCAACACCTTCCTTCATAAAAATATTGATACTCTAGTTCTATGAAGAATAAATTAAGCAATAAGCATTAATTTCATTTCGTAGAATTTAAGAACATTTTGCTACTTAAGTGAGTGACTTCTTCTCATCGAGAACAATGTAAAGAAAATAAAAAGTCTTTTTTGCTATATCTTGTTTAATGACAAAAATATATTGCTCGTAAAATCATTAAATACTCATCGTTGCAAAACAAAAACATGTTAATTTTATTCCGTATATTGTAAAATTCACCTAGATGAGACGGCAGATTGCTGCAATGATTGTATCAAGTACATGATGTTTCAATTTCATATTGACTCGCTACTACTACATCTAAGTAAGGATTGTTACAAAATCAGTCGTTGTAAAATCACACTTTGAATCGACTAACATGCGCCGGAAATCATATCGTATCCACTGAACTTGTGATAAAGGAATTGATTGAAAATTAAGGTGATGATGCGGCATTGTGTAGGAAATCGAATTTTGAAGAAAATTTCTAATATAATCTATAAATGTGAATATTTATTCTAGATAAAAATGACCAATGATGCTACTGTACCAACTGAAGAAGAGCCAAACAATTTAATTATTTGGCTCGATGAACATATTGGAGATCTCGAATGGTGTCAACAATTGAAAAGAGCATTTTCCACTCAGCCAGATCCGAAAAATCCAATACCAGTGGGACTATCGGACCTGGAGTTTGTAGAGATACTCGTTTCAGAAGGTCATATGCCAGTGCATTTCGAAGGTGTTCGGTTTTTATTGGCTGCATTTAAAGATATTGACAGTTGTTTTCACTGTTTTTATCAGAACCGGCATAAGCGTATATTTTTTATCACATCTGGCAAACTGGGAAAACAGGCAGTGCCAGAAATTTTAGACAGATTTAAAGACACCTTTACCGATCCAGCGACTGAAAAACCATACATGTTTATTTATGTGTTTTGCCAAAATATTGAATATCAAGTCGAATGGGCACTTGAGTACCGTAATTATATTCAAATATTCAATTTTGAGGCAGATTTATTAGCTCGTATGATGCGTGATATGGGCGATTACTTTCTTACAGAAAGTAAACGTCTATTAGATGAAAGTCCTCCAAATAATCCAGCAGCTCAGCATCGTTTGACTTGGGCAAATGAATTGTTTCAACGCTATAGTAAAATGGAAAAANTTCGGGTTGTTTTATTAAAGCTAAATTAATGCTGTAGTTTTTATACGAAACACTTGGATTTCATCAATTCGATCAACCTCTATCTTCAAGTTACAGTATCATCATTTGATATATAACCTTAGACTAGTCGTACGAACAGTTTGATTTGATATCATAAACTTGATAGTTATGTTTATGGATATGCTTGAACTTCATTTGCAGTGAGATTTATAGATCAACTAAGTTTCAATCACCATCCATCATAGTGACACAAATATAATATTCATGCTGATTCTCAGGTAACGTGTAACAACAGATCAAACGACTATAATAATTTTAAATGAAGAATATTTAAAATTGAATCTATAAATATATGTTATCGTTTTATCATCGAGAGAGAAAAGGATGAGTAGTTGTTGTTGCTGAATGTTGAATAACTTTTACAAAAAAAACTGGAAAGTGTGCAAAAGCTCAACGTTCAATCCATACTGGCTTCCGAGAGAGTTGAAATTGATTTTTAGAGTACTCAGCTTTTCAAAGCCAGTGCTGAAGTCTTGAACGAAAAATATTTTTCTCTGTTTCTATTACCGAATGTAGAATATTTGAAAGATTTTTTCAGATAATAAACTTGTATCATGTACTATGAGAGTTGTCCATCTGAGCCTCAATAGCCACTATGCTTCCAGTGTGACTTGTCTTTTAGTACATTTCTATTGTTATGACGAAAATAGATATAAACTGCATTTTTCATTCATCCTTTTAGACGTTTATCAATACGAGGATACGTTCTCAAGAATGTTTGTTTTTCAGGGCGATGATAGAATGTGTTTCAAGTGAAAGGATTACAATATGGTGTTTTAAAAAATCAGCAAATTATTTTCTATCGTACTCATATAGAAGCACAATTGTTGTTATATGAAGCTACCCCTCTTCATTCGAATTCGTTCGAACAATTTATGAATGTATAGCTGTAGAATAGGCATAAATCTTTCAGATGAAATATCTTATGATCAGCAGTGTCACATATCCAACAAATCGAGCATGCCAGAGATGCCACGGGAGATGCGGGATACACCAGAACCGCCATCTCTCGCACATCTCCACAGAGAGATGCCGCATCTCTGGCATCTCCATCTCCAGCATCTCCCGATGCGGTCTAGGCTAGAAATCGAAAAATATTTTTTCATCGGGACATGCTGCAGATGGAGATGCCAGAGATGCGGCGTCTCTCTGTGGAGATGCGCGAGAGGTGCGGCGTCTCACGCAGAGACGCGGCATCTCTCTAAGGAGACGCATCTCCACATGAGGTCTGGGCTAGAAATCGAAAAATATTTTTCAGCGGGAGATGCTGGAGATGGAGATGCCAGAGATGCGGTGTCTCTGCGTGAGACGCAGAATGCGCTCAAAGAATTTTACATACACTGAGTATTTCATTGGGTTAGTTATAGTGTTGTATGTCGGCGTCTCCCGTGGCATCTCCAGCATGCCCGATATTTCGGATATGTGACACCTCTCCTTATGATACTGAGAATCGATTATACTGATGTGAAAACTATTCGCGTTGACTTCATTCAAGAAAAAAAAAACTCGAAAGTCGCCGTCCGTTAAACTTAATGCAGTAGATAGTTAGCAGCTATCGTCATCAGACGACGATCTTGATTCATTTTCAACTTGTTCTAGGAGTCGATTAATTTCATCACGTTCAGTTTTCATTGATATTTTCTCCAGTTGGCTATAGCGGTGAAACAATTCATGTGCCCAAGTGAGACGATGGTAAGCTATTGGGTTATTTGAAACAGCTGCATCTAATAGACGTTCACTTTCCGTCAAAAAACAATCAGCAATATCACATCATACGAGCCAATAATTCTGCCTCAAAATTGAACATTTGAATATAATCACAGTAGTCTAATGCCCATTCACGATTATATTTAATATTGAGACAAAACAAATAAATAAACATGTATGGCTCTTTAGTAACTGAATCGGTAAATGTGTCTTTAAATCTGTCTAAAATTTCTGGCGCAGCTTTTTCTCCCATGAACCCAGATGTCATAAAAAAAAGATACGTCTATGCCAGTTCGCATAAAAACAGTGAATACAGCTTTCAATAGCTGTGAATGCTAACAATAAAAACCGAACACCTTCGAAATCCACTGCCATATGACCTTCTGAAACGAGCATCTTTACAAACTCCTGGTCCGATAGTTTCACTGGTATTGGATTTTTCGGATCAGGCTGAGTCGAAAATGCTCCTTTCAATTGTTGACACCATTCGAGATTTCCGATATGTTTATCGAGCCAAATAATTAAATTGTTGGACTGTTCTTCAGTTGGTACAGTAGCATCATTGGTCACTTTTATCTAGAATAAATATTCTTAATTACGAATTATATTTAAGTTCAATTATTAATTTCACTTAGTAGACAACGCAATGTGATCATATTCATATACAATTATGTTTCTATCAAAAGTTCAATAGATACAACACGCTCTTACGCATATGTCAGTCGACTCCAAGTATTATTTTACTATAGAGTTCATTTGCTTCTCAGGGCAATCATTCCGACCGTCGGAACGAGTATCTTAAAAGGTCTGAAACTGCTAAAAAACGGTATAATAAGGAATAATTCGCGATCAGTTTCATATACATAATATCTAGCAGTATCTCCTAGAACTATTATACTATCAAAACAGTATGAAAGTGATAAATCATACACCCTATGCTTTTATCTGAATAAGTGGTCGCTCAATTTAGGTGAATGCCAGAATAGCCACTACACCCTTACTTATTTTTGCAACAGTGAATATTTCTTATTGATTTGATGAAAAATATATTTGTTCATGGACGTGAAAGTAACGGATAGGAATCGTATTACTTTTTAAAGTGTTACCAATGAAAATAAGTCATTGGTCTGTGTGTCTCAGTATTCTTAAATTCGTCTTAATAGAATGAAAGTATCAATATTTTTATCAAATGGGAGTGTTATTAATAATTTTTCTGAGTCTACTTGTTCCCTAATAGTCGCTACCAACTGTTTGTTTATGTCCAATAAGCCAATATATGAATTGATTAAACCAGATAACGATAACGCTCGGTGATGGGCCAGGAGCAGCCACGCGGGATACGACATTTCATCTAAAAACGAATGCAATATGACTATTGATTCTTAAGAACGATGAATTGAATTCGAAGGCTAATTTAGCATTCTTCTTCGAGTAACTTCGTAATTGCAAAAAATCGATTAAAGTACTGCTAACATTGCGGTGTTCTTCAAAAATATTAAAAACTTTGTAATGTTTTTTTATTTGAAGATACTAATTGTGCTGGAAATATTTATGATGTACTGTCTATTGCTAATCGAGCGTTGTTCAAGTTAATCGTCATATTAATGAGAACAATGATGAAGGTTGATCAAAGTATTTCGTTTATAGTAATAAATACTTACGTCGCTAGATCATAAAAGAAGCGAAACGTCGGTTAAAAGTTATGAGCAATGAAAAAAAAACAATTCTGTAATACAGTGTCTGTAATAACTCGTTGAAGATAAGACAAAAAATAAGCATGTTAGGTGTTTCTGTCGAGATTATTTTTATTTTCTCTATAAAATGTGACTGATTGACGAATTTTACATGTGCAGGCATTTCAAAATACAAAAGACTGCAACGAATAGTAAGAAGGCATATACAGTAGAGGCACATGGCGTTTATTAAGATGAAACCTGTTCGTTTTGTTTTTAATAAAACAGTCAATCTTTTAGTATTTCCAACAAAACATTTTGATTTCACTTATGTGATCAATATTTTTCTGCAAGTTACAATGTCATCATTTGATATATGAGCTTCAAAAAGTTGTACGAACAATTTGACTTGAATGAATAGAGTTCATTGGCATTTGTATGGATATGGTTGAAATTTATTTAGTCTTCACTATGAATGATATACTACGAAAAGATTCGCGCTTATTCTCAAATTCTGTAAAACATGTGATGAGTCAACGATAATAATTTTAAATAAACAATATTTAAAAATGAATCTATAAATATCTGTTATATGCTCATGAACTAGGGAGAAAAGTACAAGTATCTATTGTTGGTTATCGTCGAGCATTCGTTTTATATTAGAAACGCGTAAACTTTCAAAAGTAAGACGTTCAGCCTTTACTACATTAGGAAAGGAATATGCTCTCCTCTTTTCGTTTTACTGTATATAGAATAGTTGAACGACTTTATTTCAAATAAAGCCTGAATAATGTTATATGAAACCCGTTCATCTAAGCGCTAATAGCCACCATGCTTCCAGTCCGAACTGTCTTTCAGTAAATAAAATGACTGTAACCAGATAAATAGATGTTGCGTTGTTTCATTCGAATTTTGTTCATTATTGATGGTTTTCTCTAATTTGTCTAGTTTCTCAGAAAATGAAATTCAATGGATCCTCTTCTTCATCAATTGACTTACATTGCGCAATAGAAATATTATTTCCATTCTTGCCATAGAATTTATGAATGCCTAGCTGAACTATGACTAGAAATATTTCCAACGAAATATCTTCTTAAACTACCAATCAACTAGAATGACATGAGAGTTGTACGCTTTCACTTCTTCCAACAACAAAACACCTTTTGCTCCTTTAAATTTCATGCGTCACATTGTTTAAAGGAATAGAAAATAGAGACAATCAAATACAAATTGGTATACTTCGCAGGCGAAGCATCTCTACAGGGAGTATAGTTATTAAGATTCATGATAAGTTATGTTTGCCAATCATTCATCATCATTGCAGGGTAGTTTTTATTTATTTTTCCCACTTTTTAAGAAGTTCATTGGTTTCGTCAAGTTCAGCCTTTATTAATACCATTCCCATTCGATTATATCGTTCATAAAGTTCTTTTGCCCAAGTGAGACGATGGTATGCTGCTGGATTATTCGGAGCGGATTCCGTTAACAGCCGTTTACTTTCCCTGAGAAAATAATCACCAATATCGCGTATCATACGAGCCAATAATTCTGCCTCAAAATTGAACATTTGAATATAATCACAGTAGTCTAATGCCCATTCACAATTATATTTGATATTGAGACAAAACACATAAATAAACCTGTATGGTTCTTTAGTAACTGGATCGGTAAAGGTGTCTTTAAATCTGTCTAAAATTATTGGCACAGCCTTTTCTCCCATGGACCCAGATGTGATAAAAAATATACGTTTGTGCGGGTTCGCATAAAAACAGTGAATACAACTGTCAATATCTTTAAATGCTGCCAATAAAAACCGAACACCTTCGAAATCCACTGGCATATGACCTTCTGAAACGAGTATCTCTACAAACTCCTGGTCCGATAGTTTCACTGGTATTGGATTTTTCGGATCAGGCTGAGTCGAAAATGCTCTTTTCAACTGTTGACACCAGTTGGAATCTCCGATATGTTCATCGAGCCAAATAATTAAATTGTTGGGCTCTTCTTCAGTTGGTACAGTAGCATCATTGGTCATTTTTATCTAGAATAAATATTCGTAATTACGGATTATAGTAATTAGAAGCTTCGTTTATCGATTTGACTATGAAGTCTATTTACTTGTTTTAAAAGCAATTTCGCTTAATTAATATATAAAATGACTGAATAAACCAATGTTTTATCAAGGCATCACTCGTGAACACATTTTGATATAAAACATTTAGTAATATCTGGTAGAACTCTCACTTATAAATTTGGATAAAAAATTTATATCGTACACTCACTACTATAATCCAAGCAATATGCTGATTTATCTAGCAGATCCTTATAATAGCCAGAAATTTTTTTTTTGTAATGGGAAATATTTTTGCTGATGGAATTGGAGATAATGAGAAAGACTTTTGCTGTTTTTTTAGATGTTCTACGATGAAAAGAAGATATCTGACTATGTGACAGAATGCTCTTAAATTCTTCTTAATAGAACTAGAGTACTGTATATCTGTTTCAAATGGGGACGTTGGAGATACTTTTTCTAATTTTATTTGTTCACTAACCGTAGGTTTAGGTTGTTTAGTTCTTTTTCAATAAACTAATACAAGCATTAATTAAGCAAAATAATACAAGTGTTCGGTATTGGATCAGGAGTAAGCAAATAGAATTTGAGTTCCGATCTAAAAGTAATAAAATGATAAGTATTAATTGTAAATGAGAATAAAATGAATTCGAAAACTCATTTATTGCTCTTCATCAAGTAAATTAAAGTAACAAAATCGCTCTCCAGATAGATATATTAAGTGGTGGATTACAGTATTAATGAAAACACTGATTAGAAGAGCAAAAATTTGCTCCGGATGATTATTTGGAAAAAACCGAGAAAAATGAAAACAACAACACGTTTATAATAAGACGCAGAAAGAAAAGAAAAGTAAGTCAAATCTATTTTCTTGGTAATTGTTCTGTTGTGTTTTTACAATGTGACGTATTGGTGTACTCGACAAATGCATGGATTGAAAAGAGTATCGAATGCATCCAAGAATTAGAAGATAAATATCAAAAATTACAGAGACGAAATTGATTTGTTTAATTTTTGAAAATGGCTCTACCTATTAATATTTATGAAAAAAGTGTCATACAGTTACTTGATATTCTGATTCTCAGTCTATGACAAACTATTTTTACAATATAAAGTGTCTTTTTTTATCTTTCAAATCCTAACTTAATCGTTTTACTAAATATATGGGTAAATAGAATAAAGGAAAAAAACTTCATGGAAAGTAGTGATATGTAAATTCATATGTGCTGATGACTTCATATCGATTAACTTCGGTATATACTTTTGCAACCGTACTACATTTTAATTAGTTCTACAAGTGGAGTTAATCAGACAAGTCAAATACAAGTAACCAGTATTTTGATAAGAAAATAATCTATCAATATATTTTAAAATTCATTTCAAATATAGATAGCGACGCATTTATTTTTTCGATACGAGTATCTGTCATGAATACTTCGACCAATCAAAAAATTAAAGACCATAAAAATTATCTAACACTATTGTGAAGATATGTCAATATTTTTATTTGTAATATGACCAAAATCATTCTTAGAAGAATATTATCGAATTTCAGAAAGAGAAGACTGACATATGCACATGTTTTTGCGGTGAGTAATTCTCTTACACTTTACATATGTTTCTCGATGTGATACCTGAGTAATGTAAATAACCATCACTATTTGACAAAGTTTAGAATCGAACTGAATAAAAAAAATCGAGGTGAAAAAGAGCATCAGTAGTTGTCGTTAGTTATCGTCGAGCATTTTTTTAATAAAAAAGGACGTCAATTTTCAAAATTATGAGTCTGATCTCTAACCCACATTGCGTTTGGAGAGGAGTAAAATTAATATCATACTATTCAGTTTTTCAAAGGCAGCGATGAAGCCTTGGAGAGAAAAATGTTTTCCTGAATACACTGGCTGTTTCATAAAGCAGTACCGTTTCATTCGAATTTTGTTCAATATTGATGGTTTTCTCTAATTTTGTCTAGTTTCGAAAAAACATGGAATTCAATGGATTTTCTGTTTGATCGATTAATTTACATTTACACCCATACGTACCACTTTGATTCGTTCCAACAACTGATGAATACAAAACCGTAATGTACATATAAATCTTTCGGATCATATATCTCATTGGACTAAGGATCAAATAGAGTGATACGAGAACTATGCACTTTTATTACATTTATCAAAAACAAAATAATAAATAAAAAGTTTTCACTCTGCAAAGTTCATGTTTCAGATCGTTAGAAGCAACTAAAACTAGAGATAATCAACACAACATTAATATACATCGTTGACGAAGCGTCTCTACTGGAATTATGGTTATTAAGATTCATTATTAGTTATGGCTGTCTGTTAGTTAGCAGCATCGGACGACGATTTCAATCCCTCTTCAACTTGTTCTAGAAGTCGATTGATTTCATCAAGTTCAACTTTCATTGACATTTTTTCCATTTTACTATAGCGTTGAAACAATTCATTTGCCCAAGTCAAACGATGCTGAGCTGCTGGATTATTTGGAGGACTTTCATCTAATAGACGTTTACTTTCTGTAAGAAAGTAATCG